TTTCTTTCTTTCTTTCTTTCTTTCTTTCTTCCTTTCTTCTTCCTTCCTTTCTTTCTTCTTCTTTTTTTCTCTTGACAAGCTAAGGTACTGGTTAGCTCAGTCGTTAGAGCAATTGCCCGAAAGGAAAAATAAGTCGAGGTTCAATCCCTTCTCCGAAAATCCGGCGAAAATCTTCCTTTCCCATTCCTTACTTTACTACCTCGTTTAATATTAAGACTAAACTATGGATTGGCCGGAGTCCTGACCAGGAAAAGGCTAATTGAAAGACCAAATCTGTTACTGGACACTGATTGGTGTCAACGATCAGCTCCCTTATGTTAGTGTCCCTATTAATCTCCTGAAAAGATTGAATCTCATTCGAAAGCCTCCTCAATTCAAATCTAGAAAAAGTTGAGAATAATCTTATCTTTTATTGACTGAGATGGCTCTTTAGAAAACTCGATTTTGATTTGACAACATTTCCTAGTTAGCTTGGCTTGGCTTGGCTGCAAAATCGAACTCTGACTTTCAAGCCAAGCCAGAGCTTAGAAATTGACCTAGAAACAGTGAATGTTCCCTGGAAAGTTCCCTGGAAAGTTCCCTAGAAAGTTCCCTGGAAAGTTCCCTGGAAAGTTCCCTAGAAAGTTCCCAGGAAAGTTCCCTGGAAAGTTCCACTCAGCCAAAAATATTTATTGACTTTCAAAGGATCGCTACTCATTCAAAATTCAAGATTTTCGTCAAAACTTCAATTTTTATTTTCATTTTCTCATATTCTGAACACTCAATTATGTTGAGATCTGCAAAAAAACAAGTGAGCTGTTATGTTTGGGAATTGTAGGAGGGATTATGCGTAATCAAAAAAGAAGTCTTTTGTTTTCAATTAATACCTTTTGTCAGATTAAACAATAAATCCGAGAGCTTTGTTTTCAAACTATAACTTCATTTAATGACATTTTTTAAATCTAGAAACCTAACATAACGCTTTGTTTCTTGTTGTGTTCAAAAGGCACCCTAGCAGGCCTTCTAGCACACTAAGCTCTTCATTCATTCTGTGTATTGATCTTAAATCTTACGCACTTTATTTCATGCGCTGAATAAAGTATAAATGATGATATCATGATCTCATGATCTCATGATATCATAATCACCATATCTCTCTAATAGAGGTGCACACTTTAATAGTACTACTATTAGAGAGTGCACTACTATTATAGTAATAGTATTGTATTACTCTAATAGTATTGCGGTCCAGGAGGGACTTCAAAAAATAGTAGTGCACCCCCGAAAATTTGAATTTCTGTTTGCTTCTTTTTCATCTAAACCTTTTTGATTTTATGTTTATGTGACATTCTAAAGCTATTCAAGCAAGCAAAAGTGAGGCTTTTTTTATTCATTTATTTACTATTCTTCACATGAAAAAGTTAGCAAAAAATCTAAAAAATCTAAAATTGTTGTGCAAAGTGGAAAAAAATCTTTTTGTTTTTTGTCAAGACACAAATTGTCAACTCGCCGGCCCACAACTGTATGTTAAAAGGAGCCAAAGGAGTACGTGAAAGAATTGCAAGAATTTTTGGAACAAATCTTATATCTGTCTTACTTTGGTAAATGATAAAACTCTTTAATAGTACTAATAGTATTGCGGTCCAGGGGGTTCAAAAAATAATAGTGCGCGCTACTAGAGGTGCACACTTTAATAGTACTACTATTAGAGAGTGCACTACTATTATAGTAGTGCACTCTCTAGAGAATACGGTATATGATAATCATGATATGATGATATGATGATATGATGATATGATGATATGATGATATGATGATTATCATCCCAAGTACAGTCCACAGCTCAACCCTTGTTCACTATAATCCGATCGCTGCACTTCGTGCTCTTGATGTTAACGCAATCTTTCTAGTACATCATTTAGCAAAAATTCCTCAAATTCAGTGCACCAGAAAGGGAGTGTTTTTCAAGCACAAAGTACACGACAAGAAAAAGCACTATCAGAGATTTAGTTGTCCAAATTTCATATCTAATTATTTTGCTTTGGCTATTTTCTTCCAGAATCGATTTTCTATTGAAAACACTAGATGTTCACTCGATCATTTTTCATCAAATCTCACTCAAATATCATCAAATATCACCCGTTTTCATTCATCTCAATCGACTACCGTTTCCCCTTGAATTTCTCGAGGGTTTTCCAATTTCCGGGGTGCTCGAAATTCGATCCTTTTTTTTCCTCAAATATGCTAATTATTCGCCGAATTTACCCCCGCCAGGAAACGGGGAAACGGATCAGATTTTATAGACATTACTCTCACAAAAAGATCTACTGAATATTTTCAGCTTAGAAGAAATCTACCGCTTTTGTTTTTACTAAATGTAGACGCTTTTTGAAGGAATTTCATATCAGTTTTCGAAAAACTACCGTAATCTAGCTCTAAGATTTTAATCATTTTATAGGTTTATAGGTTTATAGGTTTCTTTTTTCTGGTTCAAAGAGTAATTCAAAAGATAGATTGGATAGCTAGATCAATTCGTCGAATTGATCAATTGAAATCGAATTGAAATCGAATTGAAATTGATCAATTGAAATCAAAATCGATTAGCCATTAATCAATTCGACGTTGACACGTTTTAGAAAACGCATTCAACACCAAGTCAAGAGTACGGTAGTTTTCGGAAGTTGAAAAAATGAATTATTTAAGCCTTAAAAATCTTTTCCGATTTTCTTGAGTCTAGGGCAGATCTATCTTGAAATTGTTGTCAAATGAGCAAATTATCGAGAATAGAAATCATTATGGGAATCGTGGTTCAATAAGTGACTCTCATTGACCCGTGATTTTGCTATTTGCTACTCAGCGCTCCCGGGACTCGAACCCACGACCTTTGTACTAACCATTACACCACAACGCACCCCATCCAACACACTCCAGAGGGGGTTAACTCTAGCTTTTCATTCAGCTTTCCATTCAGCTTTCCATTCAGCTTTCTAGCTCTAGTTTTCCATTCAAAAATTGAGGCAGACAAACGTTTATCTCGTCTTTTTTCCCTCGTAAATCCATTTATTTTAAAAAATGATCCACTAATCATTTCAGTAACATCATATTCATAAAAAAGAATTCCCCGAAAATCGGGAATAATTTGAAAAATGAAAGACTCGAGAAAAGAGTTCGGAGTTCAGCTTCAGAAATCTCATTTCTCGGCCACGAATCGGTGAAATTTGAGAGAGAGAGAGAGAAGAAAATGATTTCCTTTTCTTTTAAATAACTTTTAAATGAAATTTTTTTTCAATAAAAAGCATCAGAATCAATTGAATAGAATCATTTTTGGAAAAAAAGGGCAAAAAAATTTGATTTGAGTAACAAAAACCAAATTATAAGCCACTTCCTCAACCTTTTTGATCAAACAATTCATATTTCATTTCATTCTTTCATTTGGTCAAATGAAAGCTTGAGTTGTGTCCTTCCCTAGTTAAATTTAACTTTCTTTTTCTTTTTTTTCCTACCCTAATACCTCTAATAGTAGCGCCCCCCTATAATGACGGTCGGAGCGTCGCGTAGTCTAACTTTAAACATATTTTTCTCGCCACTCATTTATGCTACAGTGTGCGCTTAAGTATCAAATGAAAGCTGAAATTCAGGGCTATTTTTTGATATCAAAAATGTATTTTTAGAAATTATGGTCGCTTAGAAAAAAAATGATTTAATAAAAATTTTTTGCGACTGAATTTTTTCGACGTTTGTGTGTCTCAATTTTTGAATGGAAAGCTAGAGTTAACTCCATCTGGAGTAAAGGAGATCAGGTGGGTTGTGGTGTAATGGTCAGTACATTTGCCCGGTAAGCGAGAGGTCGAGGGCTCGAGTCCCGGGAGCCGACGAGTTTCCGATCTGCCCTAGACTCAAGAAAACCGGAAAAGATTTTTAAGGCTTAAATAATTCATTTTTTCGACTTCCGAAAACTACCGTACTCTTGACTTGGCGTTGAATGCGTTTTCTAAATCGGTAAGCGAAAGGTCGATGGCTCGAGTAGAGTGTGTTCCTTTCGACTAACACGTTTTCTAAAATGCACCTATTTGAGAAAAGCACCGTAGTCGGATTTCCATCCGATCAGCTCAATTTTGGTGTCATTTGATGAGGAATCACAAGGCTCAGCCAATGATTTAAAAATTGGATTGATCGGATGAAAATTAATTTGACTTACTACGGTTTGACTACGATACTTTTCTCAAATAGGTGCATTTTAGAAAACGCATTAGTCGAGAGGAACACACTCGAGTCCTCGAGCACGAGTTTTCGATCTGCCCTAGTCTCCAACTCGAGACTGTACGGGAAGCCCTACTATTAGAGGCATTACGGGAAGCGCTACTATTAGAGGCATTACGGGAAGCGCTACTATTAGAGGCATTACGGGAAGCCCTACTATTAGAGACATTACGGGAAGCGCTACTATTAGAGGCATTACTTTTTCTACTGCTTTCTCGAAAATAAGGAAAAAGCAAAATTTTGCTAAAGTTTTTCGAATAAACTTTGAAATAAATAGCTACAACTTTAAAGCTATATCGAAAAAAGCTTTGTTTTTAGTTTATAAACCCTCTGCCTTATTGCTTTTGTGTGTAATTCGCGTTTCTTTTGTCTCAACAAATTCTTTTGTCCTTCGAATTTTAGAGAAAAATCGGTATCACTTGATCTTTTTTGTCTCAATTTCCCCCTTGAGGGCTTTGCCACTTCTGAATAATTCACTCGAATCTATCCAAAAAAGAAATTGTGTTCACTCTTTGAAAAGAAATGAGATAAACGAGCAAAACACGAAAAACAAAGAAGATTCGGAAGGGGATAAAGGCTATTTTTTTTGTAAACTTTTTTTTGAATGAAATTGATTTGCTTTCTTATGTTTTTTTTTTCGTTTCTCTTTTTTTCTCTTTTCAAAACAAAGCAAAAACATTTTCTTTTCCAGGCTCACCTCACTGGGTTATCCGTCGTTGATCCCAAATTTGTCCTCTGTGATTGAACGAGAGTCGATCAAAATGCACAACTTGTCATTGTATGGAATCATCGCTTTGTCGGCTCTTCTCATCCAAATCGTTTCTGCGTTTGATTCGACCGAAATTCGAATGCTTGAAGAAGAACGTGAGTCGCAGATTTCGATTACCGTAAATACTGTAATAGTACCCCACCCCCATAATGACGGTGCGGAGCGTTGCGTAGTCTAGCTTTGGACGCGCTTTTCTCGACACTGGTTTATGCTACAATGCGCGTTTAGGTATCAAAAAATAGCCCTGAATTTCAGCTATTTTTTGATACCAAAGATGCATTTTTTGAAGGTACGGGCGCTTTGAAAAAAATGAAATACTAAAAAACTTTTGCGACTACGCGACTGTACGAGGGGGGTGGGGTACTATCACAGTATTTACGGTAGGTTAATTAGGAATAGGGGGGTGACTCACTGTCGAATCGATCACTATCGCTGAACTGTTAGCTTCAAAAATAATAGATTTAGCTTATAGATTTAGATTATCGATTTAAAACGAAACGATTTAGAACATTTATTGCTATATTTCTTTTGAAAACTGTAGCTCTTCAGTTCATGTAGTTCTTGGTGACTACTTTGCGCCAAATTTTTTGCGCAACTCACCATAACTTTCTTCTAAGTGAACCAATCTTTATGATTTTCGTGTCGTTTTGTAGATCTTAATAAGTGCAACAAAATGACACGAAAATCATAAAGATTAGCCCATTTAGTAAAAAGTTATGGCATTTTTGCGGAAATTAGCCTACCCAGGAGTTTTTATAAAGCTGAGAATTTATTGAGACATTCAAAATTGAAATTTATTTGAATTCTAGACGATTTTGATTATACAAAAGTGAGCGAGAATATCGAGAATTTTCATAAAACTTTATTTGAAATCGAGCTTTCAAAAGAAAATGTGTTTGAATTTATTTAAATAGCGTTAAAGCTTTTAAAAACGAAATTATGTTCTATCTAATCTATCTATTTTGTTTTTTTTCATTTGAAATTCTTTTTCAAAATCTTACAGAATCAAAAGTTGATTGAATTAAAGCTATGTAGATTAGGGTCGAGAAAGTCGAGAAAGTCTAGAAAGAAAACATATTAAACTCTCGGCAATCTTTTCTTCACCCCTTATCATCTCTTTTTTTTCAGAAAACCGTGCTCGACAACCATTTTCCTATGGTAATTTCGAAGAATTCTAAATTTTCCCTGTCCCTTTTTACATTCGTTTTTAATTCGTTTAACAAAAATCCCTCAAAAAGTGCTAAAACTTTGTGCAACAAAAAAAAAGAGATAAAAGAGTGCCGTGTGGAATTTCGAATGATTTATTGACTAATATTTTCGTTTAGCTGACACATTTATGAAGAGAGCCGCCTCGCCATTGATACGCTTCGGGAAACGGGTGAGTGGGCAAAGATTTATGAAGAAAATTGAGATAATCCACAGAATAAAGTCTCTATGCCTTTTGTATCCATTTTAGAAAACTACAGTAACCAATTCAAATCGTTAACTTGACAACAAATTCACATTCAATTTGCTTTTATTTCCAGGAATTCAACTCAAGCCCATTGATACGTTTCGGGAAAAGATCGCCAGGCGCGCCGTTGATCCGATTTGGACGCTCACCCGATGCGGCTCCGTTGATTCGGTAAGGAACACTGAAATTGATTTTCTAAAGAATAGAACTTGGCTCTGATAATGGGATCGTTTCACGGATTATTTCCCGTTTGGATATATGGACTTGAAGAAGGGTTAACAGCACAAAAATGTTCGTTTCTATCTTGAAATTGTTGTCAAATGACCAAATCATCGCACAGTTCTCTAGAATAGAAATCATTATGGGAATCGTGGTTCAATAAGTGACTCTCATTGAGCCGTGATTTTGCTATTGGGCTACTCCCGAAAAAAAAATCCGAGAAACGACTACGACAATCTGAAAATATCACAATGAGTATAGAGCCCAGAATTGCCTTCAATTATCTATTTTAGATTCGGCCGATCAATGCCAATGGAGGGTCCGTTAATCCGTTTCGGACGATCACCAAACAGCGCCCCGTTAATCAGGTTGATTCAAAGGATTGCATTCAAAGCTTAATAAATTTGAGTGGAAGTTGAAAAAACAAAAAACTAAGTAAACTATTGACTAAAGAATGGAAAGTTATTCTTTTACAAGAACTCGGTCAGTTCAGTTCAAATGATGAAAGAGTCCGTTGAAAACCCGATTCAATTCAATCCCAACTTTAGGCTTGACTTAATTTTAGTTCTCTAAAGATTGTTTGAGGTTTAATTTTAAAAAAACGTCATTTTAGATTCGGCAAGCGTTCCCCAGCCGGTCCATTGATTCGATTCGGCCGCGCTCCTGAGGCATCGCCGTTGATCCGATTCGGGAAACGATCAGCCGGTGATGAGATCAACAGGTGAATCATTCCATTTTTCAAGTAAAATTGATTCTCGCCGTGTACCTTGCTCCAGAATGTAAACGCATACTTTCTGGCATACCAAAATCTTCTCTTTCTCATGACAAAATTAAAAACAAAGAGAGTTCAGTGCGCCAGGAGAGCTGTGTTTACATGCGAGCACAGAGTACACATATCGTCCCAATTACTAAATGCAAATTTTAGCAATGAGGACGAGGAATAGGTCAACCTCTCATCCAAATCCAAAATCAGAAAAAAGATCTCTCCCAAAATTTTCTATCTTTCACAAAACCTAAAAAGAAGACCAAATTGTTCGCTAAATGTTGAGGTTTTGAGAATATTGTCTTATCTATAGCTGGTCTATCCAACTTTAATTCTTTTTGCTTAAATATCTCTTTTGTTTCCCATTTTCTCCGTGTGTTGTCCGACTCGTTGATGAAAAAAAGAGAGAGAAATGAACATTTTGTCGGCGTTTATCAAGCTTTTTGCACAAAGAAAAACAACACGTCCAAAACACGCTTAAACCACTACAATCTCACTACATATAAACATGCCAATAACCATATTTTTGCGATACCCCGCAAAAAAAATTTCCAATTCCTCACGCTTCAGCACTTTTTCAATCAAAATTAGCGTATCGCACTGACGATCTTAACGAATTCCCCTTGAAAATACTATTTATTGCTCCAATTCAAAATCCCTATGAAATAACATGTACAAAGAAAAAAATATGATACAACTACCAAACTTTTAAAAAAAAGATTAATCACACAATCGATATCGGGTAAAGAAACATTGGATAACTAGAATCGTAAAGCAAAAACCTGACAAATTATAATCAAAAGAATAGAGCTCATGATTGCACAAATAAGGGTAAAAAAATCACTAACCGAAAAATAATGTAATCTTTTGATTTACGAAGAGTATTCTTTGTTCAACGCTCGTCCGATGATCAAACGACGAACCTGGTAATGCAAAAGTGTTTGAACATTGATATTGAAAAATTCTACTTAAAGATGGGTTGCGGTAATTTTCATGTTTAAAAGTAAAACTAAGCAACCTCGCTCGTTCCAGCACCAATCTCGTACAATTTCGCGTCTCTAAGCAAACGTCCAGCCGGATAGTCGTTGATGTAACCATTTCCACCTTAAAAATGAACTTTAGCAGATAAATGTAAATAATGCTTTTAGATATCTGTTCGCGCATATAAAAACAGCTCACCTAGTATTTGAATGGCATCAAGGGCGACTTGTGTGGCTTTTTCAGCTAAATAGAGAATCACACCCGCACAATCCTAAAGATGATTGATAAATTTACATATTTAATTTAAATTATCACGCTGGATAAACCCACTTTATTGCTGACATGTCCCTTATCGGCTCCTTTCGCGATCATGTAGAGATACGATCGACAAGCGTTCAACGTCGTGTACATATCCGCCATTTTGCCTTGCAAGAGCTAAAATAATTCATAAAGCCATTGCAAATTTTGCTTTTTACTCAAATTTTTAGTAGAACAAACAAGTATATTACCTGATACTCTCCAATTCGTTGTCCGAAAGCTTTCCTCTGATGCGCATAGTCGAAAGCGACATCACAAGCGGCTTGCATGATTCTAAAACGGTTGAATGATGCGCTAAAAAGCTATAGAAAATGGCTATGAACTACGGAGACAGCTGTTATATCTAAAAAGATAACATAATAGACCAAAAAGCCACCCCAAAGGTCCACCAGACAGCACGAGTCGCTCGTAGTCCAAACCTGTCATCAACACGTAAACGCCCTTATTCATTGCTCCCATCACGTTCTCCACTAAAATATAACTCGCCATGAAATATCTAAAGCAAAAATTGACCTGGCACTTCACAATTATCAAATACCAATTCACAAGTGTTTGACCCGCGCATGCCGAGTTTGTCCAATTTGGGTGATGTGGTGAAGCCTTTGAAATCCTAAATATGGGAACGGTTAGATATTTCTATATTTTCTTACTTTCTCTACTAGAAAAGTCGTGATTCCATGTTGATGTTTTGAGGGATCGGTTTTCGCGTAAACGATGAGCACATCTGCATCCGGGCCGTTAGTGATCCAAAACTTTGTTCCATTCAACACGTAGCTAAACTCATATATCAAAAGTTTGACTTGTTACTGGATAGGAAAACTCACTAATCGCCTTTCTTTTCGGCTCGAAGTTTCATACTGACCACATCACTTCCAGCTCCCGCCTCGGACATCGCCAATGCACCAATGTGATCACCGGAGATTAACTAAAATTGAATTGATATTTAAATCGTTTAATTAGAATCGAATTATTTCATATACCTAATTTCAAACAATAATACAAACCTTTGGTAGGTACTTTTGCTTTTGATCCTCGGTGCCGTGGCGGACAATTTGATTGACACAGAGATTTGAGTGCGCACCTGAAAATCAAGATTCAGCAATGTCTATAGTTTTTTAAGAAATAGACAACACTTAACTTTCATTTTGCAAAAATTTAGGATCTAGGTATATTTTTCGTACTTATCGGTTATCTACTATAAAGCAGAAGAGACGTCTGTCTGTCTGTCACAGTCACTTTTCTCGACGCTCAGCTCAAATTATATCGATCAAAACCATTTTTTAAAAAGTCCAAAAACTGCAAAATTAGCCGAGCCCAATGTTGTCTAATTTCCCTTTGATCTGGGTCATGGGGGGAAAGTGTTCCTAGACCTCCGTGCGGTTCTCCCTGGAGATTCCCATATTTGGGATGAGCCAACTATAGGAATAGGTTTAAAATAACTTGGATAAATGAAATATATGAATCGCCAACTACGTTCAGCCCCAACTATCCCGCAGGAAAGGCGGCGTTAGCCGAAAAGATTCCTGCTTACGAAGACAATATGATTTTCGATTGACACGACAACAAGGATTATAAATTTACGTAAGACCTCAACCCGCAGCAGTTTTCAGCTGCGTTAGCAGCTGAAAACTGCTGGTATTCTTATAAAAAAGACCTTTACATCAAGTCGGTTATATCCCTACAAAATGAACTAACTTGTGGGGATATAACCGACATGATGGATGAATCAAACTCTTGTGGGATATAACCGACTAGCACCATATTTTTATCTTGATCAAAATATGCAAACTAACCATATGAGAGAGCAATGGATCCCGAGGCTCTCGACAACTCCTCCATTGCCAACACGTGCGAAAAGTAGTTCATCCCCGAGCCACCGTATTTTTCTGAAAATAAAAAATAGGCAAGTAGGAAGTTTGAGCAGAGATTTCCCATAAAATTTTTGATAAAAAATTACCTGGAGCGGTGACTCCAAGCAGTCCATTTGTGCCAAGAGTCTTCCAAAACTGGCGTAAATTCTTGAAGTTGTTGTCTCTAAAATAATAAATGATGTACATCTATAAAGCTGAATTCATCAAACTTTGCTAACTATTAGGTTGTCCAGTTATGAATGCGCGCCTGCTCTTGAACAGCGTACCTTAGGGCTATACAATTTTATCAAACCCTATTCTCTATATGTTGTTCAAGATTTCTTATTTATTACAACTTTTCGTGTTTTTGACGTTAAACTAATTCATTTTTGATTTAATTTCCGTGTTTAAATGACCGAGACGAAGTTTCGTCATCGTGCCAGTCTTTGTTATGACTTCAAATTGGGCAAAAATGCCGTTGAATCCCATCGAGATCTCTGCAGAGTATTTGGCGAAGATGCTATTTCGGTCGCCGATGGTTTCAACGATTTCGAGAAGGAAATGAATCTTTGGAAGACGAAGACCACCAACGACGACCTCCTGCGATCGATAATGCAGTACTGAAGCAGGCGATAGAAATGGATCCTCGACAAACGACGCGTGAACTTGCAGAAATATTTAGAGAAAGCCCCCAAACCAAAGGGGGAAACAACCCCCCCCGAAAAGAAAAATAAAAAAAAAAAAAAAAAAAAAGGAAAGTAATCCGCGCGTTCAAACCGTTTCGGCAGCATTCTCACTCGTTTACCATGATGCCCCGATCCGGATGGACGACTCCGTGACAAACTGACAAGATCTACCAACAGTCCGGGCCACTTTTGTCCCATGATGCTCGGCTGAAATTGATGATGACTTCCTAAATGACACCAGATTTTTTTTTGCCAGGGGGATTGGTTGGGGGTGGGAAAAGGGAAAAATGGGGAAAAAGTGGTGTTGTTGTGTTTTGTGGATTTTTTCCCCCTCCCCCCCGATTTTTATTAGTTTTAAATAAAGTTTTTTATCCTCACCTAGAGAATAAACAAAGGGAAAGAGCGACATATTTTTGCAAAAAACTTTGGGGGTGGGTTTAAAGAGTGCCGTGCAAGTCCAAAAATTTAGTTTATTTTGACTTTGAAACCTTATATTTCGTTAGTTCTGGTTTAGGCTAAAAATTTCAGAAAATTCTTTTTTTTTCCCCTATTTTGGGGTGGGGGTAGGTGGTTGTGTCCAATTGGGGAAAACAAGCCGACAAGGGAAATGGGTTCCTCATCTTCTCAGCAATGCCAATAAAGTTACTCGTGTCACTATGGCGGGTATTCTTCTTCGTTTGGCAAAAAATCCTGGGTTTTACGATGAAATACTTACTTGCGATGAAAAATGGATTCAATATGATAATTCTACACGAAAACGGCAATGGCTAGAACCTGGTGTGGAGCCAATACCAACACCAAAACCCGACTTCCTTGACAAGAAAGTAATGCTTACTGTCTGGTGGAATTCCCAAGGCATTGGATATTTTGAGCTGCTAAAACCTGGGCAAACAAACACGGGTGAAACGTATGCACAACAATTGGAACGAGTGAACAATGTATTGCTACAAAAAGGCCTTGATCCTTCAAACATAAAGTTCATTCAAGATAACGCCCGTCCACACGTTGCAAAGATTGTTCGGAAAAACTCGAAGAGTTGGGCTGGGAAACTCTCCCGCATCCGCCATATTCTCCGGATATTTCGCCTTCGGATTACCATTTATTTCGCTCAATGCGAAGCCATTTGGCCGGAAACAAGTTCAAAGAAGTTCAAGAGGTCGAAAAATGGATAGCCGACTTCTTTGCCTCAAAACAAGCCAATTTTTACGCGGAGGGAATTCATTCTTTGCATGGAAGATGGAAACAAATAATGTTAACAAATGGTGAATATATTGTTGATTGAGCTGTTAAACTGTTGGTTTTAAAATAAAGAGTTGTTATCTTAAAAACGCGCATTTATAACTGGACAACCTAATATAAATGTTTAAATTATTACCTGTCGATTTCGTTAGCAAATGGGGCTAGTTCTTTGTCGGCGATGGCACGAACAGATTGGCGTAACTAAAAAAGCGTTAATTATATGAGGAGATGAACAGAGTTACTTTCCGCATTTTGGTAAAGAAATTTTTTCTAAAGCATGGGTCTGAAAGGAGTTTCCCCACAGAAAACAAAAGCTGTTTGCTAAAATGGAAAAATTGACTCGTTGCCCAAGTCTAGATTAACGATATTCAAATAACAAACAGCTTGTTCATCTTCGGTTAATCCAAAAACGGCGTCCGGGATTGGGTAGGCGGACATGCATCTAAAGAACAAGCTTTTAAGAAATAGGCAAGCTTTCAAACTTAAAAATTTAAACCAAAAATTATCGATATTACTCTAGTCTTAAACCTAAAATTATCTCAAAAAAATTTACCTTGATTGAATCGGCGATAAAAGCGATCGAAATGAGGGTGACACGCCGAGTCGGGAAAGCATCTGAAAAAATAGATACATCACTTGAAAAGCTGAATATCAATCTTCTCGTAGAATTAAAAAAATAACAATGGTCAATTTAAAAACGTGAAAATCTTAAAATACCCCTAAAAAGTCAGAAAAGCAAGAAAATTAGCAGCTTTGACAGAAATTCGCATCGTTTTCTCAACGATTGATTGCTTCAACTTTGAAAATGTCAAAAATATTTACGATTTACTTTTTTTTACAATAATATAACAAAGTTCATTAGAATAGAGAGATCAATCAGCACAGGGGAATCACAGAAATAATTCAATCAATGAAAAAAATCGGGGTAGGCTAGTTTCCGCAATTTTTTTTGCGCAACAGGGTCATTTGCGCAACTCACCATAACTTTCTTCTAAGTATCTTTATATTTTTGATTTCATTTTGTTGCACTTATTGAGCTCTACAAAATGAGACCAAAATCATAAAGATTAGCCTACTTAGAAGAAAGTTATGGTGAGTTGCGCAAACGACCCAGTTGCGCAAATAACCCTGTTGCGCAAAAAAAATTGCGGAAACTAGCCTACCCCAAAAAATCAAATCGGGGGGACAAATCGCCTCGGGAAAGCCGTAGAGCTTCGAAAATATTTCGAAAATTTTTCCATATAAGGGAATCGTATGCGTAGATTCCCAATTTCGACAAATCAGACCTCGCTGACACGTCAAAATTGGGCTAAAAGGCAAAACTGCGGAAAAGCGTTAAGTTGCGTAGTTTTGCCCTGCCAAAGTTGGGTGGCAGCGAGGTCTGATTTGTCGAAATGGAATAGATAGAAAAAAAAAAGGTAAATTGGTGGAAAGGTATTTCTCCCACCTCCACAAATCTTATACCATTTTGAAAAGAGGTCACAAATTGGGAGATATTCAGCCAAACACTTGAATATCTTTTTATTTGTAAGTTTAAGATAAAACACATCACCGGATTTGTTGAAAGATCACAGGATTTACGTAATTTTTGAATACGTACTTTTGAACTAAAACAAAACAAATATTGCGTTTTCTAAAACGCGCTAACTTTTGGAACTACCGTAGTCCTTCCTATCCTGCGTTAACCGTTAAAAATAGATAGGTCGGATAAAAACTAAAGACAAAGATTATGGAAGTTTTTCGACAGTGGATACGTTTTAGAAGGCACTTTACTTGAAAAGAATACATATACAGGTACGGGACTACAGTACGGTCTTTTGAACTCAAATAAATTAGCATTCGAAAAAGTTATTCACAGCACTGACTAGATTTTCTATTGACTAGGGTTTCCTCCATTTCGCTCAATGATCCCAAGAGTGGTTGTCATCTCGACGACTCCGTTCAAGTCAACGCCGATTTCGTCAACTGTTGCCAACATCTGAAATCAGTTTTGCATACCGTAAATACTGTAATAGTACCCCACCGCCCTCGTACAGTCGCGTAGTCGCAAAAGTTTTTAGTATTTCATTTTTTTCGAAGCGCCCGTACTTTCAAAAATGCATCTTTGGTATCAAAAAATAGCTGAAATTCAGGGCTATTTTTTGATACCTAAACGCGCATTGTAGCATAAACCAGTGTCGAGAAAAACGTGTCCAAAGCTAGACTACGCAACGCTCCGCACCGTCATTATGGGGGTGGGGTACTATTACAGTATTTACGGTAGGTATTTTTGTTCATAACAAATAAAAAATCCGGGTTCGACTACCAGCTTCACGGTAAGTATTTCGGTTTATCTCACTTGATCCAAAAGTTGATCGACTTTTCCCAAAGCAGCTTCCGATTTCTCGACACTTCTCTCCGAGGCGACGAGGGTTTTGATGGAGGTTTGGATTGAGGCGAGACTTTCTCTTTCAGCGAATGTTAACCCGCACAATTTATCGATATCGAGAACAACCTGAAAGTAGATTTGAAGGGAAATTTGTTAATTTTTAGTGAGATTTTGTTCACAAACATTGACGCCTTTATGACTACAGATAGAAATCGGTATTTTCAGCTTTTAGACAAAATTTCAGAGCAATCAGCCAAAAAAGGGCCGAAAAAACAAAGGTGGAATTAGGTTCGGGTTGGAATTTTACCTCGAAATTAAAATTTACCGAAAAGTTACCTCGAAAAACCCCTAGTCGTGTGGAGGATACAGTCGCTCATACTGTAACTACTAGATGAAATATATGGATCGCCAACTAACCAACCACCCCAACTGTCCCGCAGGAATCTAGTAGTTACAGTATGAGCGACTGTATCCTCCAAACGACTAGGGGTTTTTCGAGGTAACTTTTAATTTGAATGTGAAACTCACCTGAACTTGTGTTACGTTGTGCTCACAGACTTAAAAACACATCCTTTCTGGTGCACCAAGCTTTTCATTTTTCCCGTAGTGACGAGTTGGCGTCATAGGAAAGAGGAAGAATTCAGTGCGTTAGAAAGAGTGATTTAGAATTTTTGAGCACAAAGTACGCCCACAGATCAAGTCAGTTATAAATGATAAAAAACTGTTTTTCAACTAACATCCTTAAATTTCCCCTTCAGATTCAGTTTCGACTCGGCCGACAAATCCACTGCGGTCATTTACCTGTGAAACAATTTGTATTTTTAAAAAAAACACTTTGAAAAATACGATATGCTTTAACTTTATTCAAATTTTTAAAAAAGAATACGATAAACTTTATTCAAATCGGAGAATCATGGCAATTAAAGCTATCACAGGACACGAAAAGTGGAATGTAAGGCACTAGGATGATAGTGAGACTGAACAAATTGAGCTTTGGCAATAAAAGATAAAAGTTCTATGACTAAGTATTATGCTAGAGTGCTTGATGTACAATAAACTTGTAACGAAAACATCTGTCGATCCATCTGTCGAAAACATTTAAGGTTTTTCGTGTTTTTCTCAGCACCAACTCTTCGATTTTGACTATTTTGACTATCATTTGATGAAGAATAAAATTGCGCGTCGAATGATATCAAAATTAACTCAAAATGTAATATCTATGCAAAGTTGTGAGGCAAAGGGTTAAGTCCCACCCGTAATGGGCGGGGTTTAGGTTATTAGCCTACAACTTTGCGTGGATATTATATCTTAAGTTAGTTTTAGATGCTTTCGTCACAAGTCTAGTGTACAACTTATTGACTTGGTGGAGTTAATGGGGCTTGACCCTTGATAGAGGACTTCTTTTTATAGATCTCACGAGCGATCAATCGTTGAAGACGACTCAGACGATCGTGAATCTCGCCAAGGTGATTCGCTGAAATCGTGTTTTGATCGTAGTCACTGTTTCTAAGCTTTACTTTGAGTTCAAAACGCACCCCTTCTGGCGCTTTAAATTCTTCGTTTTTCTCGCAAAAGTAAAGAATCGAGTGCGCCAGAAGGTGTGTGTTTATCCATTTTGTGTTTACCTCTCTAAAAACCAAATAAGTTTTACGAATTTGTTTACCTGAACTCGAGATTCTCTTTTTGCAGTCGGCCAATTTCATCTCGTACGAGATCAAATCATACGGCTCTTCGCTCTCATTGAGTTGACGTAAAAACTGAAGTTTTTGTATTGGCCAAAATACTGATTGACTGATTTTAGTTCAAAAGTTATTGAATAAATTCTAAAATTTTATCCCCTACCTCAGCCATTTTATCAACGTTGTGATTCAAAAGCTTTTGACTCTCGCGAGTGGCGAGGATTTGATTGTCGAGGGCTTCGAGTGCTGAAAAATAGACTTTGCATCCATGTAAGTCGAAAAATTCTTACTTTTTAGATTAAAATTATAACTTATTCAGCTATTATAACTTATTCAACTATTATAACTTATTCACGAGGGAACTGGGTGTGGTGGCCAAATGAAATGAGCCATTCGACACAAAAATTTCACGCTGAATCCCGCTTCTGAATTTCGCTTTTACAAAATTACATTCTGCCAAAAGTTATGGGCCTTTAAAGTTTTGTAAGGAGTTGTCAGTGGTTCTCAAAAAGTCATCGCATTCTTGCATTGAAAACCTGGTGCAACGGCGACAAGCGCTAATTTGTTTGAGTCGATTGAGACGCTCTCCCCGCTTGACGCATAGGAGACCGAACTGTCCATTCTCAGCTGAAGTTCTCTGTTTTCACAATTTTCAGAAAGAAAGAAGAAAGTCGCAGAAAAAGAAAGAAGAAAGAAAGAAAAGAAAGAAAAGAAAGAAAGGTTTTCAAAAATTTAAAGTGCTTTGAATACAAAAACACAAAAATTAGCATTCGTCTTCGTTCGATCTATAAAATTCATCTATAAAAGAAAACTTTGAAAATACGCTCATTTTTTCGGCAAACTTTTGAAATAGTGATGTTTTGGCTTAAAGTTACCGTTTTTGTAATTAAACTACTTGCAAAAACTCTTTACCAGCTAACAGTTTTTCTCCATTTCCTTTCAAATGACATTCACATTGTGTGCCCCGTTGTCTCCCCATTGGCTACTTTCCAGAGGCGTGCCGCGGCGCGTCCTACTGTGTTGCGTTTCTCACAAAGCGTTCAACCCTCCGCTAACTTATCGAATACCACCCGCAACCTTAACGTGCTTACCAATTTTGTATGCGAAATTGCTCTTTTTCTTTCCTAAATTGCACCTTTTCACGAAAGTTTCATTTTAGACGAGCGATCATTTGTGTTATGAGTGTTGTTGCTTTCTGACAATGGCTGATTCGCAGATGGACAACGGACAGGCACCGGAAAATGTTAACAACCAAGATGAGAATGTGATGAGTGCCGAGAATTTTGGTTTGTTGATGATTGTGTCTTTTGATAAGTAAGCTTTAGATGTGCCGACTGAGGCTCAAGAAGTACAAGTGCCCGAGGCTCGTCAAATGGCGATGATCGACGATGATGAGGAGGGAGAAGCAAACGGAGAACAAAGTCAAGCTGCAGCCATAGAAATACCGATGGAAGTTATGGTATGTGTTTACGCATTTTTTTTAAAACTTGCTAGAAGATTTCAAATTTCGTTAGTTGTGCCGATTTGCGCTAATTTTCTGGTTTAATTTGAGACGCCATTTTGATAATTGCAAAATGCTTCTAAATGTTCTTACTTTATCAACGAAAAGCGGCTAGTAAATTGGCGGCGCTTTCGTCTTTTGATTTGAGTCTTAGCGTCTCTGCCGAGATGGCCACTCTGCGCTCTCGGCTCTTTTCTTTTCCCGGCACACAACACGAAAATCGTTGAGCCAATGCGTGAGCACAGCGCGATGCTAGAGAGAATAAATATCGATATGCGAAAAAAAACAAAAATTTATTAAGAGTCAAGAAAAAAATATAATAAAATTTCATGAATGAGTAAAAGAGCATGTTTTAAGAGCAGTAATTAATATTGAGCAATAAAAGAGCAGTAATTAATATTCCCTAGTTGTAAAAATTTCCTGCTTTAGGATCATGATTACTACACGTTCGATGCTTCACAACGCTCCAACAACGCTGATTCGCAAGAATTCCCGGAGATTCCGCCACTTGACATTTTCGATAATTCATCCGGCCAGGAAATGGACGTGTCTCGAGCCGAGAAACCCTTTTTTGAAAGCCCTCCTTCAACTTTCGGGTAAAAATTTGTTTGCCTTTTTTAATAATTTTTGTCATTTAGTTCCCGTGGACAACCGGTTATAGCTGGTGGTAGTGGCGGTGCATACAGAAATGCGCCAGATTCTCGACGGCTGCTCATTGGAGGACAACAATTTGCCTATTCGAATTCTCAACGCCTTTATCAGCAAACACAAAGATCATCAGGTTGATACAGTTAGAAGTTATTAGTCTACAACTTTACTTTTAGAATATGCATCACCTTCGTATGTTGCTACTCCTGGATATCAAAACAGTGGAGTGGCTAGCATTCGCCGCATTCAGCCAGTTCAGTCAACTGCAGGCACCCCAGCGCAAATGAATGTTAGAAAATCGCTTCCCGCTCAAAGAGCATCTACCACTCCTATGAACAAGTATTTGTATTAGTTTTGCTCTATTTGACTTTGCAATTTTAGGACAATGACTCGCGTAATGCCACCACCGATTCCTCAGGCTGAACCTCCACATAGAGCTCTCTTGACTGTGAGTTTGGGCATTTTGTCGTTCTGATTCGTTGAAATTTTAATAAATGACTGTTTAGGGTAAACAGACGTCAACAATGTCCCCCGGCTTGGCTTATCAAGCGCAAGTTCTCACTCCACAAGCTGACGATTCAATAGCGGCTCCTAGAGGCGGTGCACCATTACTTGTTGCTGGACGAGGTGCAAAACCCGTGATTCGCGGCCGAGGTGGTGCTTTAATCTCTTCTCAGCGAATAACATTCTTTTATTGCAATTCAGGTTCAGCTGGCACGGTCCGTAGAAAAGATGGCGATGGTGAGGACGCTTACGATGAACATTTAGCACGAGGAAGTCCAAGAAAAGTAAATTGTCTATTGTTTATAGAAGTTCTCATTTTACTTTAGGTGAACTTTATTGACGGTATTGCTCCTGGTGGCACAACGATTACCTCGCCTTCTGGCACCGTGAATTTAGTCGTTGGTGCTCCTCCGCATGGATCTATGCACAGTAAGTGTTTTTTGTTTATTAACAGCAATTTTTCGAAATTTCAGTGTACGATCGCTCACTTGAGCACAGTTTCCAAGATGCTGATGCCGCCGTTCAACAAAATTTGCACGCCATTCAACAATCGGTATTATTTCTTTTCACTGTGCTGGGTAACTCATTTTTGTAGATGGACGAACAACGCGACCCAAGATCACATCAAATGGTTCAACACCGAGAACCATTGCCGATTAGTTATATGAGCAAATTGGTACAGTTTTTTAATTAGTAACAGTATTACCTCAATGGTTTACAGAATGATGGCGAGTGCTCATTCCGAACTTTGGCGTACACGGATACTGTAAAGTTGAAGAATACATTTCCTGATGTGCCGGTTGATCCAGTACCCGAACCACGCCCCAGAGGTCGTCCACGTGGTTCAACAAATCGAACAAGATTATCTTCACAGGTAAATGAACCCGATTTTACAGCATCATTTATTATTTTAGAGTGGAGCTAGCCCTGCAGCACCGATTACGCCTGTAGACAATTCGAGCCCTCGCCGTGTCACTGGAAAAAGCCCGCCGATGAAACCAAGTGGAAGCAAGAGTCCCGTTAAGGGATCGTTTGTTATGGTTAGTTTTTAACTTCTTACTATTCATTTTTTGAAACTTCTCGTTTTGAATCATATTTAGGTCGAGGAAATTGAACAGATGCCTCCACTAGTGCCACCACAGCTTCCAACTTTGGTCTCAAATATTGGTAACACTAAGCTTAAATTTTCATTACTTAATTTCTTTAGCTCCCCAATTTGAGCCAAAGAAAGAACAAAAGCCGCAACCACTGATCGCCAATGGATTCAAAGCAGAAACTCCGGTTCTTCCACCTGCACCATCACCTGGTAAATGTAATTCTTATACTCAAAAGTTAACGATCGTTTAGTTCCATCAGAGGATTCTGACACTGACAGTGATTATAGTCACACGACGGCTGAAGAGGAATGGGGCGATTACGTCACTAGGTTTGCTTATTTTTCTTTTTGTTATTTTTGTCAATCAAACACAACATTTTTAGATGCTGGTGTGAGTTGAATCATAATGACGAAAATATGATCCAATGTGAGAAATGCGATGCATGGCAGCATATGAAATGTATGGGCATCCCTTATACAAAACCACCAGAGAAATATTTGTGCGAGCGGTGCGATCCCCGCAAGCTGAAATTAAACAAGGAACAGGTGAGTATATTTTACGCATTTTTAGTCGGATCAACATGATTATTTTTTAAATTTAGGCAAGAGAATATCAAGAACGTAAGCAAGCGGAGCTTCTGAAAGAGACTACAAAAAGACGCGCTGACCGTAAAAAGCGGAACGAGGAGCACAAAAAGGCCAAAGAGACAAGGAAGGCGCAAAAGCGAGCTGAGCATGCTAAAAATCGAATTAAGAGAAATGAGGTGCGATTTGCATAAATAAATGTTTTTTTTTGTTTGTTTGTTTGTCCGTCTTAGTGGGTGTGGCGTTTTGGCTATTAACAGCTTTTACCTAAAAATTCAACAATTGATGAGAAGAGCATACTTCGTCTATTTGTTTGCATTAAAGTAAAGCCTTCCAATCTCATCAAATTTAGGCAATGCGGCCCGTTTCTGGGCTCCAATTCCGGAAGTACACCGACATCAAAGAGAACGAATATTGTAAGTTTTTAACATGCATTATGCATTCTATTTTTTCTTTAGCTGATCGAGCGAAAAAATTGCTGCAACGTTTTGCTTCAACTCAAGGCGCCGCCCATGTTGTTCAAAATGTGCGTTCGGCGGAGCAAAAGGTAAAAAATCTGACTAAAAAAAAAATACCTGTATTATTCATACTCATACTAAAAACCTCTTTTAGTACGGCAGAATGTTTGTGGCTCCTAGTCTTGAAGGTCTCGTCGCAATCAAAGACATTCCAAAGAACGATTTGGTGATAGAGTATCTCGGATTTGTCTCGACCCCTTCAGAATGCCCTGGCCGCGAGAAGGAAGGCTATGTAAGAACAAGATTTGTGTCTTTAAATTTGGAACTTTTTAGGTACAACCTCATTGTGTGCTCTATTCTGGTGTTGCTCCAGATTGTCCCCTGGTTATTGATGCTCGTCGGAAAGGTGGACTCATTTCTAGATTTTTACATATTCTTAACTTTCTTTTAGGAGGCGATAGCCGAACAGTTCGTCGCTCTTGTCGACCAAACACCGTTTTGAAACATGTCGTTTTGGATGGTCACATTCATGTTCTTCTCAACGCGACAGAACCGATCGAAAAAAGTGCAGAGGTATGTTCTTCAAAGTATACCTAAATTAAAACCACTATTTAGATAACGATTCCATTTGATTCCGATTATCAAAAATGCCCCCGTGCTTTGGCTTGTGCATGTGGTGATGAAGCTTGTTGCCCAATTGCTGACTTCAATGCCCGTATCATTGCCCGATCTCCGACACCCACACCGAAGGTTTCAATTTTTGACGGTTCAAAATTTAAATAGTCTTTTAGCGCAAACTCAGTACAGGAGCTGTTTCTGCTAAAAAAGCGACACCATCCTCAAGTAAAGCAACCCCAGCAAGCGCTAAGAAAGGAGGGAAAAAGTCACAAAAGGGAGCAAAGGTTTGTTCGGCTCTGGCGGGTCTTGATCTATTCAAAGTTTTTAGCCACAAGGACGGCAGCCGATGATTAAACTTCGACGCCACGACACTAAAGAGGCACGTGAACCAAAAGAGGAAGCGGAGCTGAGTGAGGAAAACGACGACGAACAAGGAGTCATTCAAGATAATCGCGCGACTCGTGCTGCTAGAAGAAGTGAACTGCAACCAGCCAGGTACTCATTTTTGCTTTATCTGCTTGCAAATTTGTTTAGCACCGAAACACCTCCGGCTGAAAATGCAAGTGAACGCCGAGAAACAAGACGCCAGAAAAAGGAATCCGAAGGAGAACTCAAAGAACCGATACAAGAAACAACTTCACCAAGAGGTCGTGGACGTGGAAAGGCTGTGAAAGAAGAAACAACAGAGGCAAGTGTAGAATCGGAAGAAGAACCAAAGCCACGAACGACTCGCAAATCTTTGATGGTATCATTTAGCGTTGCTGGTTATTAATAGCAATCATTTAGGATAACCAAGTGAAGAGCGAGCCAAAATCACCAGTGAAACCAGCCAGCCGCTCAAGAAGTCGCATTGAACAAGCTGCGACACCAGCCACTGATACAAGCAAAATGGTAAATACTTATTCTTATTTTTTTATCAAACTTTGCTTTTAGACTAGAGAAGAGCGAAAGCTGCAGAAAGAAATGGAGATTTTTGAAAAAATGGCAAAGGATATGGTAGTCAAAGCTTTTTTTATTCGATAATTTCAAATACAGGGCACTAAATCGAAATCTCCCGCCAAAGAAATAGCTATTGAAAAACGAAATCGACGTGGATCAGAGAAATCTTCGATAACACCATTGACTCCAACTCGAGAACGATTGCGTGATCGAACTGTGAAAGCCTCGCCACAAAAGGATAACACGGAGAAAGAACCAACGAGGTATGTTTTATCCGGGGCATCAATTAATTTTATGGTTTTAGGTCACAAATCGCTTCACCGGCTGTTGTACCATTGAAGAAGCGATGGCAAATGGAACAGAAACAACGAGGTAATAAAGGTTTTTTTTAAATTAAACAAATTTATATTTAGAAGAGGAAGAGGCAGCCGCCACAATTATTACACCAACAGTGCCGGACTTCTCACAAGGAAAGAAGGCTTTCCTTCTTCGTCGAGCGCAAGCCGATCGCGAAAAAGAAGAGCCTGCACCCCCAGATCCAGCACCATCTTCACCACAAGCTCTTCCAAACGTAAGAAATCAAATCCTTTGTTTTTAATCTTGACAAATTGTGCAAATTTTAGTTTACGCAACCTCTCAAGAAACGAAGACATGTGGAGATGGACGTGTCGCAAACATCGGTCGGCGACCAGATCTCACATCCGTACATGTCCCCAAATGCATCTTCATCAAAAGCATCACCATCCAAACAAGGTATCTAGACTTGGACAGGAAAATTTGCTTAATACTTTATTGTTTTTGAAATGAAGTTTTTTAGGTAACGAGCCTTCATTACGTGAGCTGCTTAAAGAATTTGCACGTGGACTTGCTTATCAACCAGCCATCAACTATGAAATAAAGGAGGGACCCAATTGGCCTGCAGTCACTGAAAGTTAGTCTGAGTTTTTTTGCTTCAATGAATTGTTTTTAGTCAAAAGAAAGAAGTTGTCACTGGAAGAATATAAGCGACGAAGAACCGGCCCTATCACACCGAGCACTTCGACGGACGTTGAACCGCCAGCGAGAGTGGCCGGCAAGAAGAGCTTCATTCCAAATATTCACGTATGAATTGAGTCAACGATCCTTTTTTTTACTGTCAAATGTTAGGACTCTGACAACGCGCCTGCTCACTTGGCACCAGTCCCCGATCCGAGAAGTCTTTCTACCGACTCTGCCCTTACTTTTGATGAATTGAAGAAGCGAGTCTATGGGCAGACTTTTATGGTAATTTTCAGTGTGTCAGCTAATAAAATTATCTATTTTAGACTGAATCCACCTCCGAATCTCGTCTTGAACCTCCGCCTCCACCGCCGGTCCTTAGATCTCCCATGAAGGTATGTTCGTTAATTCAAAGAAAGTTAATGTAGTTAGGTAGGTAGCTATCATCTTTTAAAAAAACAAGCCAAGGCTATAAATTTATATACTGTAGTTATTAATCGTAATATTTTCTAAACGTCTAAGCCTTGTTTTAGTCTCCACCACGAGCCGCTCCTCCGACCGATGCAATCGGATCTCCCCAAGAATCAACTCCAAGAGCGATGTCTGTTGCCGATCGTCTGAGGATGCAATTCGGACATTTGATGCAACCATAATTTTTTTTATCGCTACTTTTTTTGTTCTTTTTTTTTGTGTGCCCAAAACATTTGCATCTCCAGGTGGCTTTGAAACTTCTATTTAGCATCAGCGGTGCTTGTGACTTTTTCCACGCAAATTTACATATCTGAAATACAAACTGCATTGTGCAAGTTCATACGGTTTGTGGAAAAAAAGTCACAAGTACCGTATCAGCCTTAAGAATTCAGACTGTTTGTGTTCTCCTTCTTTCGCAAATTTTCCATCATTTTTTGTTGCGCCGATAAGATTTCACTTTTCTCTTTCACGAAAAATTGCCCCTTGTTTTGTTATGGTTTGTTTTTGAGGTGAGTTATATGTGTCTCTCGAGTTTTCGTGCTGAAAATTTCAGTTGAAACTTAACGAGTGATTGGAGCGTTTTATTGTTATGCCAGGGCCGCGCCCACAATTTTTTTTTAAAAATCCTGTTTTGTGACATAATTTGATTTTAGATAGAAACTCGGAATCTTTTCTCTCAATGTGCATTTATTCACACAGGCCCTTACTGTAACTATTTTCGAAATAATAAAGATATCAGGATGTATGTTCATTTATGTTCGTTGTATTTTCGTGTAGATTTTTTCTTGTATTTGATTTATCACAGTTTTAAAATGTATTTTACACCTGTTTCTTTGTTTTCCTGGTTGACCCCAAGTTTTTTTTTATGGCATGAGTGCTTTTTTTTTGTGTTGACCCCCTCATTCAAGAGTGTCTTAAATATGTGTGTATAAAACCCACTGAAATTAATAAAATCTAACGATCAATAATCAACAGTATCCAATAATGATAAAATCACAGCTAAAAGTATACACAGACATCTTTATTGGCATCTTCAGCGTGATTGCTCATTGAATAATGGGTGAAAAGAACTAGAGCAAATATAAAGGGAGAAAAGTTGAAATTTGCCGAGTAAATTTCAATTTCAGTTGTTCGTGTTTGAAAGCTCATCACAGAGTTACAATTTTGTTTTTTCTTAGCGACTACCGTTTAAATCAACCTCAAGAACAACTACTTTATTGGCTTTTTATTTTATTGACAAACTAGCTTCTACAGAGTTAAATGAAAATGATAATTTTCGATCCTAATTTGAATCTCTTTGTTGGCCCAAATCTTACTCATCACTTTTTTCAAAACACAAAAAGAATCACTCACTCATTCATTCGCGATATTCGGCCACTCAGCTGTGCTGTGGTGGCCGTGTTTCCCCCTTTTTCAAAAGGAAAAGAGATTCGCGACGACGTCTCCCCCGATTTGACAGCCATCCCCCAAACGGAAACATCCCTCTTGATCTAGCCCAGACATCAAGAATCTTTTTTATTCGTGTTTATAATTTACCCATGACAGTTTACTGCTTATTTTAGTGATTGAAACTTTTCTGAGTCATTTCTGGGATGCGTGAATTCAAAGTGGTCGTCGTGGGCAGTGGTGGTGTCGGGAAAAGCGCGCTTGTGAGTTTAGATATAAAGGCTTTGAATAGAAAATGATTAGAATATAAAGCCCGGGGGTCAGAGCACGGTAGCCTACAGTATATATTAGATAGATAGACTCTAAAAGATTGAAAATGACATGATTAGTACTACTAACTCTTACAAAGTCGCTAAATTTAGACAGTTCAATTCGTGCAAGGTCACTTCGTTTCCAATTACGATGCGACAATCGAGGACAGTTACCGGAAACACATTCAATTGGATGGAAGAGAGGCGAGGGTCGAAATTTTGGACACAGCTGGCACGGTTGGTGATCAAATCGAAAAGATAAGAAAATTTAGCAAAAACGACCAAAATTAACTTTATTCAACGGAATCAGTTCACGTCCAAAAGAGTACAATGGGCAAAGAAAAATTAAACAATTGTTGAGGGTGATGGCGCTTGAGAGGTTCATGCAAAGTTCACATTGTCGTACGCTTCGACGTCTTCCTCCTAAAATCATAAGTTAACTAGGTAAAAGAAAGATTTACTGAATTTCTACAGCTAGGAATATAAGCTTTAAGTCAATTAGTATTTTTAAAGCTTCTTACCTGGCACTTCCTTGGCTTTTTCTTTGTGATTCCCTTGACCACCATATCTGCTCGCACGTACGCCTTCTCGTTGTTCCCCTCGACCTTCATCAGCTAAGAACATAAAATTTAAAGTAAACCAAAAGCCCAAAATCCGCTCACATCATCCTCCTCATCAGCGTCTTTCTTGATCACTTTGGCCGTTTCCTTTTTTTGCGGCTTGCTCTCTTGTTTCTCTTTCTTGTCCGATGGCTAAATGTAACAAGCTTATAAAAATTCATTCATTTATGTAAACTAAACTAAACCAAACAATGTATCCACCTTTTTGGTAACACGACAAGTGCCGCTTCTTTTTCTCGATAATCCTGATCCCGAGCTGGCTAGCTGAAAAAAAAGTATGGGGAAATAAGCAAGTTTAACTAAACTCCAAGAATGAAATCAAACTTTACATTGTCAACGCTTTCCACATGTGGATACGAGCTTGTGTCGGTGGAGGCGAGCGCGTGTTGCGTGGCCATCTCGTGATTCCAGTCAAGGGGCTCGTTCACATTGATGTTGTAGCGCTAAAAATGGAAAGTAAAGCTTGATTTAAACGTAATCATGTCTAGAACCGGTGAGCTCCAAAGATTTCATATGAGCATACCTTTTTGATGGTCTTGAGGTAATCCCGGAAAAGCGATGGTCGGCCTTCGTCAGTGAAATGCATCCGTTTGATGTAGTCGAAAACGCCTTCGAAATCGGGAATCTCGCGCAAGGCCACCTCTCGAACTAAACAATAAAATGAGCATTGAAAAAGACTTAGTCTTAAGCTGGAGATGTCGGCGTTAAGACACTCAAAATATTGCACACACCTTTCTTGCTTGCGAAGAAGTCGATCTTTGAGCGAATGATATCCTGTTGACGCTTCAAATCGCGCCATGGAAGTGCCGACATGTCGAATAGATCCACCACCATGTAGGCCCTAAAAAGAAGGCAATATTGAAGAGAGTTTGACCTAAAAATACCCGAAAAGCATAGAAAAAATGAAAAAAACAAACAAGATTTGCATTGAAAGTGCTCCTAATACTGGAAAAGTACCCAAGTACACAATCTATGCTTTTAAAAAACTTACCACATTTCGTAATCATCACGTCGAGATTGATCATAGCCCTGGGCGGCGGCTCGAGAAAGAAACTTGTAATGCGTGTATTGGACATCCGTCTGCAAACCCTCTCGCTTTGGCCTAAAGAGAAATTTAAGGAGAAAAAGATTTGGCTAATTAAAAATGTTCAATTAAACTATACGATTTTTAAAAAGAGATTCAGCTACCAAAGTGACGAAAAATTTAACTCCACAATTGAAGAACAGTGATTTTCATGCGAATAAAAGCCTAAAAACTCCACTCACGTATGTTTTCCCTTGCGAACAACTTGGCGAATCTTCAAAAAGTCGAACAAGTAGATGCACTCGTTATGAAGTCCGTAGCCAATCCAGAAATTTGCCGGTCGAATATCGCTAAAAAGATCAAACTATAAGCTTCAAATGATCAAACCCAATTAAGGATAGCATTTCAAGTTGTGTAAAATTATTTCAAAAACCACTTACCGATGAATCCACCCAATTTCGTGAAGATCAACAATCGCTTGGAGGCTCCATTGCGCGATGCGGAAAGCGGTTGATTTCGAGAAATTCTTCTTCAGCAATTTCGTTCGGAGAAACTAAATGAAGGGATTGATTTGAAAGAAAAATAAAGGCTCACATGCAAATCCGGACCGACCATCTTCAACACAAGAAATTTGAAATTGGCACGTCCACGATCGAGACAGCTAAAAAAGGAATATGTTCAATAGGAAACAATATTTTGGCCTTTTTACGTTTATGTCAAAGAAGCCAAGAACTTACATTGGAAATTGTTGAAATTTTCCGGTGCCCTTGAGCCGCTCTGCGTTGACGTCTTGCAAGATGCCGACCTCTTTCTAAAAAGAAACTTTCGTGAGTCTGCTGTGATAAAGATGTGATGTTGTGCCAGGGTCTGCTGTGATAAAGATTAGGCATATCTACTAAAGTATAACTTAATGTTTGACTGGAGTCTTGTAATTGAGGCTTTATTGAGCTCAAAAACGAACAAAAGACAGGTTTAATAAGTTGCCAGGGTCGTAAATGAATTATAAACAACAAAAGGATATCTCTAGCTTTAGCTAGTTTAATTTAACAACCATAAAATGAACCTTGAGGCGAGCGATCGAGTCGGGAATCGAGTTGCTCTCCGTCTTCACGATCACCAGTTCCACGCTTTTCCCCTCGATGTATTTCACCTAAAATGAATCAATCAATCGTACACCATATAATTTCAACAATCTAGACTTTACTTAATTATAAAAAAAAAGTCGAATTTTGGTTGAAAAGAAAGTTTACCTTGTAAATGTCGCCGTGCACGAGATGTCGAATCGTTTGAATGATTTCGTATCGGCTGAAAAAAAGAACAAATTAAGATTAAGAGAACAAACATTAAAAAAACATAAAAAGACAAAAATTCTAAAAATCTATAGCTGATTAACACATATTCGTGTGTTTAATTTTTGAAATACGGTGGAAAACGATAAAAGAGCTATATAAAAACCATATAATATAATATAAAAACCATAGTTCTGTATAAACATGTCTAAATTTTAAACAAAGTTACCCCTTTCTTCCATCGAATTGCGTGCCGGCGCGGAGACAATAGCACGTGGGGATAGCCTCGGTTGAGGAACTAAAGAAAAAGGTACATTAAACCAACTTAAATACACACAGTTGTTAAAAATAAAAGAAAAAACAATGTCAAAGCTTAAAAAACAATGGAAAGGCCTAAAAAACAATGGCAAAGCCTAAAAAACAATGGCAAAGCTTAAAAAACAATTGCAAAGCTTAAAAAACAAACACGGGAACACTGCTCATCTGAAGTTGCGAAAGAAGTCAATCGGTCGAATAGCAATGAGTAGAAATGACAAAACCCGACATTTTGGGACAAATTTAAATCAAGATTAAATGTAAATCTAGCTGCTAGTGAGTCGAATATGCAAATTTCAGGAGCAATTCTCCGGGATGCGCGATTTGTACGTGAAATCGGGACAAGGCTTCGTTCTCATTTACTCGGGTGAGTGAAGAGGAAAAAAAGAAAAGAGTCTACGGGTTTCTAGAAACTTAAAATATTCAGGTTATTAAATGCATAACTAAACAATTTATTGTCAAATAGAAAAGGATACGGTAATCAATGAAAGTTTTTCTCTATTTGGCACTAATTTTGCCAAAAGAAATGTTTTGCAGTCGAGGATCCTCATTCTCTTCGCGATCTTTTGCCCATTTATCGCCTCATCACGCATTTGAAACAAGGACAAACGGTAACCGTTAATGATCTCCATCAATCCTTTGTCGCCATAGCCAACTGGCCAAAAGCCCTGTATCTTAATCGGAAGGTCAAGGGTTCAATTCCGCCGGCTAGATTATTGGTTCTTTTGGTAGAGTGCAGTTTACCGCCCCGCCACAAAAAATTTTAGAAACCCACTTTTCTGAGGGTTTTTGACCATGCTGATTCCGAATAGCATAGTCCCGATCACCGGAAATGAAAAAAACTGCACTCCAGCCGTTTTTTATTCTATTTGGGGCTGTGCTTGTTTATTGTTTGTACCAGATTATTCGTGTGAATAAATCTAATCCATTATCAGTTTTCGATCTCTAAACTCACCTCTAGGTTCCAATGGTGATCGTGGGTAACAAGAGTGATCTACACACACAAAGAGCCATTCCCACTGATCACGGGAAAAATGTGAGTTCGAGAAATGGAAAAATGAAAGTCCCTCTAATCATTTCAGTTAGCTAGAGAGTGGGGTTGCTCATTCTACGAGGCGAGTGCTAAGCTCAATCACAATGTCCAAGAGGTGGGTTTAGTCTTTTAAAAAGAAATAAAAAAAAGGAAATATCATTTACACCTAAAGTTTAGAATAAATAGAAAATGATTACGGTATACTATACAAAAATGACAAGCCATGGGAGTATTGTAGCAGTCTCACTGGTGGTACTGTAGCTTTTTTTAACCTAGACAAGGAAAGACGCTCAGAATGTACTGTTTCAAGTTTTGATATGATTTCTGACTGTAATTTTAGCAATGATATCAATTCACTAATTCCAAAATAGATTTTCACGGATGTTTGTCGACAAATCGAACGATGGCGGTTGAGTCAAGGGCCAGTTGTGAAGAAAAGAACCCTCCGAATCCCCGGGTCACGACCCGACAGTGACAAGAAACGATATGGGAAAAACCGTTACACATCACAAGCAGAGAAGTCCACGCCTTGTTGCTCAGTGATGTGAAAGAAAAGAAATCCACGCAAAAGGAAAACTAGTCTTTTGAATACAAATGAAAATTTGCATATAAACATTGAACAGTATTAATTTGCATACAAAAGAGCACAGATAATTTTCATAAATTTTCATATTTCTACTTTTTCGATCAGTGTGTGGTGGTGAGTTTTCTTTTGGGAATTTTTTGTGATAAACAATTTTAGAATGGTGTCGACTTGTGCAAGTCAACATTTAACAAAAGATGACGCCGAATTATCGGTAATTTTCAAAAATGTATTTCATAAATTTGGATCCTGTGCCGTTAAAAAGCTTTGGAGACATCATAATTACCATTTTTCACATTTAGACCATCAGAATGAAAATCGATGGGCGAAATGTTTCACTCCCGGAGATCGTCGAGGCGCTTCGATTGAAGAAAGTGCTTGAGGTTGGGATTTTGGGGATAAAATTAAGATCTTTTTAGAATACGATCAAAAGCCAGCCAGAAAAAGAAAAGCCGATCCAGAGACGAAAACAAAAATGGAGTGAGTTTTAACTTTTTACAACAAAGGCTAAAGCTTTCCTCTCTGGAAATCTATTTCTTCTGGTAGACTTGAAAGGAATGCTTGTAATTAAAAACTTGTTAAAACTAGCAATTTTTAGAGTGCTTTACCTTGAAACACTTTCTTCCTTTTCAGGGCCATCTTTTCGCCAAACTCGTTGGACGGTTCTCGTGATGATGTGGTCGGTGTCAATCCTTTACTTCACAATACTCTGGCACCGCGACTCTTTTTGTCATCGACTCGTCACGAAAAAGGAGCTCTAAATGATTCATTATTATGTCTTCTCGCAATAAACTTCTATTTATTTGCATCATGTCTGAAAATTCGAAGGAATTCTTAATATTTTGACACAAAAAAAGAGCTGAAAGTCGGAGAGAAGAAACATCACTATCACAATGTATTAGAGTGAGGCTTAACAGGGTCAACTATGTCAAACACAAAAAAGAGCAAAATTGAAAGGCACAAAGCAGAAAATTAATTCACCAGCATAACAAAATTTTTGATTCCACTCGCAAAATTGAAACGATTTTGTTCAACGGGGTGAAGAGAAAATGAGCATCATGTGAATATAAAATGGGGTAAAAAACTGAAACCTCCAAAGCAAGCGAACGAAAAAGTGAAAAAACCACTTGTAGAAAAAAAAGGAACCCCGTTGAGAATATTTCTTTAGAAAGAAAATTTCAAGAATTTTTGACGGAAGGACCAAGAATTTTTGAATGACCCGAAACAATAGATGTGTCATAAATCTTCACAGATCAAACAAATCTAACTAACAGAATAATCTGAGCGATGTGTTGAATGTAGAAATTTAGTCGACATTGTTGATGTCCCTCTTTTCCACGTCCGCTGGATCGGGTGGTGGTGGCATTGCGACAATTATCGTTTTCTAAAGAAAATGTTTATTAAAAGTTATGCTATAATCAATTTTTGTATCAACTAGTCTTACTCTTTCACCCAAAATTGCTGAGACAAAAACCTTTGCAAAACATTTCATTTTGAGTGAGTTTTTACTGATGCCAAATTCACACACGGGCAAACACAATTCGTTTAAAGCTCCCATCACCAAAGAGCCCTCAAAAAAAATTTAACTACGACGGCTAACTATCCCGACAAAAACCCTGTTTGAAAAAGCACAAAGGATCGGAACTTTAAACTAAAGTTTACAAGACATACAGAGTGATTTTATTAACTACGGGTGCAGCATATCCAAAAGCAACATAATTTCAACTCACTCGTTTAGCATTGCATCAGTTTCATTTGAGATCTACAAGCCTTTGTTGAAAAAAAAGAAAATAGCGTGATGTTTGTGTATAAACATACCGCGTGTAAGAAGCAAACATAATTTTTTTTGCTTAAAGCTTTAACCGCACGTGATTTTAGAGATTAATTGGTAAAATCTGCATGACAAAGCATTTGCGTTTGCATGTACTGACCAAATAGTTTAAGATTAGAATAAATAATACCCTTTGTTCATCGACACTTTCAACAACAACAGCGGTGAAGGAGGAGGGTCCAAGTGGGATCGCCGCATTAGATGGAGGTGCAGGCTGAACAATGATGATTGGAGCTGGCGAAGCGCCGGATGGAGACTCTCCAGGATCTTCTGGTGGAGCGTCAAAATCCTAAAAACGGTGTAGATTTATCTAATACCTTCTTGCTTTCTTAGAAAATCAAATTTTCAAATTATTTCTGAAATACTCACTGGTTGGTCGGCTGGTTTACACTTCCCACAACAGAAGTTGCAACAACAATTGCAACAGAATAGACATCCGCAACAACAACAGCAGAAACCGCACGTGAGAAGAGCAATGCCCAAGAAGACCCACTAAAATTCGAAGTGAATCAAATAGATTTAGTGAACTTTTACCTTAAGATAGGGGTTCAACATGTAGCGCAATATTCGTTCATCATCACCAAATTGTTCCATTAATTTCAGGCCCGTGTCGCCGTATTCATCGTAAATCTATTAAAAAATCATTTTTAATGCTAGATTTAAATTCACCTTTCGTTTTTGCGGATTGGAAAGCACTGAGTTGGCATAGTTGATTTCTTTAAACTAAAAGAAAGACTATTAAAATAATTAAATCAATCACAAACTTTCTCTGTCTTATCAGGGTCACCGTCAAGATTCTTGTCAGGATGGTATCGTAGGGCCAGCTTTCGATAGGCTTTCTTAATCTAAAATTTTTGATGAAAGAAAAAAGATTTCGAGCTAGCAACCTCTTCATCGGTTGCCTTCTTTTTGACGCCGAGGATGTTGTACAAGCGGATGTTCTTCGAGCTAAAATCAAAATAAAATAGCCTGTATGAGATAAAACAAGCAAAAAATGGGCTTATTTGAGCAAATTCTAACTGCAATAATTTAATTTCTTAAAAATTAAACCCTTTTTCGAGTTTCATTTGATAACTTTCATGTTTCAACTGCATATTCTAAGTAGAAAAGTAGCTTTTTGCGTTAAAAAGTTCCCCAAGTTGACGTAGCTAACCGATAGCTCACATACAATTATTAGATACCCGTTTTAATACATAAACTTGTTAAATCGGATCATTACGGTTAACGGCGGGGGTAACGATTATCGGCGGGGGTCAATTTTTTGGTCAACTTGCAGCTCATTTTTAAGCACCTTAAACTTGTCAGATCAGGAAATTTTAATAAGATTTAGGATAGCTTAAAACGTCAATTTCAATTTGTTTCATCAAAAGTTATTAACAAAAACCCTATCGGGCTGCAAGTTGGTAGAAAAGTAGCTTTGTAAGCCCAGTGAAACGGCATCGGACGCGGGGTAACGATTATGGCGGGGTCATTTTTTGGTCAACTTGCATTTTTAGCCTAAAAGAAGGAAATAAAAAAAGAAAAGGGGGAACCCTAATCGGGCTGCAAGTTGGTCAAAAACTTGACCCCCGCCGTTAACCGTAAAGATCCGTTAAATCACTTACTCCGAAGATCCATCGCCCTCTTCAAGGCCACGCTCTTGACTCATCTGTGAGCGAATTTCCTAAAAAGATGAGAATTATGAGTAAGCAAGCAAAACGGGTAAAAGAACAGTTATCAAAAAGAAACTAAAAGTAAAAAGCAAATCAATTCGACGCTTCAGATTCTCCTTATCACACGCCTCAATAAAGTGAAGAAAGACAAAATAAAATTGAGCAGAGTTTCAAGTGGAAGAGGTGGAAGAGGGCAATTACCCCTAAAATTAGCTCCACAAAAGTAATGCCCCATTGATCGTTTTCATGATTATTCTTTTTGTTTCTCCTTCTATGAACACTAAATGTATTCTATTGTATTATTTAGATCCCTGACATGAAAAATCTTGACACTCCGAAGAAGCTCCAAATCGCTAAGGCCCGGGACAATGGGATGCGGGAGAAGGATGTGGCCAACCTCTTCAATTGCTCGATATGGACAGTGCGCCGCATTTTTTCTCAATCAAAGGTCGGCAAAAACCTTCATCGAGGCCTCAAGAGTGGCCCACGACCAATCACAACCATAAAAGAAGATCGAGCCGTGATCCAAATGGTGAAAAACGATCCGAACAAAACATCAACCGATGGAGTCCAAATGATGAGGGATCAATTTAACAAGGTTGTATCGCCGGAAACGATCAGACGACGATTAAATCAAGCTGGATTATATGCAAGAAGGGCTGCCCGTAAACCTCTGATGAATTCTAAGCACCGGAAGCAGCGCCTTGATTTTGCACGGACCTACCGAAGTTGGACAATAGATGATTGGGCGAAAGTGCTATTTACCGATGAGACAAAAATCAATTTATTTCACGCGGACGGAAACCATCTTATTCGGCGGCCGACTGGAAAGCGAACACACTCAAGTACATTTGACCTACGGTGAAATTCAATAAAGGCAACATAATGTGTTGGGGTAAGAGCCTTTTTAGTATTTTGTCACCTGACTGTTTTTTTTAGGAGCGATGTCACGAACTTCAGTAGGTCCATTAGTTCACGTCAACTCAACGATGAATGCTGTGGCTTACAAGAACATTATGGAGACCCAAATGCTGCCTTTTGCCACACAGACGATGCCTCCTGGATAGATGCTCTACCAGGACAACGACCCGAAACACAAGTCAAGGCTCATGATGGGAACGGTGGTGACTCTTCAAAATGGTACACGAGCACGACTTCCGGGCTGGTTTGCGGCAAGTCGAGTCAAATTGATCAATCCGCCTCCCTACTCACCGGATATCAATGTTATCGAGCATCTCTGGTCATTTGTGAAGTCAAGACTCAAGGGAAAGAAATTCGATTCGAAGGCTGCCTTATGGGTTCACATTCAACGTCTCTGGGACACCATCCCCCAAAGTCTTTTGAAGAATCTCGTGGATTCCATGCCGAATCGACTCAATGAAGTAATGAAAGCAAAAGGAGGACCAACCAAGTATTGATTTTAAAAAGTTGTGTTAATTCTTTGCAAATGGGGCATTACTTTTGTGGGGCTAATTTTCAAGTAGCTTATTGTTTTTGTTTTGTACTTTAACTTGTATGTAATGCATACGGATAAATCTTATATTCTTGAAAAGTCGAGTCTTATGGGTCGGTAAAAATACCCTACTCTTTTTCTGAAATGTCGATTTTGCAAGATTTCCTTACAAAACATAATTTTGGATGGCAATGGGGCATTACTTTTGTGGACCACTGTATAAATAAAAAAAATCTAGTTAGGAGAAGCACAAAATGAGTATCGAAAAAGAAAAAGTCGATTAATGATTGACGATGTTGGGGAGGGGATCGTGGGAAATACCTATGCGGGTCTTTTGTTCTCATAAATAGAAAAAGGGTTCTCTGTGGCCTTCAAAATCCACTTTTCCCCCTCCGCACATTGGAGTTTCTTTTTCTTTTCTTTTCTTTTTCTTCCTTTCCTCCCCTCATTCGCAATTCATTCAATTGCGAATGTCGGTGCGCGAGCACAGACACATCCTATCCAAAACTTCAAATAAACGCCACTTTTACCTTTTCACCTTTTTCATGTTTGTCATTTTCTATAATATTTGAGTACTATTCGACCATATTCGAACTTTTGCTTTTACCCCTTTTATACTATGCACATTTTTCGATGGCTTTACTCTTACTCTTACTCTTACTATGAGAATCGTGGTTGTAATGAACTTTTCCTTGACTTGGATATTTTATTTTGCTGTTTCCCTATCAAAAAGACAAGCACATTCTTGATCTTTGACTTGGCTGCCTTGAACTTTAGAGTTCTCACAAAATGTTTAAAACTTATTCAATTGGGGATGTAGCTTTCTTTAGTCTCAAAATTTCACTAGAATCCTTTTCTACAACTAATCGATTCTAAAATGTACTAACTTTTGAAACTTTTGTAGTTGAAGAAAACTTTTGAAAAGTACTTTTGTCTTTATTTTTATCTAATCTATTTATTTTCAGCCTGATTCTGTGCGGATTCAAAAAGAATATAAAAAGATTCAAAAAATAGATTGATTGGATAAAACTAGATTACGGTAATGAAAATTGTCACGTTTTAGGAAAAAGCATTAGCATTAGCAAGACAAAAAAGCCTCGCAAAACAAAAAAAAATGAAACACTCATCAAAAATCCAACTTGGCGTGAGGTCTACGCCATAAAACTAGCAATAAAAAGAATGGGCTCAAGAGTTGGAAATGAACAGAAAAATCCTGAAACCATCACCGGAATGGGAAAAAGGAGGGGAAGAGTCTATTTGCCATGTGATGGAAAAAGCTTTTGATGGAGAATGATAGGGAAAAGAAAAAAAGAAAAGAAAAGACAGGAAAGCGCTTGTCTTTTTTTGGGGCGAAAGGGGTCTATGAATCGATTATGTCAGGTTCCCCGCGATTTATGCTGAATTTTTTGGTTGTACCTGGGTCACCCTTCTCTTTTCCAATTCAACCAGTTCTCTTTTCTCTGCGTGATCACTGAATCCATTATGATCCAATCTAAAGGAAGAAAACTACTGTAAATACTTTAATAGAACGTCACCCCTATGATAACGGGCGTACGATCGCGTAGCCTAACTTTAAACTTCCTATTCTTTGCGCCGTTTTAAGCTACAGTAAGCGCTTGGATTTCAAATGATACCCCTTGAAATCTAGTATTTTTGGGTGTAGTTGGAAAAAATGTTTTTTTTTAAGAAGTTAGACTACGCAACTGTATGAGATGGCGTTCTATTAGAGTATTTACGGTAACTCTGGCTCACGTCAGCTGCTGTGGCATTGAATTTTAAACTTAGAAGTCGCATTGTGATCCTAAATCCTAGCCTCAAGTCAAGGTTATAGTGGTTACAGGACCAAATTATATGACCAGATTTCTAGGGCAGGAACAGAGCTATGGCTAGCTAGAAGGCCTGGCTTTCAGAGCCATGACCAGGACCAGGCTTTCAAACCAGCTGACCTGGCCATGGACTTAAAAGCTAGGCCTAACCTAGCTCTGACCTGGAGAACAAGCTCTATCTACAGAACCTGACTCTAATCGGTAACTAGTTGATTTGCCAAAAAGGCCTTGCTAACTGTTTCTTGAAAAATATCCAACAATAAGGATAAGCTAAAGGTGAAGCATAGCTGAAAGGGGAGCCTTCAGGTGTCCATGAATCGATTATGTGTCAGTCGACCTCTTTTTCTCCAAGTCTGGTTGTCCCCAAGCTTTATGTATGAACGAATTTTTGATTGGCGTCCTTTTCTCCCAAAAAAATTCGAATCTTTCTCTGCAAAGAGTTGTCTCTTTTTCTCTTGTTCTATTCAATCCCGATTTAATTTGAACTACAATTTGCGTGAATGACTAATACAATGACTAACCTCCAATCAACCCCGACTTACGTTTTTATTTACAAAAGTGTCAAATTTTGTTGTTTTTGAAAAAAAAACGACTTAATCGATCTCGTGATATCAACTTGGCGATTTTCTTAACACATTCGACGGTATTTTGAGCGTACAGTCGTGTAGTCGTTATTGTTTTAATGATAACTTTGGTGAATATTGAAAGAACTAAACTATTTCTAAACTAAACTATTAAAGTCATTGAATAGTCGCGAATCTTCTCTTAAAAACTAAAAAGTTATCGAGGATTTTCTGCGAAACAAGTTCCTTAAAACGAAAACAAAAATCTTTAAAAACTTGAGTTGATATTAAAAATAATCATCATTTTTGGCAATTCAAGGTTTTATTTACCTACTTATTCGATTTCTAAACGCATTGCTTAAATTCATTTCACCCCAATATTTCTATTTCAATATTTCTGTACACTTTAAAGCACAAATTGTTATTCAAGGATTGAATATAGCTGTGAAGAATTTCCCCGTCAAGAAATCCTAGTGTCCTATCTCAGTCGGGTCTGGGTTGACTATGGTTTTTGGTTTTTGGAAAAGAAAGAACATCAGAAGATCACTTGTAATTGAAAGAAATCAAACATTTCTGCAAAAATAGTACTTATTTTAAGCACAAATTGTTATCCAATGATTAGATCTAGTTATCGCCTAGGACATTGCATTATCAAACCTATTCTCAAAACAAAAATGATCATAGAATCAAGCATAATCAAGAAAAAGAACCATAAAAGGAAAGTAGCGTCAGAAAGCCGAAGTATCGTTCTGAGTCAACATTTGGAGTTATAAAGGACAGAAAAGGGATGAAAAAAGACAAGACAAGCCAAGACAAAGTATTCAATAATGTAGGTTTAAAAGTAGAGAAAAGGGGAGGAAAACCGGTAATGATTCATGGGGTGAAAGGGTCGGAAAGCAGAAATTGTATGAGGCTGAAAGTGTGCGTCCTTCTCTCTTCCAAAGCTCCGCCCCAAAAAATGTGCGTTCTCTATTTCCTTTTGACCCATTGATGTGTCTTTTCCTTCATCCAGTGACCCTTTTCGACCTGTCTTTTGCTTTTCTTCATCTGTTTCCATTTGGAAACACATGTTTTCACCAGCACAGCCTTGAATTGTTCTCTCAATTCATCATTTTCGCATATTGTTGGATACTTGATCTTGATCTTTGGCTTGATCTTTAGCTTGATCTTTAGCTTGATCTTTAGCTTGAGCTTTTTCAGCTTATAATAAAGCATAAGCATAACTTTTTCAAGAAAACTAAAGCTTCTTTTAGTCTTAGACTTTGGGTTTTGATTGTGATTGAAAAAAAACATTTAGGATTCCTGAATTAGCTTGAGATAGATCTTTAATAATTTTTGATTTCTATAAGATTAGATAAAAGATACTATTCTGTCTTTTGTTGATCATCTAATGTTTAAGCTCAAATTTCTTCGTATTGAACTGTTCAATTTAAATAGTTTTTGTATCAATGGATAGAGAAAGACTTGGCGCATCTAATAATACCAACAATACTCAAATTGAATAGCTCAACACCAAGATATTTGAGCTTAAAGTTAGATTGTTAATGGGAAAAGGATGGCGTGTATCAAATGTTCGATGATCCATCTGTTCTTGGAGTTGTTAAGTTTTGAATACTTAGATTAGGTGTTAAATTTACAGTTCTTTGAGAACATTACCGTCTACTTCTCCAGTACAATCTTTAAGCAACATTTTTGATCACTTTTCGTCTTTAAATCAATCTTGTTTCTTGAGTTTTTTCTGGGTTCGACTTTCCCAGGCTAAACAAATGGTTCAGTAATTTTTTTTTCAGTTCAGTTCAGTAATTTTCAATCCGATAAACCTCTTATAATTTGATATCAGAAAATGAATCAATCATTTCTTAAACTGATCACTTTTAAGCTTTATAACGATTCAAAGTTATTCAAGAGCCCGGGGATTCAAAATACAGCCAGCTTTACAGCTTTTTAAACATTAAAAACTCAACCACAACTTTCAACAACATTTCTTATGAAACTTTTCTCAAAAATCGTTGAATTTCTTGGTACGGAGAGAGGTTTTGCGAAACTTGACACTCATCAACTCAGCTGTTGTGGGGGAAAGGGGTGACCGGGCAAGAAAATCCGATATTCAGTGCCCTTTCCCCCATTTCAATCGTTTATGCAAATCTCGGAGACATCAAATGTTTTGGTAGAAAGAGTTCTTCTTCTTCTTTTCTTCTTTTTCTTTTGTACTTGCGCCTTTTTCAACTTGTAGACATTTTTTTAAACCTTTTTCTTATAATATTTGCAATTGTCACTGTATAAAGAAGAGTGTGTTCCTGTTGTTTTCTAAAAAGCATTTGTTTTACCATAATTAAATAGTCGATGAGCTCAATTTTGACTGAGCTTTGTGATTTCTTAAAGAAGGGGGTAGGCTAGTTTCCGCAACTTTTTTTGCGCACTATCAGGGTCATTTGCGCAACTGGGTCGTTTGCGCAAATCGGCATAACTTTCTTCTAAGTGGGCTAATCTTTATGATTTTGGTCTCATTTTGTAGATCTCAATAAGTGCAATAAGTGCCAATAAGTGCCTACCCCTAAAGAAGACCAAAATAAGAGACCAAAATTGGGCTAAATAAATGAAAACGAATTCTTTTAATACAAGAGAATTTATTTCTAATTTTCTTATCCAAATTGAGCATTTCTCTTGATTTTTTTTGTATCAAATTCATTATCAAATAATCAAATATTTAACTTTTCAGCAAATACCCTCGATTTTACATGTTTCGGTGTGAAAAGTGTGAAAAATTATTGGAATGGATTTATTGACGAGCTCACGCGGTGACTCGGCTTCGGTGCAAGTGGCACTCAGGTGGGCATACAAATTACTTCTATTTCTCTATTCATTTCATTTTTTTTTTCTTCATTCTCTTCATTCTCTTCATTTAAACACATATTTTGAATATTTAATAATAAAATATAATAAAATAATCACTACCGATTGTACCTTACTATTAGTATTTTTTTTTTGCACAAAATATCAATAACTTTCATGCACAGATGGTCCCCTCAGTCATTTGACCCCGAAAAGCCTTCTCCTAAGCATCAATCAATCATTAAGCTTTCTCCGGGTCTATAGCATTCAAATATTCTGGCAAAAGTAAAGGTAGATCTTAAGTTAGATCTTAAACCCATCTTAACTGAATTTGATTCGATTCAGAGTTGAGCAAACTATTCAAAACGTTTTCTAAACGGCAAAACACCCATCTTGTAGATTTTTAAATGTTAAACTATTCTAAATTCGAAATCTTTTAGTTATTTTCTCTTTTGATATCATTTTCCAGCTCTCAGAAAGTTTCAACAATCTTTTTTCCTTTCTTTTTCTTTCTCTTTCCCATCACTGAACGAACGGGGGTTAACTACTTGAAGAGTAAATAAGTGTGACCAAAGAAAAGAGATAAAGAAAAGAAATGAGCAAGCTCTCAATAAATCTTTGGATTGAGTGTGCGCAAGGAGGGAGGGGGCGGGGAGAGAAAGGGGAGAGGTCGAGGGTCCTTTGTCGGTCACCTCCGCCCTTTCTTCTTCTATTGCCATAACTCCATCTTTCTCTTCTTCAAGTGAATCTATGGGAAAGTTCAGCTTAACAAAATACACTAAACCAAATCTTGATCAATATCCTTTAAGTGAAAACTAAAAGAATCAGTTGAACAAGTGGCCATTAAGATAAGGTGCTGAAAAGTTGAATCCAGTTTTGTAGCTTTGTAGCTATATAGCTTGGTTTTTACTAATCATTTAGTTATTTTTTTTGCTTTTCAAAAGTTTTAACTTGAAAATCGATCACAGCCGCTCCTACAACAGTTTGAACATTGAACTCTAAATGCTAACAACAAAAATTATTATGATAATAAATATAAACAGCTGTAGAAAAGGGGACAAGACTGGTTCAGAGATTTTAGAAGCTCAGTGAGCAAGATTGGTTTCAATTTACATGAGTGACAAAGTTTGGGCAATTGTTCCTGTCTCTCCTCCTTTTTTTGGATACAGCTCTGAAGGATTCATGCAAAAAAACAAAACAAAAAAACCCGAATTCCCGCAGTTCGAGTACAAGTTGGCAACTTTCCAACTCTAAATTCTAAAGTATACACTTAATCTACCGTACTCGAGACGGCATCTCTCTTTTCCCCTATAAAATAAAGTCCTGCCCCTTCAAAATTCATTCTTTTAAAGAATCGGTCCGGCTGAATAGCTGAATTTGATTCGATTCAGAGTTGAGCAAACTATTCAAAAGTTTATTCAAAACGTTTTCTAAACGGCAAAACACCCATCTTGTAGATTTTTAATCGCCGTGTCTTTCGCGCGTGTATGTTCCCTTTTCTCTAATCCCCTTATAAAATTCTGTTTATTGTTAAAATTTTCCTCCTCCTTTTATTGTTTTTATTGTTTCTCTCTTGTTTCTTTTAGAATTGTTTAGGTTTTAGAGTTTCTGTACTTTTCCCGTTCTTTCCACTTTGTTGGTCACTTTTCCCGTTTTTCGGACTCGTGTCTTTTTCACCGATAAAGTTATGAAAAATCTGGACATCTTTTTCTATAAACGCTAGTCAATCCAACCCAGCCGCGAATCATCTTGTTATTCCTCTCGTTTTGGCAAATCATTTGAAATGTGTTTCTGGGTTAAAAGATTTAGCAGTTTGGGTACGATTGACGCAGAATTTGGTTGTTTGAAACCGTAATACGTTACTCACATTTAAAAGCTCAAGGTTTTCATTTCGATTTAATTTTATGAGACTTTTAAGGTATCTTTATCTTTAAGATCTTATTCTTTAAGATCTTTAAAGTTTTAAGAAGTCAAATCGATCCAAAGCGATGATTGTAAGCTGGATTTTTGGATTTTGAAATGAACACTAAGTCAAAAAGATTTCTTCCCAATATTCGATATTTCGAAATCTCCCAATTCTTTGTTTCTTTTCGTTTTTTTTTGGAAAGAATTGAATGTTTGTGAGCAATTATTTGCGTTGCGCATCAAATATTCTAGAGAGAGTGAGAATTGGAGGGAAAGAAGAAAAAGGGGAAAGCTTTAGGGTGAATGGATTTGAGGATTATCCCCCTAACTGATTCACGTTTTTCTAGCAAAGGTGATCAATTTTTGGATCGATCGACGATCGGCTAATGTTCTAAAGCACACCTAGAAAGCTACCGTAAATACTGTAATAGTACCCCACCCCCATAATGACGGTGCGGAGTGTTGCGTAGTCTAGCTTTGCACGCGTTTTTCTCGGCACTGGCTTATGCTACAATGCTCGTTTAGGTATCAAAAGATAGCCTTGAATTTTAGCTATTTTTTGATACCAAAGACGCATTTTTTGAAAGTACGGGCGCTTTGAAAAAAATGAAATACGAAAAAACTTTTGCGACTACGCGACTGTACGAGGGGGGTGGGGTACTATTACAGTATTTACGGTACCATAATTTTCTTGCTTATGAAACTTTTGAATTGAAACTGGTGTGTTTTTTTGAAGTCGAAACTTTCCCCATTCGTTTCTCATATATGCAAATTCTCTTACTCAAGGTCACCAGGCTGCTTTACGCAAAATCTTATGTGCTTTCAAAAAGGTTTAGAAGAATACTATAATATTGCGAAGGAAAAAAGGATGAACGATATAAAATATTATAATTAGAAAGCAATAGAAAAATGAGAAATGGATAAAATCTAGAAAAGCTTGACATCTAGAAAAGCTTTCAGAATCCGACCTCAAGGCAATCGAGAGAAGCTTGATGGATCAAAAGTCTGCACTTCCGTCATCCCAAATGAGCCTCAGGTTGGGGAAACTTTAGCTAAAAATTAGCCAATAAATTAGCCAATAAATTGTAAATTCTTTTAGAATATATCAATAGTACTTAAATTTTCGATTAAATTATTCGATTGAAATCGATTTAAACTCATTTGAAATGTTTCCAGGTGACCATCGGCGGCGATCGCTCATTCACTTACGATAATGTGTTTGATACACTGGCTGAACAGGTGAAATTTTTGAATTAATCCTTAAATATATAATATTATAATCAAAAGAAAGAAATATATTTAATATTTAATATATTTAATATATTTAATATGTAAACTTTTCAAATTTTAGACTGAAGTCTACGAGAAATGCATTGATAAACTTGTTGAGGGAACTTTTGATGGCTTCAACGCTACCGTTTTGGCGTACGGACAAGTGGGTTTAAAAATTTTATTTAAATTTATAGTTACTTTCAGTTCCATTCTAGTAGTTAATTTCATTGGTTCTTTCAAAAATTGAATCTAGACCGGCTCTGGCAAGACGTACACAATGGGAACGGCGTTCGATGCGGGCAATATCCCGGAGGAGTTGGTAAGGGAAATTACTGTAATCTAAAAGTGGAGAATAGAATTATTCTTGTAAAAAAAAGTCTGAGTGGCTGAAAAACTGGCTGAAAAACCTTACTATTCAACCTTGGACCATTTAAAGACCAAGCCTGCCTTTTGACCAGTGCAACTCTAACCGTATTTGAGGCTTTAAGCCAGGCCTAATCTGGCTTTATCGCAAGCCTAGCTCACAAAGGTACCTATTTAGTCATTTAACCAGGGTTGTTCCAAAGAAAATTTCCAAATTGAGCCAAGATTTGGTCAGACCTAGCATAGGTAATCAGAATCCAATTTGGCTTGGCTTATCGCTTAATTGGCACAGCCAGAAGGCAGGCCATCCGACTTTTAGCAAGCTCTGGTCTGTTCCTTTTGTCTGTTACAAGTCGTCGTTTTCGAGGATCCAATACGGAGCAACATTGAGTCAAAGAGGCAAGGATAATACCTCGAAATCCCATCAGTTTATCGATGGAAGCGATTTCTAAGCGTTAAAAAAACCGATTTCATCTTATCAAGTATCAATTTTTGAACGAAAATCGAAAACGAAAATCAAGTACAAGATCATTCAGATCGGCGTTGTCCCTCGAGCGGTCTACCATGTTTTTCGACGAATCGGCGAGCTGCGAGCTGAAGCAGCCGACAAGGGAATCGTTCCGCCAACATTCGATGTCTCCGTGCAATTCATCGAGGTTTAAACATCAAACAGACAACGCTTCAGCACATTTGTTTTCAGCTCTACAACGAAGAGATCCTTGATCTGTTATCCGATGATCGAACTTCGTCAGCAAACATCAGAATTCATGAGGTTTGGCGTTAAAAAAAATGAGATAAATGCAAATTTTTAAGGGTATTTTTGGTATAAAATAGAAACAAAAAACGTGATTTCAAAAAAACGATAAATTTTAGGACGTACAAAAGAACGAGATCTATCTGCACGGGTGCGCGAATCGGCTTGTTTCCGATGCTCATCAGGTAATCCATTTTATATTAGTTAAGAGATGATTGATTGACTTGGAATCACTTAACCTATAGATATTCTATATTCTAGACGCTCGAGGTTCTCAAGAACGGTGCGCTGAATCGAACGGTGGCCGCGACGAATATGAACGAGCAATCCTCGCGATCGCACGCCATTTTCACGATGCAGATCCGACAACAGCGAGTCGCTGTGCATGGAGGTAAATTGTTATGAAAAAAAAGAATGATATCCTAATTTTACGAAGCTATAACAAGATTGTAAACTCTTTTAGAATCAGCCTCTAGCGGGGAAACCGAATTGGAGATCTTGACGGCAAAATTCCATTTCGTCGATCTGGCAGGATCGGAGCGATTGAAGCGAACGGGAGCCACGGGAGATCGCGCGAAAGAGGGCATATCGATCAATTGTGGATTGGTGAGTGGGAAATTAAGATCATATTCAGTAACAGGGTCAACCCAGAGCCGGGCCGAAGCAAGCTCTGGCTTCTGACTAACCCTGGCCATCTTTTGTTCACAAAAGTTGATTTTAACACTCTTGACCCCAGTTATTTTCCTTTTTCCTTTCTCATCTCCCTTGTATTTCCTTTTTCTTTCCTGGCAAATAGATGCCGGACAGCTCAGTGGTTAGAGCGTCTGTCCGGAAAGCAAAAGGGTCTGCCAAGAGTCGATGGGTTCAATCCCATCTCCGGAAATCTTTCTTTGCCATTCTTTGCTTTAAAGTAACTTTAAGATATCAGTTAATTTATATTAAATTTGTTTTTAATCTTTAAATTTTCAAATGTTTAGCTTGCTCTTGGTAATGTGATCTCTGCATTGGGTGGAGCTAGCGGGAAGGTGTCTCATGTTCCATACAGAGACTCGAAATTGACTCGTTTATTGCAGGATTCACTCGGTGGAAACAGGTGGAATAAAAAATAAAATAGATATATAGATAAAATATTAGTACTTTTAAATCTAATAGATAAGTTATCTAGCTGCTTTTTTAAAGCTTCAAGTGAGCTACGAGTTCTACAGCACATCTAGGACTTTATAGATGAAAGTTTTCGATTTAGATCTAAATGTTTACTGTAGACAACCAATGCTGGCTTATTGTAGTCTAAAAAAAATATCTAGGCTTACACTGTGGTTGATTTTTGATTTTCGATTTTTCCAGTCGTACCCTAATGATCGCTTGTGTTTCCCCATCGGACAGCGATTTTGTCGAAACGCTCAACACAATGAAATACGCGAATCGCGCGAAGAACATCAAGAATAAGGTTGGATTTGGTTTATTTGAAAAGAAAATATCTGAAAAACAAGGGAAATATTGATAAAATGCATGTAGATGAAGCTAAAAAGACTTCAAAATTGAATTCACGTAGCCTAGGAGCTAAAACCAAGCTTCGTTAACTTTTTAACTTTCGTGATTCATTGTGATGCATTCTTCGAATCACTTTTTACATTTCTATATTCTTTAGTTTACTTATTATATATTATTTCTATTTCTCTTTTACATTTAAAATTCTAGGTTGTCGCCAATCAGGACAAATCGTCGAAAGCAATCGGCGAGCTTCGAGCCCGAATTGCTCAGCTGGAGACTGAGTTGTTAGAGTATCGACAGGGTAAGGAATTAAGCGTATTTTTTTTTGCGTACTTTGCACTCAACAAATGTGAACACACCATCTCTCGTGCACTCATTTCTTTTTCTGTTCGAGTGTCGCAATAAATAAGTGCTGAATAAGCCCCAGAAAGGAGGTGTGCTGGTGATTGGAACCTAGAAAACTACCGTAATCTTTAGTTTTATAGTTTGTCTAAAATAGATGTCTTTTAGAAAAAGCATTACCTGAAAATGGAAATGAAGAATCTCAAAGTTACAGTATACTTTAAGCTGTACAGTACAGTACACCAATGGCACTTGTTTTAGTGGATCTTAAAGCTACAGTAGACCCAGCTACAGTACACCTAGCTACAGTACACCCAGCTACAGTGTACCCAGCTACAGTAGACCCAGCTACAGTGCACCCAGCTACAGCGCACCTAGCTACCTAGTACTTTTCAAGCTCCATTTTCAGGTCGTCGCACAGTGAACGGTGATGGTTTAGAGGTTGTATCCGATCAATATCACGAGAATGTCATGCTTACGGTAATTGATAGAGCTTTATATTCAAGATTCGAATAAGTCTTTCAATTTTTCAGTTTTCAATACTGAAACAACAAGAGTTTTCAATGCAAATTTCAGGCTGAAGTGAATCAGCTTCGTTTCCGTGTCAAAGCTTTCCAAGAAACGAATGAAATTTTGCGAGGGAGAAATGTCGATATTCAGGTATATCTAGATATATGTCGTAGCCGATTATGAATGAATGGGTCTAGGAGCGTCCAATCATCAAGTATTTAGTATCATTCAACGCAGAATCATTGATAATTATGTTAAATTTTTGAAATTAGAAAGATTGGATAAAAAGAAAAAAAATTATGGGGCTTCAAAGTTTTCTCTTGAACAAACAGTTTTTTTGCTCTAATTTTTTTTTCTTTTTATTCAATCTTTCTAATTTAAAAAATTTAACATAATTATCAATGATTCTGCGTTGAATGATACTAAATACTTGATGGTTGGACGCTCCTAGACCCACTCATTCATCATCGGCTACGGGGGTCCCGCCGATTTTGAATGAAACGTTGTAGCGCCGGCAATTTTTAACCTAAACTCACAAATTTGGTACCAATCGACGCAGAATTGAATTCGCTACAAGATGATATAATATTGTCCTCATACATTAAAGGGTTGCTCTACTAGAAAGATTTGCCAAAAAATTTCATTCATAATCGGCTACGACATACACATAATATCTTAACTCTATAAATGCAAATTTCCCAGACGAAACTCGATTGTGCCAAGGTCGGTGTGGTGTTGAGCGGTGATGGGAAAGGTGAGTGGAAAGAGGAAGAGGAAGAAGTAGAAGAAGAAGAAGAAGAAGAAGAACAACAACAACAACAGCAATCATTCATAATTATTCTTCTATCTATTCTAGTTTTAGATTTTAGACTTAATTATGTAAATTTTCCAGACGATGACGCTTTCTCGAACGTCGTCCGTGGGTATGTCGATGAAGTGGAAAGGGTAAGGGCAAAATATTACAAGAATTTGAATATTAAAACTTTGGTAGAAAAAAAAACAAGTAAAATTTTGCCTAATCTTAACTATAGTTTAAATTGATAAACTTCTTGAATAATTTCTAAACTTCGATAGTTTTAAGAAGCTCACAAATGTGTGAGAGAAAATTATTTACACATTTAACGATAAATTCTACATTTATTAGGTTGATGCAAAAGTCTTTTTCATTTTTTTCGTACTTCTGTTAAAAAGTAACAAATTCACCAATTAATCTATAGTTTGCTCTATAAAAAAAGTGTTTTTTTGTTCAATTTGCATCTTTTTAAATGAATTTCGGTTCACTTTGAAGCAAATTCGAGAGTGAAAAACGCCTTTTTCGTAAAAATCTATAAAAAACTCTACGGAAAAATTGGCTGAATGAATTTCTCTGAAATTTTGGCGAAATATCAAACGTTTTTTTTCTCTATCTTTTATCTATTGACACGAAGATAGGCTTTCTTTAGCTAAGGTGTCTAAACCGCATCATCGAGTTAGCCCTTTTTGACTACCCGACTTCATACTCTCAAGAAAATCCAGGCATTCAATATTTTTAAACCCGTTTTAATGTTATTTTGCAGAAAAATAATTGGTTTTTTTAATGAAATCAACCGTAGTTTAATTCGTGCATTTGTTGGCTTGAAACGGCAGACGAAAAAAATGAAAAAGACTTTTGCATCAACCTAATAGATATAGATATTTAAGATAATCTTTAATATTTTATAAATTTTTAGATTCGATCTCAACTTTACGAATCACAGGCAACTTGTGAACAATTGAGACGCGAGAGTACGAGGTGGAAAAATCAGGTGAGTAGAGAAGAAGTGAAGGAATTCAAAAGATAAGTAGATTTCTGGAGAGGGCATTGAACGATTGACCTTTTGCTTTCTAGACAGCTTTTTAGTCAGCTTTTCAGACAGCTTTCTAGACAGCTTTTCAGACAGCTTTCCAGACAGCTTTCCAGACAGCTTTCCAGCCAGCTTTCTAGACAGCTTTCTAGACAGCTTTCTAGACAATTCCTCTAACTACTAAGCTATCTGATACCTTAACTTGAAAAAAGAAAAAGGGAAAGACAAGGGGGAAGAAGAAAAGAAGAAAGAAAGAAAGAAAGAAAGAACTTCATTAAAATAGTACTTCTTTAAATTTCATTGATTTTTAGGCAATGTCTGGCGGTGGAATGGGTCAATCGATGTCGATGTTTGACAGTGGACAAGCACAACTCATTGACGAAGCGAGAGGAGATGTGGAGAAGTTGAGGGGAAGATTGGCATCAATACAAGCAAATGATAATGGAGGTTGGAGAGGAAAAGGATCATAGAATTCCGATCGAAATCCAAAGTAAATAACATAATTTTCTTTAGAGACTTCTGACTACGCATCTCCATTAGAGAACACTGAAGAGGACGCGACGGATGAAGGTTTAGTTTTTTTTTATATCTTATAATTGTACTTTTAGAAACAACTTAATTTTTAAAAAAGCTACTGTAAATACTGTAATAGTACCCCACCGCCCATAATGACGGTGCGGAGTGTTGCGTAGTCTAGTTTTGAACGAGTTTTTCTCGGCACTGGCTTATGCTACAATGTTCGTTTAGGTATCAAAAGATAGCCCTGAATTTTAGCTATTTTTTGATACCAAAGACGCATTTTTTGAAAGTACGGGCGCTTTGAAAAAAATGAAATACGAAAAAACTTTTGCGACTACGCGACTGTACGAGGGTACTATTACAGTATTTACGGTAGAACTTTAAAAAGCCAAAAAGGATTTTGTTTAAGGTGAGGGTGACGATGAAGAAGAACTACCCGACGATGAAAATCCGGAAACAACAGCATTGAGGGAGAATCTAGCTGATTTACAGACTGAAATCAACATCAAAGAGAGGTGAGTGAATAGAGAAATCGAGCAATCATAAACTATTTACAATACAATTTCAAACAATGATGATCAAGTACGATAGTACTTCTTTGAATTTCATTGATTTCTAGGCAATTTCTGGCGGTGGTCAAGCGTCACTAAAACCCTAATCACCATTTCTAGATTGATCTCCGAATTGGAGCGATCTGAGCGTCGTCTCTCCGAGGTCCGTCTAACATATGAGAGAAAATTAACAGAACTCTCGACTAAAATCAAAGCAACTGAAGCAGAAAGGGATAAGATGTTGGCTGATATGGTGAAAGGATCGACGGATAAAGCTGGAGAAGAAAGGGCTAAGGTTGGGTAAAATTGTAAAAGTTTAACTTTAAAACAAATTTCAGATGATTCGCGATGATTACGAGCGAAAATTGTCCGATATGCGACATGAGTTTAAAAAGTTGCAAATGATAGAGAGAGAACACAAGAGAATGCAAGCAAGGCAAGAAGTCGAGAGACAACAGATGATGAGATATCAATCCGAATTGAAAGACCTCAAGAAGATCAAGGTTTCGATCAGCTTTTTGGTTCACTTTACGTCTGTCTGTCTTTCTGTAGCTCTTGGGTACGGTAGCCAGCTGGATACTGTAGTCGAGTTACTATAGCTAAGCTAAAATGCTTGGATTCTATAGCTAAGCTATTGGATACGGTAGTTGACTGGATAATGTAGCCGAGCTATCGAGTACCGTAGCCATTGGGTACGGTAGAGGAGGTTGGGACACGGTAGACGAGCTTGGGGTACAGTAGAGGAGCTTGGGGTACAGTAGAGGAGCTTGGGGTACAGTAGAGGAGATTGGGGTACGGTAGACGAGCTCAGGGTACAGTAGAGGAGTTTGGGGTACGGTAGATGAGCTTGGGGTACAGCAGAGGAGCTTGGGATACAGTAGATGAGCTTGGGGTACGGTAGACGAGCTTGGGGCACGGTAGACGAGCCTGGGGTGCAGTAGACGAGCTTGGGATACGGTACGGTACACTTTAGAGAACCAGTGGCATAATCAGCTACATAGTTTACTGTTTACAGGTCGATTTGGTGAAGAAAATCCGTGATGAGATAAAACGCGCACAACAAGATACGATGAAGAATGCGAAGAAGATAGCCGCTTTGGATAAAGAGGCCAGGTGGGCTGTTAACTGAATATCTATTTAAAATAGAAATTGAATATCTAGATTTCTCTAATATCAGCTAGGTAGCTTTTCTAAAATTTGCATTAACCTTGAAAATTAGTATTTGTAAATTAGCATCGGAAAACTCTTGATTCCCTCGTTCTTTCCGAGACTCTGATTCTTATTTTCATATTTATTTTTCATAACTTTGCATATTTCATTTCAAAAATGTAAGAATTTAAAAATCTGATTACTTTTCCGTTTTTATTACGATTAACCCTTGTTCAATCCTTTACCCTCAACAAAACACAACAGATAAAGCGAAATCGGTAGACAACTTTTATAATATAATAGATAAACTATAATATATCCGTTTACAGAAAGAAAGACAATCAAATCCGAATGTTGGAAACAAAAGATAAACAACGAGAAGCGTTTATGAAGAGAACAACGGAAGAGGTGGGGAAATAAGAGTAAGATAAAAGATAAAAGATAAAAGATAAAGATAAAAGGTAAAGATAAAGATCAAAGATCAAAGATAAAAGATAAAAGATAAAAGATAAAGATAAAAGATCAAGATCAAGATAAAGATAAAATATAAAGATAAAGATAAAAGATAAAAGGTAAAGATAAAGATCAAAGATAAAAGATAAAAGATAAAGATAAAGATAAAAATAAAGATAAAAGATCAAAGATAAATGATAAAAGATAAAATCAAAGCTCTATGCACTTTAAAACGCTCATTTTTCACTTAATTTTTAGGTAAATCGACTTCGAAAAGCTCAACGAGACGCGCAACGGACGGCGAGTCAAAACGCACGAGCGGCGACCAGGTAAAGTTTTTTTTTGCAGCTTTCAAATCGATTCAAATCGATTGATTTCAAGAGGCCAATCCTTCTAACTTCCCCAAACTCACTTAATATAAAATGCCTAAAGCTAAAGCTTGATTTCAAATCTTTAAATTTCAGAGGCAATGCTGTGGCCAAGGGTCCACTAAAAAATCAAAAAGAAATGTTCAATCCACGAGCCGCTAAAGCAAAATGGATGGCCATTGAGAAGAAGGTTTCATTTCATTTATTCTTTTTTATTTATTAATTAAGTATTTATTAATTAAAAATTCTATTATCTTTTATTTTCAGTTGATGCGTCTCGTCTCTGAGAAGCAAACCGTGCACAAAATGGAAGAGGAATTGGAGAGGAGAATATCGGAGAGACACACTTTATTGGATCAGATCATTGCATTGGTGAGAAGATTTTAGAGATCGCGTTACTGTAGCTGTTCAAATTTCTAGGAAAAAGCGTTCGTTTCGGTGCAAGAGGTGGCTGAACGAGAGGCGATCGGCGAAGAGCTCGAGGGTGTACGGTAAGCACTTACATAGAAAGGGAATTCAATAGAAAATGGGCTTTGGGAAATTTCGAAACAAATTAGCCTATTTTAGAGAGAAGATTCGGAGCTTTTAAATGCTATCAAATAGCTATAAGTTGAAAAGTAAAGATTGAGAATAAAGGGTTATTTAATAAAGGGTTGAAAGCGATCATTGAAATGATGATTGTTTCGAGTTTTCTTCTGAATGATCATTTGAGAGTTGAGATTTGAGATTCTAATCTCTGATTAGAGATTCTAATCTCTAATCAGAGATTCTAATCTCTAATCAGAGATTTGAGATTTTCGGAATTTTTTTATGAATAGTAGGAAGGATTTGAGCGAGATTTGAGATTTCTGATTAGAGATTTAGAGCGAAACTTCGCTATGTGCAAGATTTGATCCAAGAAACTCAACAAACGATCGCCTCGGTTGACGACACGACAAAGGTCAGTCTTCGGAAAGTAGTATTAGAGTTTTTTTTTCTCTAGAAATTGCTTCTTTCTATTGTAATCTTGTCTAGTTTCTGTTCAATCCATCATTTAACCCTTAGAGAATCACTCAAAAGAGATAGATTGATTTCAATTGCTTTAGATTGCTTTAAACTAGATTGCTTTAAACTAGATTGATTTAAACTTAAGCTTGTTTTTCAACTACCCTTAGAGAGTCACTCAAAAGATTGCTTTAAATTGCTTTAAACTAGACTAGATTGCTTTAAACTTAAGACAAAATTACGAATTATGATCTTTTTGAAAATCGGTACTTTTCCAGCAACTCAATTTACTTAGATCAGGTGGTCAAATGACATTTTGCTATCTACCATTCGACGCAGAATTTCACACTAATTCCGAATATGATTTCAGCTTTTGCTATGCGCTACCATATCAAAAGTTATACGAGTTTAAAGTTTTCGCAAGCCCATTTTCGAACTCAAGATCAAATTCTGATAAGTTAGTTTCTCCAAAGGGTTTCAAAAACCGCCAGTGGCCGAGTAGTGAGTTCGCATGGGAAGCGAAGCGCCAGTGGCCGAGTATTGAGTTGGCATTGGAAGCGAACGTTCTTCATCTTATTCTAAATATCTTTCTCGTTATATGCAAATTCCCAGGCAAAAAAGGCTTTATTTTAATCAAAGAAAAGTTTATTTTTGTAGAAGTAAAATGAAGAATATTTCAAGCAAAAAAAAGGGTTTTTAATGCAGAAAATAGGCAAGATTGTAAAAACGAGTGATTGAGGCTAAAAGTTTAGGGTAATTGGCAAGACTAATTGTGAAGAGACGGTGGCTTTAAATGGGGAATTTTTCATGTAAATTTTGTATACCGTATTTTCTCTAATAGTAGTGCACCCCGGCCGAGTTGGTGACGATTTTACGGTTCCCAAGCTTTTGCAGAAGCTCAACACTCAAATCATCGTCAAGATCTCATCATCAGCTACATTTTCCGATCCCACATCGATAGGTTCTGATAATCGGTTCTTGAGATTTCGAGGAATTTAGTCTACAATACTGCTAGTAGGGGTAATTCTAAAATTGTTGACTAGAACCGACTATTAGAACGGGTTATTTCGGGTTATTTATTGGGTAAGTACCGGTGACCTTTTCCTAACCAGAAGCACATCGTTTAGAAATGATTTACCGTATTCGCTCTAATAGTAGAGCCGAGTTGATGACTATTTTACGGTTTCCAAGCTTTTGCAGAAGCTCAACACTCTAACAGCTACATTTTCCAATCCCACATCGATAGATTTTGATAAGCAGTTCTCGAGATTTCAAGGAATTTAGGCGTGCACTACTATTAGAGTGCGGGTGCACTACTATTAGAGAAAGTACGGTATTTCGAGTACGAAATTGGTTCAATTTAAAGAAGAGAAGAGAAAAAAAGCGTTCTTTGGTGACGACTTATGATAGAAATTGATTTCTTTTAGAAAGTTTCTTTTAGAAAGCTGACATTTCGAGTAACGATAATTTGAGTCATTTTTTTTAGCGAATTAACAAAAAGGATTAAAGGATTGGTGTCTTTTTAACGTAGAAAAAGAAAATAAAATAAATGGAATGGCGCACCACGTAGTCCATATGTACAAAAAGGCAAAACTCTCCCATAAAAAAAAGTTAAAAAAAAACAAAAAGATTTTGAATTTCTTACACACAAAATCACAACAATAAAGCAAAAAAAAATGGAGTTTTCTTTTTTCTTTTTGGTTTTTGATCTTTTTTAGTCCTTGTTGTTGACGATTAGAACCTAAAAAGTTAGCTTTAAAATCAAATTTACATTGAATTTTTAATGTTTTCATTCTTTTAATCAAGGAATTTATATGTTATTTGTGTCGCAATGTCTTAAGTTTAAAGACAAAGCGTCTTAGACAAGTCTTAAGACAAAGCGGTGCCCCTGGAGCACTGAATTCTCTCATTTTCTTGCATTTTCTTGCAGAAAAGCGTGAGAAAACTGAATTCCGTATGCTAGAAGGGGTGTTTTTAGTCTTGAGTACAAAATATTTGATTCTTAAATTGCTAACTCACCTGCGTGGGTGCTGGATGATCAGAGGTTGATGGCTGGGCTATCGATTTCTTGCTACTCCTTCCACCGATTGTCGATCGTCTCTGTGACAAATCGGGAAGCGGCTCTGGCTCCGGGGGACTAGAATTGGCATTGTTTCGGGAAAAATATCTAGCTGGATCGCTAGATCTCTAGATCTCTAGATCTCTAGATCTCTAGATCTCTAGATCTCTAGATCTCTAGATCTCTAGATCTCTAGATCTCTAGATCTCTAGATCTCTAGATCTCTAGATCTCTAGATCTCTAGATCTAGCGATCCAGCTAGATCTGCTAGAGCTGGTACTCAAGGCTATAAGCCATCGGTCGGGTTAAACCATGCTAGAGTCCAGGATTAGACTAGAACACTCGACTACGACAAGGCTAGTCAAGACCAGGTGGAATAAGTGCTCGTCTGGAGAGATAGAGAAATAAATAAGATCAGGACTAGACTAGGCTAAGGTTATCTGCCATGGTTTCGACTTCCCATTATGCCTTGGTATCTAGTTGTAAGTAGAATGATTTCCCCGACTCACTTATCGATTCGACGTTTGCTTGTGTAGGCCAACAGGGCGAACATCAACGAGCAAACGGCGGCACCAGACGAGAAAAGCAATCGCTTCCAGAATAAGTGCTCGCCTGAAGAGATAGATTTAGAAAACTCTATCTGATATAAGCTTTTAAATAATCTATCGTAATTCAATAGAAAGCTACTCCTTTGTACTATAGATAGGGCACAAAATGATAGAGAATTGGCGTCTTTTGAAATGCTTACAATAGCAATTTCCTATATTTATTTACTATAATTCTAAGATAATAGATATTTTAAAATAGAGATCTTTATCTATTTACTAGAAAACAAAAAATTCTTTACCTGAAAAGAAGGCTAACCAAAGACAAATCGCCAACGAAACGGCGCATCCGAAAATGCACAAAACAAGCTAAAAATTTTTATTTATCCTTTAAATATTTTCATAAACTAAATAGAATCAAATCTTTTTGTTTACAATAAATTTTTGACATCAATTTTCTGCTTGAGCTGTTGGGAATAGAGTCTGAAAACTCTACTCCCAACAGTAGAATTTGAAAACTCTACTCCCAACGGTAGAGTTTGAAAGCTCTACTCCTAACAGTAGAGTTTGAAAACTCTACTCCCAACAGTAGAGTTTGAAAACTCTACTCCCAACAGTAGAGTCTGAAAACTCTACTTCCAACAGTAGAGTCTGAAAGCTCTACTCCCAACAGTAGAGTCTGAAAACTCTACTTCCAACAGTAGAGTTTGAAAGCTCTACTCCCAACAGTAGAGTTTGAAAGCTCTACTCCTAACAGTAGAGTTTGAAAACTTTACTCCCAACAGCTCAAGCAGAAAATTGATGTCAAAAATGTCAAAAAAGAATAAAGAACAATTTGTTTTGTTGTCAACAACAAAAATTGAGAGTTGATTACTCGTTTTCAGTAAGGAAAAAGATTTCTTTGAAAGCTTTTTGTCGTTTTTTTTTAGTTTGAGTTCAACAAATGATCTCCTATTGAGGACTTGCAAGAAAAAGAAAAGAAAAAGAAAAGAAAAAAAAAAGAAAAGGAAAAGAAATTGAGAAGAAATTGAGAAGAAGAAAGAATTCAAAAGAAGCAGACCTCAATTTTTTCGTTTATTTTATGATCTTTTAAAAATTAGGAACGAAATTAGGTCAAAAATTGGAGAAAAGAGGTCGATTTTTGAATTTTTAGATAAAGTTTGCTTAATAGTTTATTCCTTTTTTTTTGATTGATTGATTTAATTTATAGTCTATTTGTTTATTGATCTATTGATAAATTTAGATCTATTGATAAACAGATTCTCTAGAGGATACTTTGAAGTTTCTACTTACTGTTGATTCAATAAAGTTATAGTCTATCTGTTTATTGATCTATTGATAAATTCAGAACCGATTCTCTAGAGGATACTTTAAACTTTCTACTTACTTTTAATTTAATAAAGTTATAGTCTATTTGTTTATTGATCTATTTTTTGCCAGATTTTCTGAGTCTTTGAACTATTTTTTCAATAAAGTTATAGTCTATCTGTTTATTGATCTATTGATAAATTTAGATCTATTGATAAACAGATTCTCTAGAGAATACTTTAAACTTTTAAAAAAATTTTATAAAATAAGCTCATTTGGTTTGAAAAATAACAAAAAGATATTGAATTTAAAGAAAATTTATTGTAAATTTTCGCCCCAATGGCTTCCAGGGACAATAAATCGATTAGAGCTTTATAAATAAATTCTATAATGATTTTATGACAGATTTACTCTCCTTCTTTATAAATAAACTCTACAATTCTACAATGATTTTATGACAGACTTATTCTTGTTCTCTTTTCTAAAACCTTTTTCAAATCTATGAAAGTATGGGAAAACTAGGGGAAATTCGTGGATTTCTCATTTTGGGAATAAGAAAAAGAAATCCATCAAATAAACGAAAAGATCTATGAATTTCACAATTTCTTCTCGAAAATTGAGAGTTCTTCCGGCTATAGAATAAAAAAAAAAAAAAAGCGGGGGAGAAATGTCAACAAATAAAATCTTTTCTCAAAAAATGAAAGGAAATCTTTTTTGGCAGCTTGGAAAGTTTTTTTGGGAGTGAATCCAGAAAGTAAAGCAATTGAATTGCAATTGAAGCAATTGAATTGCAGTTGAAGCAACTGAAGCAATTGAATTGCAATTGAATCAATTGACTTGCAGTTGAAACAATTGAATTACAATTGAATCAATTGAAACAATTGAATCAATTGAAGCAATTGAATTACAACTGAAACAATTGAAGCAATTGAGCAATACAGCAATGAGTCAAAAATGAAAACAAAACCTTTCTAGCGCACTGAATTCTTCGTTTTTCTACGAATAAAGAGAAAAATGAGAATAAAAGAGAAAAATTCAAGTGTTCAGTGCACCAGAAAAAACCTTGTTTATCAAATTTTTGAGCTTAAAAGTAGTAAAACTGTAAAATATAAATGAATATAGTTTTTGAATGTTTTAAGAAAAAAAAAAGATTCAAATCAAAATATGATAAAGAAAGATATAAAGATAAGATTCTATTTCAAATAATATCTATTCTATAATTTGAAACCTGTCCCAATGGATTCATGGCTCTCGTCTTGCATGGTGGTCGACTTTGGAGTAAAGTTTTCAGTTGACCTTTCCCATCCTCGGAGAATGATGCCTGAAAGTTCGATTAAGGAAAATTCAATCAATTTCACAAATATTTTTATGTAAATCATTTAAAAGTAAGGATTTAAAGAACTGATTTGAATTTTTTCTAAAGAATTGATTTGATTCGGATTTGATTCTAAAGAAATGATTTGATTTTAAAGAAATGATTTGGTTCTAAAGAACTGATCGGATTCTAATCTGATTCTGATCTGATTCTAAAGAACTGATCTAATTCTAACCGGATCCTAAAGAACTGATCGGATTCTGATCGGATTCTAAAGAAATGATTTGATTTTAAAGAAATGATTTGATTCTAAAGAACTGATCGGATTCTAATCTGATTCTAAAGAAATGATTTGATTCTAATCTGATTCTGATCGGATTCTGATCTTATTCTGATCTGATTCAAATCTGATTCAAATCTGATTCAAATCTGATTCTAAAGAACTGATCTAATTCTAACCGGATCCTAAAGAACTAATCTGATTCAAATCTGATTCAAATCTGATTCAAACCTGATTCAAATCTGATTCAAATCTGATCCTAAAGAACTGATCTGATTCAAATCAGATTCTAAAGCTTTAAAAGCAAAATAACCCAGCTATTCAGTTATCGACAAATAACATTTCCTTTAATAATTGAGCATTTTCATGTGCTTAACTTTTAGGTTAGATATTTTTTTGTTAAGCCCGCTACCAGTACTACTTTTTTATCCACAGAACCCTAGACTTTCTTAAAGAAGCCAGCTCTTGATTGATTTTTCAATCTTAGATCGATTTAGCTTCAATTTTCAAACATTTTCGACGATTCTTGACGCTTGGGCTAAGAGTGGAGCGCGATTGACATGACTGAGATGAGCGATCGTGGCGGGACGGGTTTGGCGGCTGATTTGTCGACTGGACATTGGTCACTTTCAATAGACTGAATAGGCTACTGTAGATTTGATGACTCTAGAACAGAGGTGTAGCCAACTGATCAGAATATCGAGTATTGTTCAGATTTTAGTCGAGTTTACTGTACTCGTTTACTCTAGAATCGTTTCCGATAGATTTGGAAAGATGTCTAGAAATCAGAAATTCCTGTAGTTGATTGGATTTGTGAATTGATTTAATATTTGAATCTTTTAAGGTTTGAATTCTAATGTTTGAATTCTAAGGTTAGAGCCAAGGATCGGAGTTTGTAGAAGAAGAGAGAATGAGAAGGGGAATTGAGAAGGGGAATGAGAATGAGAAGGGGAATTGAGAATCGCGTGATCTCGACAATGAAGTGATGTGTTTGCAAGGGGAAATTGTGAAGATGCGGTTGGTTAGCTTTCAGTGAATTGATGGAAAAGAGAAAGGAATTGGAATGAAAAGAGAGAAAAAAAGGGGGAGGGCCAAATGAGGCGCCGCTCGAGCGGGCATATCCCTTTTCTCGGAGCTGAAGGGGGGAGAGAAAGGCTGACTGTCACCTCCTCCCAGCGCTTTCTGAGCTCATTATCCCTTTTGTGAGTTGTTTTCCCCATGCCTGGAACACGTTAAAGTAGTTAAAGTATCGGTTTGTAGTGTTTGATTGTAGGAAATTGAATGAGCTACTGTAGAGTGAGATTTGTTGTTTTTAAGTTTAAACACCACAAAGAATTCTTCGAATTTCCTGCTACAGGAAATTCGAGTGTGCTAGACGGGGGTGTGTTTTGATGAGAGCATAAAGTGTACAATGAGTAACAATGAGTAACCTAAAAAGTATTTTAGGTAGATTTTTGGATATTTTATAATCGAAATTAATCAATTAAATAATCGAAAACTGTAAAATTCTTGGCTAAACGGGACAAGCTGTTATCAGAGATTTTGTATGTTGGAGTTGGAGTTGGAGTTGTTAAGTTTTGAATACTTAGATTGGGTGTTATTGTACAAAATTATTGTACTATTTGTTATGCAGAGAAGGTCAAAAAAAAAATGGCTTAGAGCTTCTATAATAAGACTTTAGAATATAATTTGGATATGTAACGCATTTAGCTAATTGTCAGCTTAGATTTGACAGCTTAGATCGACGATACACGTTCCGCCCCTTCTCCCATTTGCAATCTAACTTTAAGCTTAAATTTCTCCGTATTGAACTATTCAATTGAAATAGTTTTTGTATGAATCGATAGAGAAAGACTTGGCGCATCTAATAATACCAATAATATTTAAATTGAATAGCTCAACGCGAAGAGATTTGAGCTTAAAGTTAGATTTTTAATGGGAAAAGGATGGCGTGTATCAAATGTTCGATGATCTATCTGTTGTTGGAGTTGGAGTTGTTAAGTTTTGAATACTTAGATTGGGTGTTAAATTTACAGTTCTTTGAGAAAATTACCGTCTGCTTCTCCAGTAAAACCTTTAAGCACCATTTTTGATCACTCTTCTTTAAATCAATCTTGTTTCTTTGAGTTTTTTCTGGGTTCGACAAAGAATCTTTAAATTGAATAGCCCTCCACAAAGATATTTGAGCTAAAAGGTAGATTGCTAATGGGGAAAAAGGGCTGAGCATTCGACAACTGTTTGAAAGCGATGAAACTTTTCAGAAATGAACTCATTCTCGGGCTTCCTCCAAGCCCTTTCCCCATAGCTTGACCACCAAAAATCAGATCGTCTTTTCTCACGTGGCAAAAAAGTGTTATTTTTGGAAAGATTCTGAGAGATAGGATTATCCTTGAAATCCCTTCTCATTCTTGTATGAAATCGAATTGCGGAAAACAAGTGAGAGATTCTGAGAGCACAAAGGGGATAATGAGATGGAGGAATGGGCTTAGGCTCAGGATGGGGAGGAAGGATCAAAGAATGGAGATGGATCGAGTGCTGAAGATAGATCGCTAAGTGGCACAGTTAGGGGTGATGAGGAGCGTTTATTTTTCGAGATAAACTTCGCTGTTTTGTTAAAAGCATAAAAATACCCTCGAATTCAGCAATCAAGTGCACCAGTTTTTGTAGTTATTCAAGTTTTTCAAAGTTTTCTCAAAATTCCTGGATAATTTCTGTTTTTCCACCTGAATACGAAGAGAACGTGTGAATTGAAACTAAATAAATAAAAAAACAAAAGCAGCTGTTATTTGTAGTCAATTTTCTTAACAAAATAGATTTATTTATTTGTCAGTTTGATTGTCAATAGGTCGAGAACGAGATTTGATTTTAACAGCTATGATGAACCAAAAAAGAACCTGACAAAAGTCAACCTTTGTATGAAAAAATTGCTGTTGAAATCATTAAACCTCGTTCTTTTGTTGTTCATTTTGATAATGAAGGAAATGAAGAGCTCCTATCGATAGTTCATTCATTAGATAATCCATTCATTAGATAGGTTCGTTCATTAGATAATTCATTCATTAGATAGGTTCGTTCATTAGATAATTAGATAGTTCATCTAATGAATGAACTATCTAATGGATAGGAGCTCTTCTTAGATTCATTAGATAGTTCATTCATTAGATAATTCATTCATTAGATAGGTTCGTTCATTAGATAATTAGATAGTTCATCTAATGGATAGGAGCTCTTCTTAGATTCATTAGATAATCCATTCATTAGATAGTTTTTCTCTCGATATCTCGATAATCTCTAATATCTTAATCTCTAAAATCTTCACAAGTATAAATAACATTTGACGTTTTGGTTTGAGAAAAAAAATACCCCAAGATTGAGAGGATTTTGGAGATTTTTTTTCTTTGAAAGAAAATTCTTTTATGAAAATTGGGGTCAATGATGAGAATTGTTGGAGAAATTTAAGGAGATTAGGGGGATTTTTAGGGAAGGATTTTAAAGGATTTCAAAGGATTTCAAAGGATTTCAAAGAAGCGATGACATTTCGTTGGATATCATTTATCAAAATCCGATTCTTTACAAGAAGAGAAAAAAAAATAGGGATTTCTTTCGATTCTTTAGGGATTTCTATGGGAAATCCTTGTTGTCGTGCCAATCGATAATCAATTTGTTATCGGTAACGATCGATAACGCCAATCGATAACGAGAAAGCAGGAATCTTTTCGGCTAACGCCCTGCTGGACAGTTGGGGCTGAACGTAGTCGGGGATCCATTTATCCAAAGAACCTTGATTAAGGGGACTACAATTAAGGGAAGAATAAAAGAATTCTGACTGAATTCTGATTGAATTCTGATTGAATTCTGATTGAATACTGATTGAATACTCTTTGAACGTCTACTTCTACAGCCAAAAGACTTCTAAAGACTTCTACAGTCGAAAGACTTGTTATAAAGCTTTTGTAGACAGCAAAAGCTGTTAGAAAGCTTTTGATAAAGAGCTCAATCTCTTATCTTCTCACAATATAGAGCTATTTTATGTGAAATTTCTTTTCAAAAGATCACTTGTGGAACTCAAAAGATCTCTTGTACGAATTTTTGGAAGGAATTTATCCTTTTCACAGAAAAATTCGCCACAAAAAGTCTCATTACAATCCACCGAAAGAGCCTTTCACCAAAATTGGCTTTTCTTTCCGTTTTTTTTCCGTTTTTTGTTTCTCTCTCGAAAATAAGCCCTTTTCTTGTCGGGGAATTCAATTGACGGCCCTTCTAATGGTCAAATATTGAGGAAAAGAGTTGGGAAATACTTGAATGTCGAGATTTGATTGCCTTTCACACAAACTAGGAGATCATTGGGCAATTGTGTACACATTTTTTTGAAAGAATCCAAATTTTACAACTGAAAGACTGAGATTTTCATGTAGACGCCACAAAAAGTCTCATTACAATCCATCGAAAGAGCCTTTCACCAAAATTGAGCCTTGTTCACTTAACGTTAAATCTATTTTGAGTCATAAGAGTTCTCTATCATATTCTAAAAAAGCTAAAATTCGTTTTTAAATCAAAGCGCTTTGAAAGCAATAAGGCTAGGGGAGACTCTCAAAGCTTAGAAATGCGTCAAATTGATACCAAACTTGTCCAAAGCCGACAGTTGAATAAGCCGGTCCTTTTATGGGTTGAGGTTGCAATGCAAAAATTAGACAGCATCGGGATTCGAACCTGTAACCTCAAACTTACCAAGCTATGGCTCTACCAATAAGCTACAGCAACCAATAAGCTACAGCGACATTGCCTCCAGAGTAGAGCCTTATCCCAGAGTAGAGCCTTATCCCAGAGTAGAGCCTTATCCCAGAGTTGGGCCTTATCCCTTACTCGATTTCAAGCTAGGTCTGGATCAAAGGTTACACGAATTTACAAAAATATGATTTGAATTAGCTGACCCGGCTTAACTCTGAAGAACATTTGGTAAAGTACAAATGCTCGAGTGCTTGAATACATTCGAGAATTAGTGCGTTCTTGTGCTCGAGAGTTGGCACGTTGAAGGCATTTAGAAAGTTTCAGAGTTATTACTGCCACTAGCCGTGAACTTTCTAACTCTCGAAGAGTAACTTTCAAAAGTGTAAACATTCGCTCGAGTACTTGAACGAGTGCTCGAACATGAACACTTGTAAAGAACAAAGCCGCTGAAAGCTGTGCTCTTTACAGCTTAACTTTGATCTGCTTTGAAATTGGTTTTTCCATAAAAGCTGCTGTCCATTTGAGCATTCCTATATTGTGAAGAATACCTTTGGTCCCAAAAAAGATCCCTTTCTTGGTTGATCATTTCCCCCGGGCATCAAGCTGTCTCTCTTCGTCGACGCCGGCAATTCTATTGATGGTCGATTCGACATCGTTTAAACAGAACTTTCAGAATAGTTTTTGCAATCTGAAAAATACAATAATACAATAATACAATAATAATCTTTGATTTTAAAAGAAAACAAAAAAAAAAGTATAGAAATTTGAAAAAAAAGCTTTGAACAAGCTGCGACCTTTCTTTTTTTCTTTTCAAAATACAAATCTCAGCTCTAATTTCCTCATTTTTATCGTTATTTGAGAAAAAAAAAATGAAAAAATAAGCCAATTATGGTAAGTTTAAAAAAATATTTCCGTTTTTCTTTTATCAATTTTGCCAAAAAGTTGTTGATTAAGAGATTTTTTAAGAGATTAGCTTAAGAGCTTTAGTTTGAGTTGAAATCTTGAGTTGAAAGCTAGAGTTGAAATCTAGAGTTGAAATCTAGAGTTAAATCGTGTTTGTTATTGTTTTAGAAAGTGCCAAAAGGCAAAAAAACCCGTCCAGATCTTTCCTTATCAAACCTTAGCTTTGCCTGGAAAGAACTTACTCTTGAAAGAAGCCAATACAGTTATCACTGTAGTTATCACTGATTCAGGCTTTTCTTATTGTCAACCCTGAAGAGATTCTAGAATAATTCCAAATAATTCTAAATAATTCTAGAATAATTCTAGAATAATTCTAGAATAATTCTAGAATAATTCTAAACAATTCTAAACAATTCTAAAGAATTCTAGAATAATTCTAGAATAATTCCAAATAATTCTAAATAATTCTAGAATAATTCTAGAATAATTCTAAACAATTCTAAATAATTCTAAATAATTCTAGAATAATTCTAAATTCCTTCTAATTATTTTCAATTTCCCCTCGCTCTGTCCTTTTCTTTTCCATGTACTTTGTGCTCAAATGTAAATAGACCCTTACTAGAGCACTGAATTTATTGGATATTGGAAGGAAAATGAAAAAAAAGCTTTTTTAATTAGTCGAAAAATGATGCAAAAAATTTTCCTTAATAATTTGTAGTAGTGAGCCGAGTTTGTCACCTATAAAAAAGTCTCAAAAAAGAGAAATAAACTCAATTTTATGTACAAAATCGAGGAAATCTTTTTGGATTTTCTAGAAGAAAATTGATTGTTTTTTTGAAAATTTTATTAACCTTTTGATGATTTATGAGCTGAAAATAGGGATTCCGGGAAAGTAATAGGGAAAGTAATGGGGAAGTAATAGGGGAAGTAATAGGGAAAGTAATAGGGAAAGTAATAGGGAGAGTAATAGGGAAAGTAATAGGGAGAGTAATAGGGAAAGTAATAGGGGAAGTAATAGGGAAAGTAATAGGGAGAGTAATAGGGAAAGTAATCGCGAAAGTAATAGGGAAACTAATCCGGCAAGTAATCGGGAAAGTAATTTCCAATTACGATTTCCCCTCATCAAAAACCCAAGCCCCTTATGCCAGGCGGGTTAGCTAGATCGCGAGCGATTACGCGACCGCACAAAGAACACCTCGCCAGTCATTGACTTTTTTATTTGTTCATCGGAAGATATTTAGCTTTAAATTTGTAACTAGGGTTTTCGAGATCGGCGAATCGATTGGAGACATTCATTTTATGAAGTCTACTGATTAGAATTAGGATTTAATTGATCTAAACTCCTAATACCCTCAATTCTAAACAAAAAATCAAAGTAGAGTTTGAATAGATAACAAAAAGAAAAGAAAGGAGAAACGATTCATCTTCTGAAGGAGAATTGAAAAAAGAATAGCTATGGAAGAGACAGAAAGTCTAATTGTGTTAGGACCACCCGTTGGCCTCTCATTGATGGAGTCTTCCCTGCCTCACCCCTCACCCAATCCATTCCTCTTCCAGATCTTTTCCCAAAAGAAAAAGGAAAAAGATAAACGACCACTAGACATTATTGAGATTGAAAAGAATGTGGGAATCAATGAGATGGATCCAATTCTTTGCATTCAAGTTATTTATTGAAACAAAGATTATTGGAAAATAGAGAATCGTAGCTAGATCAACTAGGCTAAGGTAGGCTAAGGCTGAGGCTAAGGCAAGTAGGCTAAGGATTGTTATTTTTGCAGAAGAAAGTACTGGCCGACTAAGTATAATGTATTATATAATATTATAGATATATGTAAGTATGGATTGGAATCGCTAGGTCATGCTTAGGGCTTGGCCTTGATCTGAAAATTTGCTCTTAGAACCAGCTAGAGGCCAGACTTGACTCTGGCTTGGCTTAGCAAACATTAAAAGCAGTTAAACTTGATACTTAAAAGTTCAAGAGATTAAGAATCTTTGGGTAGATCAGAGCAGATAACTGATCTTTTAAGTTCGAGATTGATTTGATTAGATTAGAAGAAAAAAGGTGGTGAGAAATTTTAATGGCTCGATTCTCCTTTAAGCTTTTTGTTTTTCTACTGATTAAGAATCATTGTCTAGATCAGAGCATTTAGATTTAGATCATTGTCTAGATCAGAGCTAATGAAGCAGCTCTTAGGCCTAAAGGGAAACAAAAGGAAGCCGACGGGATTGATCCCAACTCAGGACTAAGATCTCTCGACTAAGATTAGCCATCCAGCTATAGCTGTTAGCCATCCAGCCATGGCTGTTAGCCATCCAGTTATAGCTGTTAGCCATCCAGCTATAGCTGTTAGCCATCCAGCTATGGCAGTCAATTGGCATAGTTCAAAAGTTCAAAAGATCAAGAAATTGAACGAAATTGGTACAGAGAAAGGAATGAAAAGATGGATGGAGAGGGAAAGTTGAAAAAGTATTGGTAGACGGGCCATATTTTGAGTCTTCCTCTTTTTCCTACAAAGTCATAAGAATTTCCAATGAATTCCCAAGGGGAAACTGCCTGAAAGAAAAGAACACAAAAAAGACAAGTTTTTGAGGGGAAAATGGAGGGGAAAGAGTTAAGAAAAATCACTCTAGGCCTTGGATTTGAATTTATCTTGTATCTTGTGCTCAATAATTGTAAAGGCATCTTTTCTAGCGCATTGGATTCCCCCATTTTCTTTGTTTGTGCAAGAGAAGTGAGGAATTCATTGGGTTAGAAAGGTTTTTACATTATTGAGCATAAATTTTATTATTGTGTAGTGAAAAAAAACGATAAAATTCCCACTCTAAACAGAATAATACTCTATAAAAACTAGTTTTCAACTTCAAATCTTTTAATTGTTTATTTGGAAAAGGAAAGGCCAAAGAAATTGTTTACTAGAGAGAAAAGAAATGATTTCAAAATCGAAATTGAAATTTTTCATTTCAAAGGAAACAAATACAACAGTAAGGAACCGAATTCCTGTAGGGAAAAGGAATTCGCTTCCTTACTGTTGTATTTGTTGTACTAAATAATGTACCCAGAACTTCTTGGAGTCAAAAAAACTCAAATAGGAGCCAAATTTGTAGAGAAAAGGAACCGTATTGGAATCGTATTGGAACCGTAAAAGGAACCGTATTGGAACCGTAAAAGGAACTGTAAAAGGAACGGTATTGGAACCGTAAAAGGAACCGTATTGGAACCGTAAAAGGAACCGTATTGGAACCGTATTGGAACCGTAATAGAACCGTATTGGAACCGTAATAGAACCGTAAAAGGAACCGTATTGGAACCGTAATAGAACCGTATTGGAACCGTAATAGAACCGTAAAAGGAACCGTATTGGAACCGTAATAGAACCGTAAAAGGAACCGTATTGGAACCGTAATGGAACCGTATTGGAACCGTAATAGAACCGTATTGGAACCGTAATGGAACCGTATTGGAACCGTAATAGAACCGTATTGGAACCGTATTGGAACGGTATGCAAATTTGTAGAGAAAAGAAACCAAATTGTAGAGAAAAGGAACCAAATTTATAGAGAAAAGGAACCAAATTTGTAGAGACTTCTTTGACAAAGAAAAGACATTTAATCTTTCCCCGAACCACCTCAAGATCCCACTTGAGTTCTAAATTGCAAACGATATTGCTATTCTTTTGTTTTCATTTAAATCTATCTCTAAATCATTTTAAAATCTATGATACTTATATCTTTTTTTGATCGAAAAATCAAAATTGAAAAGCTTAGGTTAAAAGAAATGAAGAGTTAAAAGAAGCTAAAAGAAATCAAGAGAATTTTTGTCTAATTTCGATATAAACTTTCGATTTTAATGCTCATAAGTCTTTAAAAATAAAGGCTTTTTTTAAAAAAACATCGAATCTATAAATAAACTAAAATATCGAGATATCTAAATATCCAGGAAATCGACTACCCTGCCCTCCTTCAAATTCGATAAACTGGGAAGAAGGGAGAACTCTAAGAGACTGAGAAGACTGAGAAGTCGCTGAATTTGAACGCCAAAGTTCCTCAAGGAAAGGAGCTGGCTTTAGGATAAAGATAGAGGAACCGGCTGTTTTTCCTAGATATTTAGCATCCTTGGGTCTAAGGAGCTAAGGTCTAAGGAGCTAAGGTCTAAGGAGCTAAGGTCTAAGGAGCTAAGGTCTAAGGAGCTAAGGTCTAAGGAGCTAAGGTCTAAGGAGCTAAGGTCTAGGGCTAAGGCTAAGGGGCTAAGCTAAGGGCTAAGGCTAGGGGGCTACCCTTCAGCCCCTTTCACCCTCAACCCAGACAAGAACCAAAATAAAGATATATAAAGAATTCAGAAAATTTTTTAGCTAATACCGTAAAAGCTCTAATATCAGCGTCGCGTAGTCTAGTTGTTCAAAAGGGCCGCTCATTTTCGACACCAGTTATTTCTGCGGCTTAGGTATCAATTAAAGAGAGAGGGGGGCGATTTTGGGTACAGATTCTTAGCATTAGCCAGCACTTAGAACAAAATGATTGAAAAATGGCAAAAGAGAGCCGATTTTTCATCGTTTTTCAATCATTTTTTTGGTTAAAAAATGGTTAATCAAAGCTCTGGTTAATGCTAAAAATTTGTTTTATATCTCAAAAAATCGCCCATTCTCTCTACTTTAATTTGTTACATAAGCGCGCTGAAACAAATGTACTGGTGTCGAAATATGAGCGGTTTTTTGAATGTAAACTTAGACTACGCGACGCTCCATGGTAGAGGTCTGATTTCTGGATCAGGTCAAAAGGCAATCTAATAGGTTGATGCATAAGTGTTTTTGTTCCTTTTCGTCTGCCGTTTCAAGCCAACAAATGCACGAATTAAACTACGGTTGATTTCATTAGAAAAAGCAATTATTTTTCTGCAAAATAACATTAAAACGGGTTTAAAAATATTTAATGCCTGGATTTTCTTGAGAGTATGAAGTCGGGTAGTCAAAAAGGGCTAACTCGATGATGCGGTTTAGACACCTTAGCTAAAGAAAGCCTATCTTCGTGTCAATAGATAAAAGATAGAGAAAAAAAACGTTTGATATTTCGCCAAAATTTCAGAGAAATTCCTTCAGCCAATTTTTCCGTAGAGTTTTTTATAGATTTTTACGAAAAAGGCGTTTTTCACTCTCGAATTTGCTTCAAAGTGAACCGAAATTCATTTAAAAAGATGCAAATTGAACAAAAAAACACTTTTTTTATAGAGCAAACTATAGATTAATTCGTGAATTTGTTACTTTTTAACAGAAGTACGAAAAAAACGAAAAGACTTTTGCATCAACCTAATAGCTTAGCCTAGGCCAGTCCTTGGAAATTGTAAGCTACGGTCAAGAATCTACTTGAAAACAGATGTAAGCTATAAGTTTAGAGGAAAAACAACATGTCTCCAATTCAAGAAGAAGAATTCTAGAAGAAAAAGAAAGGAAAAGGCATTTCATCGTCCAAGCCCATTCCCCAAAAAGAGTGCTTGAATCTCCCTTCCGAATAGATCCCCTTCTCTCTTCTTCCTTCTCCCTTCTTCCTTCTCCCTTCTCTCTTCTCCCTTCTCTCTCTTCTAAAAGTCTCTTATTCCTTGCGATTCTAAAGCCAATATGAGGCCAAACCCCACTTTTAACGATTCTCTTTTCTGGTGGTCAAAGAGTGCTTTTTAGAGAGGAAAAGATCCAAAACTCTTGGAATGGAAGGCTTCCCGGATACTAATGCAACTCTTTCCCTCAATACTCTCAAAGTCCAGTCAATGACAGAATTCAATTTTAAGGAAAACAAAAGGGTTTTTTATTAGAAAGATTGTAAAACTTTATGTGCTAGAGTAGAATTTCAACATCAACGTTTAAAGCGACTTGAGTTTCCCAAAGAGTACGCGTTTTGGCAGCACAAAATACATAGAAATCTATAGAGAATTGATAGGTTTTATTAAATTGAATTAAATTGAACATTACATTGTCTCATTACAATGTAAAATTGTACAGAAAATGTACAGAAAATGCTATTCTCAGCTACTTACAGTACCACTAAATGCTAATGCTAATGCTACTTTCAAAAAGACATTTACGAATTTAGGGAGAAGATTACGAGCCGACGATCGGAATCGAAAATTTGATTGAGGGAACATCATCAATACCTGAAGCTCTCTACATTCTCCATCATTTCACTCAATTCGCTGTCGATCAAGCCACTTTAGCCACCCGGGCAACAGCTAATCAAAAGGTCAGTGGATAAGGAATTTTTGTGTGTTTGTCGAGTTTTTGGGACTTGGAACAATTGAGCTTTTTGAAACGATAAAACTCGAATGTAAACCGCACAATTTGCTGTTTAATATGTTTAAGATAAAGTGCGTTTAAAGGCAGCATCAAAAATTGGGTTTTTTGTACGTTCTGAAAACTTCTATTGGATCTCTATTGGCTTCTATTGGCTTCTAAACTTCTATTATTGTAATCCATGTAATGCAGGAGTTGAGTGGAAATGATAGAGGTTTAAGCCGAATTACGGTAGTTGCTAGTTCAGTTATTAGAGCTTTTTTAAAAGAGCTAATTTGAAAAGTCATCGTAATTTGGACTACTATAATCAAAAGTACGGTAGATCTTCATTTTTGAGGATTTTATTTTTGATTCTCTTAAACGAAGGTTGAGTAAAGACTCGAGTAAAGATGTTTAAGTCTAGAAAGTAACAGGATTACTGTAAGATTGAGTTAGGATTACGATAGCTTGGTTATTCTTTAGAGTTTACTAGAAAAGGTGAAGTCATTCAACGAGTTTCGTTTAAGGAATCAAAAATGGAATTCTCAAAAATGTTTTGCTCTAAAGGAGTCAAAGATTCGAGCGCTCGAGGTGTATTTTTAAGGGGGTAAAAGATCTTTTTTTTTGGATAAAAAGAAAGAAAACGAATTCCCACTCGATTCAGTGCTTTCAGATGAGATGAAAGGATTGAAAGGAGAGATTTCTTTTCAAAGATCAAAGAAAAAAAAGAGTTTGTTTTGATTATTTTCCCTTCTTTCCTGAATATCTTCTGTCTCTTAAGCGAGTTAACGAAAAGGTTTTTTTAAAGGTTTTTTAAAGGTTTTCTTTCGTAAACAAATCCTTTGCTTCTTTCCAAAACTTAAAGATCCCTTTGAAAGAATGATAGAGATTTGAGTCGGATTCTGGTAGCTGGGGCATACCTTTGCTAGTTCTGATATTGGATAAGCAGAAAGAAACTTGAACTGAATTTTATAGCCAAAATCAGTTCTCTAGAAAGCGTGCGTTTACCCGAAAGCACAACAGGGAAACTGATTACTGTACTCGACTTTTTTTACCATTTTATTCATTCATAGAGTTCATTGTTCAGTAAAGGAATGAAATCCAAAAAACAACTACACCATTTCATCATCTATGAATGAAAAAGAATAGAGATTTTAGATTGAAAAAGAAAGGAAAGCGGTTGAGAATTCCTGGAGAATCAAGGGGAAAAGAAGGGAAAGAAGGGAAAGAAGGGAAAGAAGGGAAAGAAGGGAAAGATTGACGTTGAGAGGTCACATGTTCGAGGGTGCCTCTATATGGAGATCTCCATGAAATCTACTAAATATTTGAGTATTTCGAGAACTTATTCAGATATTTGAATATTTAGAGAACTTATCAAGTCAATTTATAGTCAATTGAGCAATCAATTGAGTCAATTGAGTCAAAAATCAGTCAATTGAGCATCAAGTCAATTTATACTCTACTTAAGCCAATTCCAAAACATTTCCCCGTTAAAAGAAGAAAAAGTCAAAACTTATTGCTCCCGGTGAGGCTCGAACTCACGACCTTCAGATTATGAGACTGACGCGCTGCCTACTGCGCTACGGAAGCACTTGAGGAGGAGCGGTTTTTGCGTTATAATAACTGACGTTATAACTGAGTTCAAGCTGAAATTAGCTCTAAAAATCTTATTCTTTAGGAGATCTTAATCGAAATTTTTTTTAAAAAACAATTCATTCGACTTTTCCTGTTCTTTTCTTAGTTATTGGCTTTTTGAAAGCTCATTTTTCCACGTCATCTCACTGAAAAATTCTGCCATAAACAAGGAAGTTTTGTTTTGGTTTTCGGAAAAAGATTGAAGTGATTTCGAAAGAGAATCGAGAAGAATTGAATGAGATTGCCTAAATGCCAAAAAGCTAATTGGGTTTAGAACAAAAAGCAGCTTTATCAAGTATTAGTTGCTTGAATACTGTAGCTGGTAAAGAATGAACAAGAATGAGCTGTTCTAGCAAGGAAAAAAGATTATCCATCAGATCGAATCGATTTGATACGGTAAACATTGATTTTATAATATTAATGAAGCAAAAATTAATTGAAAATCCAATTGTTATTATAAAGAATCGTTTTAAAATCCTAAAAGTTTGAAAAAAATGAATTCTGCTGAATTAAATCGAAAATCAGTCGTATTTTTAAAGCTGATTTCATCTTGGACAGTAGTTATAAGGCTAAAAAGGTCCACAACCTTCGTGCTTCAGTAGCGCAGTAGGCAGCGCGTCGGTCTCATAATCTGAAGGTCGTGAGTTCGAGCCTCACCGGGAGCAAGGTTTTCTTTTTACTTTTCTTTGGCTTAAGTTGTCTTAAGATAAAAGAGCTAATTTCAGCTTGAACTCAGTAATTATAACACAAAAGGTAACTCAATAATCCCCCATCACGTGCTTCCGTAGCGCAGTAGGCAGCGCGTCAGTCTCATAATCTTATCAAATATCAAATATATCAAATAAACTCAATCTTTCCGTGGGGAGTAGTTAGACTTGTTGTGGTTAAAAAGTTCAATCTCAATCTCAGCTGACAATAGGCAAGAGGTGTCAATATTTGTGGACTCTGGTGATTGGTGAGACAATCACAAGATCTCAAAAAATAGAAGAGATTTCGAATGATCTCTTGATGGAGATGAGAAGGAAATGGAGATGAGAAGGAAATGGAGAAGAGGAGTAGAGGAGAGGAGGGAGAAGAGGAGTAGAGGAGAAGAGGAGTAGAGGAGAAGAGAAGAGGAGAAGAGGAGAAGATAACGATTCTCGTGGGAATTCTGAAGGATAGAGGGAGAGACTCAATGCATACACAACATTTATCTCTTTCTCCCATTTGAATAAAACAAGATCCATCACCAGACGATCATCTTTACGAAATCTTTAAACTCTAGATTATAAAAGGTGAAAATAATGTTATCAGTAATTTCTATTATTGTAGTTTTTTCCCTAATCCATTGTCATATCCATAAAATTTAAAAAAGAATCATGAAAAACATTTTAACTAAAGAAAGCCGGGTGAATGTGTTGATAGTTGAATGGTTGACTTCTCTAAAGAAAAGCGAAAAGCCTCATTCATGTTCTCATAAAAAAAAAGGGAAAAGGGTCTCAAAAAATCAAGATTTTCGGTATTTTTAGTCGAAATGGGAACAGCTGTTGCCCTCAGGGGAGTGCTCAAAAAGCTTTTGAGAGTTGAAGAGTTCTTTCTCGAAATGATCCCATTTTCTCTCAAATCACCCATCTTCTTTCATTTCTTTGATTGCTTGTTGTGGGGGTGTCAATCCACAAAAAAAAAGCTTAGGATCCCGGTTCCTTATAGATTTTCAGGGAAAAGTTAAAACCGAGAAATTTTTGAGAGAAAAAAAGTGAAATTTTGAGGAAGAACGGGTCTAAAGAATGTCTTTTTCAAACTTTGAAACTTTGAAACTAAGAAATCTTTAACTTCAGATCTTTAACTTAAGATCTTTAAAAGAAAAGCAAGAACAAATTGAGATAATCAAGTGAAAGAACTTTTTAAGTATAGCCTAGTTTTCTTGTCTTATCTATTATCTTGTCTGATCTATATGTCGTCTTATCTTTTCTTGTCTCATCTATTAACTTGTCTTATCTATATATCGTCTTCTATTCTTGTCTATATCTATTATTTATGTCGTAGCCGTTTATGAAATTCAGCCGCTAACGAAAAATTCGTAATCGGCTAGCCGTTAACGTTTCATTCGTTAACGGCTAGCCGATTACGAAATGAAAATTTTTTCGCTAGCCGTTTACAATTTGTACAATTTGTAATCGGCTTCTGCGAACATGGCTCGATTCAAATGAGTTTTTTGATTTCAAAGTATTGCATATTATATTGCAAAACGCAAATCAGCAAACTAATCCACAAAAAGTGAAATAAAATTTATAACATTTAACATGTATAACCCGTAGCAGATTATACTCTGTGATCCAGTGGAAGTGATTGAGAGAAAAAGACTCAGATGGGCCGGTCACGTAGCCAGAAGAACAGACGACAGATACGGATGGACGATACGGATCACAGAGTGGCTACCACGAGACCAGAAGAGGCCCATCGGAAGACCAGCAACGAGGTGGAGCACAAGAGTGGCAGAGACGGTCAGAGAAAGGATGGCTAGAGTGCAACCACCACCAGCACCAGCAAGTCGAAGACTTCGAACCAGGAACAATCAAGCTAGGAAACATTGGATGACAATAGCAAGGGATAGAGAAATGTGGAAGCAGGTTGTGGTCTGCGCAAATAGGAACACCTGAGTGCGAAAACAGATAAAAAAGAAAACATGTATAACATATTAACGTTTATAATTAATCTTAAATCTAACGCACTTTATCTCAGGTCATGAATAAAGTTAGCGGCTGAATTTCGTAAATGCTTTATATCGCTACGACATATATAAAGCAGAAGAGACGTCTGTCCGTTTGTGAGCAGCTATTGGTAAAAAAGGGGCGCGGCTTAGATTGCGTGGAAAACGCGAGAACGTTAGTTAGAGTTTTCCGCTGGTACTATATAATGACGAAAGATCTGTCTGTCTGTCTGTGACCGACCTTGATCTCATTCCCCAGAAGATCTACATAAAATCTCAATACATATTTGAAAACAGGGCAAAAAAAATTACGATAAAAAAAATTTGAGCCTGTTGTTAAAAAGTTATTAAAAGATTTCTCCGTGCTGCCGGGTAGCGGACGCTTTGCTCAGTTGCTTTTATTACTATTTATATTCTTTAGTAGACCATTTTGGGCTTAAAGGATTTTGAAAGATGATCGCTTTCAAAAAAAAATCTTTGTGGTCAAAAAAAGAAAGTTCTTTTTCTTTATAATTTTCCAAAATGACCTCATTTGCGTCAAGAAAATCGTCAATTCTTTGACATTAACGATGTTTTGATTGCTTCATTCAGAAATTTTGAAGAATTTTCGAATTTTTGATTGGAGAATTGAGAGTTTATTCGCGAAAGTTTAAGCTAAACATATACATATATGTATTAGGTTGATGCATAAGTCTTTTTGTTCCTTTTCGTCTGCCGTCCACATAGCGTCCACATAGCGCGACAGAGACCGCATTCTTCGGTTTAATTACCCAAGTTTGAGGTTAGCATTAACCCCGAGACCTTCGAACAGTGTCTCGAAAAAATTTTGGAACGCGTCCCCATTAGGGGATGCACAAATGAACTCTAAGATTTGAAATGGACTGAAGCTTTGATGCTTAATTCCATTTTTATCGTCATTCATCAAGAAGTGTGTCAACTGTTCACTTTCAGTAAAACGGTGACGCGGAACCACACAGGAGAACATTCACTATATGGTGGAGAAAAAATATAGGCTCTCCTAGTGCTGAAAATTGATTCTGGGCTTGCTTAAAAAGTCCCATCCATAAACCAGCAAGTATTCTGTAAAAAGCTATTTATGCTATTAGGTTGATGCATAAGTGTTTTTGTTCCTTTTCGTCTGCCGTTTCAAGCCAACAAATGCACGAATTAAACTACGGTTGATTTCATTAGAAAAAGCAATTATTTTTCTGCAAAATAACATTAAAACGGGTTTAAAAATATTTAATGCCTGGATTTTCTTGAGAGTATGAAGTCGGGTAGTCAAAAAGGGCTAACTCGATGATGCGGTTTAGACACCTTAGCTAAAGAAAGCCTATCTTCGTGTCAATAGATAAAAGATAGAGAAAAAAAACGTTTGATATTTCGCCAAAATTTCAGAGAAATTCATTCAGCCAATTTTCCCGTAGAGTTTTTTATAGATTTTTACGAAAAAGGCGTTTTTCACTCTCGAATTTGCTTCAAAGTGAACCGAAATTCATTTAAAAAGATGCAAATTGAACAAAAAAACACTTTTTTTATAGAGCAAACTATAGATTAATTCGTGAATTTGTTACTTTTTAACAGAAGTACGAAAAAAACGAAAAGACTTTTGCATCAACCTAATACTTTGCGTTAAAATCGATAAACGCATCCTTTCTAGTGCACTAAATTCTTCATTTCTTAGTCTTTAATGCTTTGATGTCACGAGAAAATAAGGAATCGAATGTACTAGAAAGGGTGTGTTTTCAAGCCTTGAGCAGATCTGAAAAAAAACTGACAAATTCAAGTAAACGAGGCAACTTCCTTTTGCATAACTCTTCTTCGAAACAACTTCTGCAACTCTTCTGCAAAACAACAAAGAAAGGGAAATATTCATTTCCATTTCTGACCTTTCATCAATAGTTTTTTTTTCATTCAAAGATTATTCATTTCTTTCCATTTATCTATTCATATCTCCAATGAGATCTCTCATTAATATTTTCTGAATTTATTAGAATTTTTATGCACGAAAATTTATTCACCACCCTCACCCAATTAGAGAGAAATGAGCTTCAATGGAAAGGTTCAATGGAAAGGTTCAATTGACAAAAATTCGATTGGGAAATGTTTTTGGGGAAACTTGGTGAATAATAAGTTCAAGTTCCAGAGTTTCCTGTTAAAATAGTTTTTTTAAAAATTTATGCAAATTTAAGATCTTGCAAGGATACAAATCAAAGTTCAAAAAGTCTGTTTAGAAAATGAGGCTTTAGAAAATGAGGCTTTAAAAACTGAGGCTTTAAAAAATGAGGCTTTAGAAAATTACTAAAACGTGTCAAGTTTCGAAAATCAGAGAAATTCCATAAAAAACTCGCTGTTTTCAATGGTTTTCAATGGCTTTTTAAGTAATTTCTTTGAACTTTTCTTCTCTTTTCGAACTTTTAAAGTATCCACTCGATTAATTTTTCACAATTTCCTGAACAATTTCAAACTTTTCACTAATCTGCGTGAGTTTACTTCGGAAATATGCAAAGAGGGGACAATTTTTGGAAAAGGTAAACCAGGAATTTCCGGGCTCAAAAAACGGAAATGTTCTAAAGAAATGAGAATTTGATTTAAATTTTGATTTAACAAACTTCTTACAAACCTTAAAAATGGGATTTGCAGCTCATCCGATTTGTTTTGAAATTCAGAAAATATTAATGAGAGATTTCATTGGAGATGTGAATAGATAAATATAAATAAATACAGGGTGGCTGAAAATTACGAGTTCTTCATGCCGCTCGTCGGCATGAAGAACTCGTAACTCCGAAGTCCGAGCTCATTTTTCACTATCGATTGAACCGAGAAACGCGAAATTTGAAGCTGTTTTGCCATCTTGTTCAAACTACGATCGTCTTTTCGCTCGATCCTCCTCTTGATGATCCCACGCATCTTTCGGGTGTTAACGGTCCTCTTTGGTCCTCTTCCGGGCTTGGACTGAACATGCCCCTCATCTTTCCATTGCTTTACGACCTTCTGGACGGTCCTCAGAGCCACCCCAAGCCTCGATGCGATCGACGAGTTCTTCATGCCGCTCGTCGCCAGCTGTGCGATTGCGTCCCGACTAGCGCACGTCTTTGTCATGACCTAGAAAACAACTTTTTTAACAAAAAATTAATAGACAACGATAAAAAGAATATTAAAACACAAAAAGATGAGTAGTAATGCTTTATACATTGTTTAAAACTATGATGCTGATGCTGCGCGCACGTAATTTTCAGCCACTCTGTAGATAAATATAAATGGAAAGAAATGAATAATCTTTGAATGAAAAAACTATTGATGAAAGGTTAGGAATGGAAATGAATAAGGGTTTTTTTGCAGAAGAGTTATGGAAAAGGAAGTTGACTCGTTTTGCTTGTCTTTGTCAGTTTTCTCTTTTTTCTCTCTTCAATTTATTGAATGAATTTTGGTAATTGAGAATATTACATTGAAAAGATTTCTTTTAAAAATAAGATAGGGTTTTTTCAGCTGAATACTTTACTCTAATTGCCCATGAAACTGCTTGAGTTTTTGAGAAAAACTATCTTTTTCTCAGGAAAAAAGGACAAATTGCGCTTGATTTGAAGCTTGAATCGTTGATTAATTCAACGATTCAATCGTTGATCAATCGTTGATCAATTGTTGAATTAATGAAAAACAAAAGAAATTCCATTTGATTTAGATCTTGAATCGTTAAATCATTGAGAAATAAAAGGCCAAGATTCAAAATTTTAAAAAACTAAAGCATTTAACCATCGTAAAATCGTATTTTCAACAGCATCTTAAAACCAAAACACTTTAGGAAGCTGAAGCCCGAATTGTGCAACTCGAGCAACAATCGTTCATCAATGAGCAATTGTTGGAGAGTGTCATTATCGATCATAATATTGGTTCGTTTTGAAGGAACTTTTTCAAGTTTATTGAAGCTGATTGAACATCTGATTGAACAGCTGATTGAACAGCTGATTGAACAGCTGATTAAACAGCTGATTGAACAGCTGATCGAACAGCTTATTGAACAGCTTATTGAACAGCTTATTGAAGAAATAACCCTAATAAAGAAATGTTTAACGCCGATTTTATCCAAATCCTTCCAGTTGACGAGATCTCTCGTGTCGTCGAGGCGCAGAATCGTCGCAAAACGTCGCGAACTCAATCAAGGGGAAGCTCATCGGCAAGAGCAAACAGCCCATCACAAGCTAATGGAAATGGTACGGTTTAGAAATACAATATTTTGAGAGTTAGATTCCTGTTGACTGGTTGTAAGAGACTAGCGCGAAAGCGGCACGGCGAGTCTTCTAAAGCGTGGATGCGCTACCGTACCCCTCAAAAATTCCTCCTTTCGGCATTCTTTTCATTTCTTTCGTTTCTTTCTTTCTTTTCTTTCTTTCTTTTCTTCCATTCTTTTCTTTTCTTTCTATTCTTCCATTCTTTTCTTTCATTCCATGATCCATATAAATTTGACGAGGTTTTGCAATTGGTTATCCAATTGTCTGCAGGTTATGCAATTGTCTGCAGCTTTTTAATGAGTTCTCGTGAAAGATCGGATCCATATTTGTGCTTGTGCTGATTGATCCGATCATTAATGATTTACCGTATTTCTTCGAATAGAACACCGGGTAAAGAGTATCATCGCGTACTCCTGCGTAGCAGCCCCTTTTCTTTTCTGCATAAAAGCTTTCAATGAAGTGCTATAGGGCTGGAAAATGGCTCAAAAATCTGTTAGTTCATGTGGTATTTTTGAGTCATTTTCCAGCCCTATAGCACTTGATTGAAAGCTTTTATGCAGAAAAGAAATTTTAAAAAGGGTTGCTACGCAGGAGTACGCGATGTTACTCTTTACCCGGTCTTCTATTCGAAGAAATACGGTATTAGATAAGGGAGTTTAGTTACTAGCTTGAGGCTCAATCTTGAAATTTTATTTCGAACAAGTAAATGACTAAGTTTTTCAGATGATTCTCCATTGCACGACTACAAAGTGAGGAGAAGAACGGCGACAGCTGATGAACTTTTGTATCCACAAGAAGGGGAAACAAATGGAACCACGAATGAGACAGCGCTTCTATCGGAAAGGAGCACAACAGAAGATCGGCATAAGAGGAGAAAGTGAGTGAGGAAAAGAGTACTGTAGAAAGTGCGCTTTGTGCTCACAAACGCACTGTTTCCGACGCATTGAATTCCTGATTTTTCTCGCAACATCAGATTGGTTGATAGTCAGAAAAATGAAAGGATTGAGTACGCCAGAAAGGGTGCGTTTATCAATTTTGAGTTGCACAACGAAGATTTAGGATTACCGGCTGCTTTAGAATAGAATTTTTGAGTAAAGTTTGCAATTGAAAGCTGATTTTTCACTGAATAACACTGAATAACTTAATTTTAATATTTTTAACTAAAAATTCAACTCACTCACTGCTTTACAAATCTTTTTTGGTTGCGAGTAACAAAATTATATTTTTTTTTGGTTCTGAATGGCTTGGCACAAACATTTTTTGATATTAGATAACGACTAATTCAGATTAATTCAGATTAATCTATAGATTAACCTACTTACGGTATACGGTAGTTTTTGTATAGAATTTAGAACGATCGATTTGTCTAATGTACTAATTTTTGGTCTTCAAATAAGCTTTTTATATCAATTGTAGTGAATTTTGATGAAAATGAAAAGTTCTGTGCACTAGAAATAGTGTATTTAGAAAGTTTTCAAGGAAAAAGTTCAAGCCTAACGACTACGTTAGACAGTCGAAGGACTGAATGAAAGCAAACAAGATACTTAAAAGCGACAAAAGTACAGCAAGAGGGGGCCGAGTCAGCTAAAAAGTACAGCTCTAAACTAGATCTATCGTTAGACAAGGTGGACTGAATGTACAGCTAAAAAGTACAGCTCTAAACTAGATCTATCGTTAGACAAATCGAATGGACTGAATGTACAGCTAAAAGCTGAATGTACAGCTCTAACCTAGATCTTAGACAAGTCCATTCAATCGTTGTCTCATTTCTAGTTTTTTGTTGTTTGTTTGTAGTGTTGTGCCATTGCCGATCTCTTCCTCATCCACTCATCCACCGGGCGGTTTCGCAAGAAATTCGAAATATCGCTCGACAATCGGTTCACTTCCATCAACATCGACTTCTTCAAGAAATTCCTTATTGGGAAATGGTCAACGAGTACAGAGAAGAGCAAACAACACGGCATTACGGTAGATTTTATGAGATTTTTGATTGTTGATTGGGTTCGGAGAAAAGACAGTGATAGAAAGTGGGTTTAGACTCAAAAAGTTCTTTTAGTAAATTGCCGAGATCTTTAAGTTATCTTAAGCTACCTGGGCTTGAAAAAGACCAAATCAATTCCCAAAATTTGTTAGTTACTTTTGAATCTTTAATTAATTCAACTATCTTATTTCGTTTTCTAAAAGATGGGCTAAGAAATTCCCTTAACATCAAGCCAAAAATTATCGTAACACCGCAGCCCATGTGATCGAGTTTACGGTAGTCAGAGGCGTGTTTTAGTGCCATGAATTAAGCCTAGACTTGCTGGTGGCGGTTATGGTAGTCGGCGCACACTTTAAAGTGATTAAAAGTAAGTGCAATTGCCGTAGTCTAGGGCTAGTGGGTTAGTTCGAGAGTTTTGTCGATGAACGACTCTCTAAAGCCAACAGTAACCCTTAAAAATCTAAGATGGGTTTTCTTAGAAGTGAGATAAGTAAAAGAAATAAACAAAATAGCTGTCACTGTCACTGTCTTCCAATCGATTATAGAAAAAAGATTTCTCAAAAGCCTAATCAACATCTAATCCTACCATAACCAATCTGTATAACTTTGTCGGTGTTTCCAGTGTCGTCAAATCAACTTCCCGTTTACCACCATTGGCCGAAATGACTCCAATCGAGAGACCGGAGAGATTGATGAGGGAAAGATTGATGAATGAGAAAAATGAGAAAAATGAGAAAACGAATCCCCTTGCATCATCTCTAACCTCTTCATTGACTCTTCAATCATCAACATCATCAACATCATCATCATTTCCCAATCGTCAAAGTGTTTTCCAACGTCTTCATCCAATCTCGCCCGATCACGAGAATTCGCCGAATTTCCTCCTCAATCGGTTTTGTATTTTTGTTGTTTTAAATGCTTTGAGTGATTTTCTTTTGCTTTTTTGAAAGCACAAAGCTGAGAAAACTGAAGACTTTTTTGCTTTTCTCAGCTTTACCCTCAAATTTTAAAGGACTCTTCCAAAATTGGATCAATTTTTGAGCTGAAATCGCAATTTCAAAAAGAGTTTGCTTTTGAAAATCTAGAGCTTATTCTAAAAGGTTTCTACTTTCAAAAACTATCGTAATCTTTTCTCTAATCTTTATCCAATCATCTACTTTTTATCCAATTCTGTGAAAGTTCAAAAAGGCTATTGAATGATTTAAAAAGTCGATAGATTAGAGATTGGAGATTGTAGATTGTAGATTAGAGATTGGAGATTGGAGATTGGAGATTGGAGAATGTAGATTAGAGATTGGAGATTGGAGATTGGAGATTGTAGATTGGAGATTGTAGATTGTTTTGGTTGGGAATTAAAAAATGGTTTTTTTCTTTTTTTTAAAATTTTTTTTTTTTTTTTTTTTTTTTTTTTTTTTTTTTTTTTTTTTTTTTTTTTTTTTTTTTTTTTTTTTTTTTTTTTTTTTTTTTTTTTTTTTTTTTTTTTTTTTTTTTTTAAATTTTTTTTTTTTAATTTTAAAATTTAAAAATTTTTTTTTTTTTTTTTTTTTTTTTAAAAAAAAAAAAAAAAAAAAAGTTTTTTATATTTTTTTTATTTTTTTTTTTTTTTTTTTTTTTTTTGTTTTTTTTTTAAAAAAAAAGTAAAAAGTTTTGTTTATTGGTGGGGAAAAGGGGGGGAAAGTTTTTTGTGGGGGGGTTGGGGGGGGGGGGGGGAATTTTTTTTTGGTGATATTTTTGTTTTGTGGGGATGGGGGGAGAATTAAAAAAAGGGGGGGGTATGGTGGGTTTTTTTTTTTTTTTTTTTTTGGTTTTTTATTAATTTTTTGGGTAAAGGGGGGGGGGGAAATGGGGGTGGGGTGGGTTGAGGAAGGAAGGGGGGGGGGGTGTTGTTTTTTTTTTTTTGTTTTATTTATAAAATATAAAAATGGGGATTTTTTTTTTTTTTTTTTTTTTTTTTTTATTATTTTTTTTTTTTTTTTTTAAATTTGTGTGAATAGGGGGGGTGTGGGGAAAAAAAAGAAAAAAAAAAAAGGAAGGGGGGGAGAAAAAATAATATAAAAAAATATTTTTTTTTTTTTTTTTTGTTTTTTTGGGTTTTTTTTTTTTTGGGTTTTTGGGGGGTGTGGTTGTTGGGTTTTTTTTTTTTTTTTTTTTTATTTTTTTTTTTTTTTTTTTTTTTTTTTTTTTTTTTTTTTTTTTTTTTTTTTTTTTTTTTTTTTTTTTTTTATTAAAAAAAAAAAAAAAAAAAAATAAAAAATGGGAAAAGGGGGGGTTGGGGGTGGGTTTTTTTTTTTTTTTTTTTTTGGGGGGGGGGGGGGGGTTTGGGGGTTTTTTTTTTTTTTTTTTTTTGTTTTTTTTTTTTGGGGGAGGGGGGGTGAATTTTTTTTGTTTTTGGGTTTTTTTTTTTGGGGGTTTGGGGGGTTTTTTTATGGGGGGGTTTTGTATGTGGGGGGGGGGGGGGGGGGGGTAAGAAAGGGGGAGGGGGAGAGGAAGGGGGGGGTGGTGGGTGGGGTTTTTTTTTTTTTTTTTTTTTTTTTTTTTTTTTTTTTAATTTTTTTTTTTTTTTTGGATGTTTTTTTTTTTTTTTTTTTTTTTTTTAGATTAGAGATTGGAGATTAGAGATTGTATTGGGTTGGGGAGAATGAGTCGGCGCCGAAAATCAAAAAAATGTCTAAAACTTCTATTCGACTTCGTCAAATAGTATGCGTTTGATATCAGTAGAATGGTTAACTAATTCTCTACAAAATGACATTTAAAAAAAATTCAAACAGCGCCTCCGCTCAAGAAAAAGCCATTTTTTCACAAAAACTACAAACTGTGATCTAGAAAAAACCATTGGTGGGATCTTCCTGCAAATTTGGCAACTTAAGTAATTGAATGTGCTCTATCTTTTTTATAGAAACACCAAAGAAGGTTTATGTGAAAGAAACTGTTCAAATGATGAGTCGGACTCTTTGCCATTTTAACCAGCTGCGTTTCGAAGTTCATAAACTTCACGAAAGAAAAGCTTTGTGGAATCTCTCAAAAGTCATTTTGTAGAGAAATAGTGGATCCTTTTGATGAAACAAAACGTATGTTTAAAGAAGGCTTTATGTGTGCAAAAAGTCCCTTTAAAGTTTGGCGCCGACTCATTCTCCCCAACCCAATAGATTGTATTAGGTTGATGCAAAAGTCTTTTTCATTTTTTTCGTACTTCCGTTAAAAAGTAACAAATGCACCAATTGAACAACGGTTTATTGCATTCGAAAGACCAATTATTTTTCTGCAAAATGACATTAAAACGAGTTGAAAATGTCTTATGTCTAGATTTTTTTGAGAGCCTGAAGTCGGGTAGTCAAAAAAGGCGACGGCTCGATGATGCATTTTGGACGCTTTAGCTAAGGAAACCAATCTTGATGTTAATAAATAAAAGATAGAGCACAAAAAGTTCGATATTTTTTCAGATTTTCAGAGAAATTGATTCAGCCAATTTCTTTATGGAGGTTTTTATAGATTTTTATGAAAAACCCGTTTTCACTCTCGAATTTGCCTGAAAGTGAACCCAAATTGACTTAAAAGGATGGGAAATTGAACAATAAACACTTTTCATTTAGAGCAAACAATAGGTTAATTGATGACTTTGTTATTTTTCAAAAGAAGTACGAAAAAAATGAAAAAGACTTTTGCATCAACCTAATAGATTGGATAAAAACTAGAGTCAAGATTACGGGATTTTCTTGGATTTCTTTTAGAAAACGCTAGATTGCTTTGAGGTAATTTGGGAGATTTTTGAAGAGTCCTTTTCTCAAAAACACTTTTTCATTAACCAGATTTTCTCTATTTTAGGCCACTTGCACCCGAAGAATAGTGAGTTGAAATGAACAAAAAAAAAAGAAAAAAAAAGAAATCTTTGCAAAAAAATCCCTATGTTTAAAAGATCTCGATGTCTAGATGGATAATTTGCGTTTAAATTTCCGCTTTTTTTCTGGGGAATCCTTTGTGCAAAGTGTTTGTGAATTGGGAAATTTTAAAAAAAACTTTTTTAAAAAGATTCACAAGCATCTTGTTCGTTTGAGCTTATTTGTAAAGCTTTGAATGTCATTTTTTTTCAGTAAAAAGGGTCGAATCGTGTCGGCGAGCGGGGGAGGAGTGAGAATTGTGAAAACGGCTTTACTGGATGGACATGTGAAACCGGTGCTGTCGATTGATGGAAACGAGAATTTCCTCATCACTGGATCAAAGGGTAAATTGAAATTTGGTTAGCGTACTTTGTGCTTGAAATTTTCAAACAAACCCCCTTTCTAGTGCACTGAATTCATCGCTTTTCCTATAACAACAAGAATTGAGCGCACCAGAAAGGGTACATTTACGATTTTCAAGCACAAAGTACATTGGGACAAGGATTTTTGATAGGGAAACTAGATTTCTTAACTAGAAATCTAGAATTCGCAAAACTAGAACTAGATTTGCGAGGAATGTCTTGTACTTTGTATATATAGATACTTTATTCAGGACCTGAGATAAAGTGCGCTAGATTTAAGGATTAAAACACATGAATTCATACACATAACACGAAAAGGGCCGATAAAAAGAAACACGGTATAATATATGTAAAATGTGGGTAGCACAGATAACTTCAGGGATCCACTAGAGCTTCAAGATCAAGATCAAGATCCACCAGAGCTTCAAGATCCACTAGAGCTTCAAGATCCACTAGAGCTTCAAGATCCACTAGAGCTTCAAGATCCACTAGAGCTTCAAGATCCACTAGAGCTTCAAGATCCACTAGAGCTTCAAGATCCACTAGAGCTTCAAGATCCACCAGAGCTTCAAGATCCACTAGAGCTTCAAGATCAAGATCATCTACAGATAATTTAAAGGTTTCGAGACTATTGGACTCTCTCAAAACTCTGGGGAGTCGATTCCAAATTCTGGCAGTTCTTATTGGAAAAGAGTTATAAACAAAGTTATTGGAGGTGACTGGAATTTCTAAAACGAAAGAACCTCTCCTTGAACCTAACCGTGGGATTAACTTTGAATAAATCTCGAAAAAGAGGGATAGGTTGCCTGCCCTTTACAATTTTGAAACATTCTATTAAATCCGTGACCAAGCGGCGGTGTTTAAGAGATTTAAGATCAAAAAACTTTGTGTTCAAAACAGTCAACAAATCCTTTCCGATGCACGGGCACAATGATTTATTTAGATCGTTTGGCAAAAGTGTGGGATCTGGAGCGGGGAGAAGAGATCGCCACGCTTGGAGTTCATCCGAATAATGTGCACGCTGTCAGGTTACATTAAAAGCTAAAAAGTGGGTAAATTTTTTTCCTAAATCTTTAGATTTGTGCCGAATTCCCATTTGGCCATCTCAGCATCGATGTATCAGATGAGAGTTTGGGATTTGAGGGAAATGAAATGCGTTCGTTTATTGCAAAGCAGTGGACAAGTGGTTGAGGGTGGGTGCTCATGCTAAATGCTAAATGGTGATGGTTTTCGAAGGCTACCGTAAGCTTGCCTTTAATTTTTAACTCTAAGAATAGTGGCGATCGATTCGCCGACCCCGAAAACCCTCAGGTACAAGTTTACAGCCGAATATCTTCTTTTTTTGGGTCATCTATAAAGCAAAAGAGAAATTTGAATGTAAATTGGCGAGGTGTTCTTTGTGCGGTCGCGTGATCGCTCACAATTTGGCCTAAAGAAGGCTATAGGGTTTCCGTTAATCCTTGACAGTTGAGCGCTTTGGTCTCTCGATTTCTCGATCATTTCCTCACGATTCATCATTCCAATAAACTCTATTTGATATTTTTGAAAGGCTGAAAGTGTTGTCTTTAGAATTGTATCGAAAATTAGCATTCACATTAACATTAATATTATAGCTAAAACCAGCTATGAACATTGAAAGTGTGAAAAAAAGTTTTTAAAAGATCCCTGGTCAAGCCTGGTCAAGGTAAAGCTTGACCAGGGATGTCATTATAAAATTCAGGTGACGGTGGGTCAATCGGTTCTCGTCAAAATACAGTACCCTTCCTTGAGACAGTCGTCAACGCTATTGAAGTGAGTGCTAAAGAAATGGATATTTTTATAATACCTCTTTTCAGATCGATCCAACTGGTGAGCTTCTCTTTTCGTCATTTTGCGGTGATGTTCGAGTTTGGTGTCTCTCAAAGATGGCCTCTTTCGGTCGATTAGTTGGCGCAGCGCATAGGTGAGCAAATTTGAATATTTTTCCATATATTATCTAATTTAATTGCTTTATTTCACTGAAAACTTATTTTTCAAACATCGATTTAACAATTATTTCAGTCCCCGATCTGAGGTGTCATGTCTGTCCGTGGCGGTGAATCCGGAAAGAAATGGTTGGTGGGATAGAAAACCGATAGAGTATTGTAGTTTACGAATTAAAGATAGACATTTAAATGTCATAACTTTTCAGTATGTAATGTGTTCACTGGATCGAGGGATCACTATGTGAAAATGTACGCTTTACCGACAACCGGTGAAGGGGTTCACGAAGCGGCCGTGGGTTTTGTTTACAGCAATGTTTCAATGTAGGGTGTAATTGTAATAAAGTAAAGAAGTTGATGGTAAAGGATTTTCCCGAGAGGGAATTGAACCCTCAACTTTCTGCTTACCGGGCGATGCTCTACCTATTGACTAGCTATTGACGAGCTATTGACGCCTTCTTTGCCCAAGAAGAAATAGGAAAGACAAGGAAGAAGAAAGAGAGGAAGAAGAGAAGGGAGAAAGAGAGGGACTAAGCTAGGTTAGGCTAGAAATCAGACCCTGGCTTGCCTTTTGGTCAGAGTTGGAGGCTGTTTAGACATCCCTGGTCAAGCTTTACCTGATTGATTCAGATTAAACTAGACAACTATTATTTTTTAGGTCGAATTCAACCCACCCCATTACGATAATGTGACCTGTATCGTTTCCTATGATCAACACATCTACACAGCCAGCAAGGATATGGTTTGCGAGATTTGATTTCATTAGAAAAATCTTTCCTTTTTAGAATATTATGAAGATCAATCTGGTTGATAATAAGAGGGATCATCTAGAGTTGAAAGCACATAACAGCTATGTACAGGTGGGTGTGGCTATGTCTGTGGGTATATGGCTAATCGCTTATCTGCATAACTTTGGTTCTGTCTATCTATTGTATTGTTCTATCTATCTATCTATCAATATTTAGGGTCTTTGCTTGGCTCCACTCGGTTCAGAGACTTTATTGGCATCTTGTTGTAAAGAGGGAACGATCAAATTATGGGATGTCACATCGACGAGAAGGATGAGACTCGTTGAAACGGTTGGTGGTTGAATCTGGAAAAAGTTTGCAGCATAAACAAATTACATACCGTAAATCTTCTAATAGAAGAGCTTTCTATAGGAGCGTCGCGTAGTCTGTTAGAACAAATGATTGAAAAGTGGCAAAAAGAGCCGATTTGGAAAAATGAAAAATCTGCCACTTTTCAATCATTTTTTCTAAGCTCTGGTTAATGCTAAAAATTTGTTTTATATCTCAAAAAATCGCCCATCCTCTCTACTTTAATTTGATATCTAAGCGCGCTGAAACAAACGTATTGGTGTCAAAATATGAACGATTCTTTGAGTGTAAGTGGCAAAAAGAGCCGATTTTTCATCATTTTTCAATCATTTTTTCTAATGCTCTGGTTAATGCTAAAAATAAGTTTTATATCTCAAAAAATCGCCCATCCTCTCTATTTTAATTTGTTACATAAGCGCGCAGAAACAAACGTATTGGTGTCAAGATATGAACGATTCTTTGAGTGTAAACTTCGACTACGCGACGCTCCTTTAGGGGACTCTTCTATTAGAGCTTTTACGGTATTTAGACCCAAATAGCATGCAGTTTTTCATAAAATAAAGTATGCATGCAGTTTGATCCAATGGCATGCACTTTCTGATAGAATAAATTGAAAAAAACTGATTACCCCAGTTTGCTGGAAACAAAACTTATTCCCCAAGGGAAAAGAAACTTATTCCCGAAGGGTTATACCTTAGTTTGCTTTTTTCTAGCTAAGCTTTTCTAGCTAAGCTTTTCTAGCTTTTCTAGTAAACTCTAGCTAACACAGATAAATTTTCCCGAAAATTCAAAAATCTTATGAATGTACTAAGCAAAAGGTATAGTAAAAAAAGGTTTTAGATCGAGAAAGCCCACTCCGAATCGATCAACAACATTTGCCACTCGTCCGGTCTTCTCTTCACCGCATCTAGGTAGATTTTGAAAGCTCAAATCTTTAACGAACAGATGTTGTTCTGAAAGTACAGTACTGGACAATGAAATATCATCGTTGAAAAACGATCGCCACTTTCGCGCGTCTGCAACTCCATTGTCTTTGAGTTTAAACTATTAGTGTTATAAATTTTCTGAAAGCTCTTTTCAAGGGCTACACAATGGTAATATTAATATTTAGAAATACGGTAAAGACAAGGGAGTTACAGACGCGCGAAAGTGACGACCTTTTTTCAAATTTCATTGTCCAGTAGTGTATGTTCTGGAATATGTTAGCTTTCAAAAGCTACAGTAATCTTGCCTACCTATCCTAAAATGTGTCAACTTTTCTTGAAACTACCGTAATCTACTCAAGTTTTATCCACTCCATCTACTTTTTGCACATTTTGATTCCTTTTTTTCGATAAAATCTATAGTATTGATTTTTATTGCTTACCGTATTTACTCTATTAGTGGGGTCCTCTCTAATAGTGGGGTCCTCTCTAATAGTGGGGTCCTCTCTAATAGTGGGGTCGTCTGGAGGGGGGTTGAAAAAATAGTGGGGTCCTCTCTAATATTGGTAACGAAAGTGATACATCAATTGTTGATCTCTTGGATTAGTTCTTTTACTGTTTGTTAATGTTTTGTTACGGTTAAAGCTAAATAAAATATGAAGCCAAACTTGTTTTTTCAAGAATTTCGGAGAAAAATTGATATCTTTTCAACTTAAAACTTTGGTTTTATGTTCTTTTAAATTTCTCTAATAGTGGGGTCGTCTGGAAGGGGATTGAAAAAATAGTGGGGGACCCCACTAATAGAGTAAATACGGTAAATAAAAAGTAGAAGCAAGATTACGGTAGTTTTCGATAGAAAAAACGTTTTTAGAAAAGCTTATTAGGATTATGATAGATAAAGGAAAGTTAATACCATTTTAGAAAGAGAAAATCATGAAAAACTTTTCAGTGACACGACTGTCGGCGTGTGGCGACCAAATATGTCACTCTAATCAAAATCAAATGCTAATTTATTGCTTTTTTGTGATTTGCATTTTATATTGAAACTTTAACTCTTCAAAATCTAGTTGAAACCAACAGAAAATCTCTCATTTTTTTTGTTTCACTGAATTCCCGCGTGACTGTGATGAAAAGAAAAAGGCTAAAGATTTAGCCAACATTACCGTAGTTTTAATCTATTCTTTTCTAAAATGTGCACCAAATAACTACAATAAAAATGTGGCCTTTTCTTGAAATTTTTCGAGAAATTGAAATGTTTGAGCTTTGAAATGTTTTTACGAGAAAAATGCTCCTTTTAAATGTTGTGGTTTCGATTTCAGATAGAATTCGAATAAACAATTTGAATGGAAACAAATTTCCATATAAATACGTGTACAATTTGATCATTTTGATCATCAAAAACAGATCATCTGACGGACTGGAGAAGATCTAGACGGACTGAGAAGATCTAGACGGACTGGAGAAGATCTAGACGGACTGGAGAAGATCTAGACGGACTGGAGAAGATCTAGACGGACTGGAGAAGATCTAGACGGACTGGAGAAGATCTAGACGGACTGGAGAAGATCTAGAGTTTAGAGGAATGAAATTCGGTTTAGCTCTTGTCTTTGGTTTTGTTCTAGGAATTTTTGAATGAGTCCCGCTTAAGTGCATAGCTTTTTCTAGAGAGAAGATTTATGTTTAGAGGAATGAAATTCGAGTTCAATAGATTCGATAAAGAATTTGGCGATATTTTTACTGTAAATTCTATTGGGTTGGTGAATTGAAAACTGCCGGCTATTGTCATATGTGACAGTTTGAGCACTTTCTTCAAAAGAAACCCATTTTGGTGTCAATGGAAAAGTTGTAGAGAATCAAAAATCAAGCTTATATCCAAATTTTTGAGAACGATTCAAAAATTGGTTTTCAAGAAATGCAAAATTTACGAATTTTCACAAAACTTGCATGTTAAGCGAAACTACTAAGTGTATCTTTTTGGAAATTTGGCTATAAGCCTCATTTTTGATTCTCTACAACTTTTCTATTGACACCAAAATGGGTTTCTTTTGAAGAAAGTGCTCAAACTGGGCTGACAGCTGGTATCTTCAGTCCTCCATTTTTGAGTCTCACACACAAACCAAAATCCTACTACGAAAGAGGAATCCGCTAATTGCCTGTAAAATGGGCAGAAGTCATCAATAATAATGGAAATTATTTGGAATGAATTTATGGTTTTATGTTGAATAAATTGTTGAATATGTTTTAGTTCAAAGTCCCGGAGTTTTCAATTCACTAACCCAATACATCTTCTTTAACCATTTCATTCCTTTAACAAAAGCTAAATTGAAAGAAAAATCAGACTTCAGACTTCAGACTTCAGTCTGAAGATTTCTGACTTCAGTCTTCAGACTTCAGACTTCAGTCTGAAGATTTCTGACTTCAGTCTTCAGACTTCTGACTTCAGTCTGAAGATTTCTGACTTCAGACTTCAGACTTCAGTCTGAAGATTTCTGACTTCGGACTTCAGAGTTTTCTCTCTCGATTCTCCTTTAGATTTTTTTGTTTCAATATCATTCGAATTTCGAAAGTCTCTCATCAAACTATCAGAAAATCTATGTCAACAATGATTGTGAATGCTTTTTTTTCCTTAGAACTCTTCAAAGAGAATTCTTTAAATGAAAGAGGAAAGGAAAATAGTAAAGAAAGCGAGAGTTTCAGAGAAAGAAAGAAAAGGGCAACGAATCGATCGATGTGAAGAGAAGAGGGGGAAACTCTCCTTTTTATGCCTCTTACAACCGTCACAACAAGGAGAACTGGGATGGAGTTCTTTGGGACCCGCAGATTCCCCACGTGCTCTACCCATTCTCCCATCCCAACTTATCCATTTTCTTATAAAAAACACCTGATTTTTTTTCTTTCTTTCTTCAACTCTTTCAGTTTCGTTACCATGACAAAAGTGTTGATTTCATTTTTAAAAAAAGAAAATTTCGATTTACGCTTACTTTTTGCTACTTTTTGCTACAAAGCTTGGAGCTTGGAGCACGTGTGGCTGACTGGTTAAGTGTCTTTTATCTTAATCGGAAGGTCGAGGGTTCGAACCCCACATGCGACATGGTCACCCCCTTCGGATTTCCTTTCCCTTCGGGTTGAGAGGTTTTCTGGAGGGCAGTCTGGTGGTTGTGGCCCCAGTTCTTTAAAGTGACAAGCCACTCCTTCATCGTCATCTTCCCTTCACCACCAAAAAAGCTATTTAGTTCCCCATTGAGCTTAGGGTTAGGGAGCCGTCTGTCATGACGTGGGTTAAGTTAAGATATAGCCTAGTATTGTGTGTGTCGTTGTATTGTGATTGATATATTTCGTGTATGCGATAAATTCACCACTGGTAGCCCCAGTCGGTATTTTTTTTTAAAGCTTGCTTTTTGGTTTCACCAAGTCTAATTTATTTCAGATTATTAAGATTCTAAAAAAATATTTTAAAATAACCATATTCAGAAATATTCTAAAAAGCCAGAGTCCTAATTATGCGTTTTCTATTGAAATTTTGACTCTAAGCTGTACCATTCTGAATCATTTCAACGGGAATATTAAAGTTAAAGCTGGCTGCTTTGGAGTTGACTTTTGAAACAGTGCTGGCCCTCTCGAGCAAGTTCACTCTTGCCTTTACCCTTTTTATCTCCCAGCTCTTAGAACCCGAACAGAGACATAGGAGAACTGAGATTCAGCATCCAGCTCAAGCTTGCTCAGATCAGGGACAGAATCCAGAATAGTTTTTGAGGCCAAAGCCAGTCTTCGGTACTTGCCCGAAAGAAAGATAGCCTGGCTAGCCCGATCGAAAATCCCTGATCTTATCCTGAGCCTTTTCTTCATCTCCTACAACTCTGCTTTGCAAAATTTTCACCTAATTCTTTGGTTACCATGGAAAAAAGCTTTGTTTTTCTTTTTTAATTAAAAAAATCTCGATTTTTCTTTTTGGTGAATTCGCTCAGGGAAAATGGATCTCATCCTTTGACATTTTCAAATTTCAAATTCCTCAAAAGTTCTTGAATTGTTTTTAAAATTTAAATTCAATATGTTCAATTCAAAATTGCAGAATGTCTTCAAAAGACGATGGGAAAGGCGATGAAGAAAAGGAGAAATCGGGGAATATTCGGCGACGTTTATTTGGATCTGGAAGTGCAACAATCACTCCAATCACAACAAATAATAACAATGAGATGCCAAGAGTACAACAGAGTGTTTCCGCCTCATCGTTGACAAGGGATCTCGTGGGTTTTCTTCAATTTTTCAACTTCGAAATCTTTTTGAAGAAAGCTAGAGCCTTGTGCTTTTCTTTTTCCTCGAAAAGATTACCTTTATTAAAAAGATGACCTTCATTTCTTCTTTGCAATAAGAAGAACAGTACGCCAGAAAGGCTGTGTTTGAAAACTTTCGAGCACAAAGTATACCTAGACACCTAGCCAGATTATATCTCGGTTTCAGTGTGGCCACGAGCCGACGTGTCCCTCTCGATCAGCGATGTCACTTCCATTCGATGAAATGCTTCCATCAACATCTCGTGCTTTTCTCAACCCATCGCTTAATATTAAATGGCCACAAACGCTGCTGGTAAAGTCGACTTTCGATTTAACGACTCTCGATACAACGATTTTGAAATTCTAAAACACGCGCAGCCAAACGCAATCGTTAGCCGCTTAGGGCAGCTACGCAAGAAATTTGGGGCACGTTTTAGAATCCTTAAATCGAAATTTTTGATCCCGAGCGAATCGTTAAATCGAGAGTCAACTGTAATCACCGTATTCTTGATTGTTTAATCAAGAATACATCCTAAAAATTTATCCTATCCTAAAAAATGCGATAAAGTTACCGTAGGCTTTTAAAAATTTAGACAAAAGTTTAGTTGCCTCCAACAGAGTCTAGCCAGTTTAGGCTATAACCAGGTCCAGGCAATGTGGCTAGCTCATGATTAGGCTCAGGCTCAGGCTTAGGCTCAGGTTCAGGCTTAGGCTCAGACTTAAGCACTGTAGTACTGTAGATACTGTAGGCTAGGCTTGGCCCGGAATTGCCTTTAGAACATCTGTGTAACCCAATGCTAAGTTACATAAATGTAGTTATAGTTGTAGTTGTAGCTGTTTTCACGACAAAAGCAATGTGGGGGGATAACGGTAGCTTTTCTAGCAAACGGTTTCTTTTAAATGAATATAGTCGTGTTTCATTGTGATACTTTTTTTAAAAAAAGTGTAGACGCACGATTCGCTGGACTCGGAGAAGCGACCACAGCTTGATGGGTATCTTGATCCAGAAGAAGATCAACAGTATTCACGGTTGGGCATTTGAAAATTTGCATATTTTTTTATAGCATATGAAATTGAACGACTTTCATTTCAGCAATCTTTCGCTGGAAAGCGATTTGGCCGAGATGCAACCGAATTGGATCGGATTACCGCCAGCGAATGCATCCATTTCGAATGGTCTTTTTTTGAGTTAAAGGGTGACCAAGAATTACCGCAACACACAAAAGGCAAAAGGCTTTTAACCGAATATGCAACCGATCTCGAAAATTTCACTTAAATATCTTTATTTTTCTGTGCCATTCCTCGAGCCGATTGATTAGGGTTTAATCTTAGACGATCGCGCACTTTCTGGTTTTGCACATGCCCTGGCTTCAAGAACACTCCAGACTGAGTAATCCAATGGTTTAAGATCGCGTGAGCTGGGTGGCCACTCAGAAAACGAGATGAAGTCCGGGAAGGTCTTTGAACAAAACTCTTGCACTTTCTTTGCCTTGTGAGCCGGCGCACTATCTTGTTGATAAGTCCAAATTCGATTGTGATTATGTTGACGGAGCTTCTCTTCAGACCCATTTTCTGTGCCATTCCTCGAGCCGATTGGTTAGGGTTTAATCTTAGACGATCGCGCACTTTCTTGAGCGCACTTTCTAGGAGTAACCGCTGTTCGTTTTGCACCTCTTCCTGGGCGATCAGAAACTGTGCCCAGAGTCTCATAACGTTGAATGGTTCGAGAAACGAGGCTTCTGGGGACATTCAGGCGCTTTGAGATCTCGCTCGCCTGAACACGCTGCCGCTTGAGCTCAAGGATCGATTGTCGATGTGGAGACGCTTTCACCATTCCTGAAAACAATCATACTTGAATTATTGAAGTATTGAAAGTTTGTAATCATACCATAAAATAAGAAAAATACACCAAAAACCATAAAAACAGGTAAGCAAAAAGTGAAATTGGGCTCATAACATAATACGACGTTGTCGCGGTAATTCTTGGTCACAACCATACCATACTAACCATACCAACCAACCACAACCATACCACAACCAACCAACCATGTATTGAAATTTAGTAATCATACCCTGTAATTCTACAGATTATACTAATATTGAAATAATTATTCTATAATATTTCATAATATTTAAAATATTAAGATGTAATATGAAAGTGAATGATAGATTTTCAGAACGAAATGTTGATGAGGAGTTGTGCTTGGTGCCCCGTCGAGCTCCCGAACAAGAGGAGTGGGTTTGGAAAAGAAATAAAGAAATAAATAAAGGAATAAAGAAATAAAGGAATAAAGAAATAAAGAAATAAATAAATAAGGAAATAAAGAAATAAAGAAGTAAATAAATAAAGAAATAAAGAAATAAAGAAATAAATAAATAAATAAATAAATAAATAAATCAATCAATAAATCAATAAATCAATAAATCAAAAAAAGAGATTTAGATATTTAGTCTTATAGCTATAAAATGATAGAAGATAAAGTCATTTTAGTCACTCAGAAGCCGAGGAAAGAGAGCAGAGACGCGTCGAGTTGGATCGACAAATCGAGAGAGTTATCGAGCAACAAGCTTTCAATCAAGTATCATAAAAATATTATAAAAATATCATAAAAATCATATTTATCTATCGTAAAACGATGTCTTAAATTGATCTAAACAAAATTTTAAAACAAAATTTTCTTATAACTACACTACTGAACAATGAAATATCATATTTGAAAAAAGATCGTCACTTTCGCGCGTCTGTAACTCCCTTGTCTTTACCGTATTTCTAAATATTAATATTACCATTGTGTAGCCCTTGAAAAGAGCTTTCAGAAAATGTATAACACTAATAGTTTAAACTCAAAGACAAGGGAGTTACAGACGCGCGAAAGTGGCGATCGTTTTTCAACGATGATATTTCATTGTCCAGTACTGTAGGAGAGGATGTAGGAGGGCTACCCGCTTTATATGAGTTTACGCCTTCGACAAGTCTACCCATTTGGATCCCTGGTTATCCCAATCCCGAGGGGAAGGGCCTAGGGTGAACTGGTTCCCAAGACCGGCCCCCCTAGGCCCCTTAAGGGCCTAGGGAGTCCGGTCTTGGGAATCAGTTCACCATATGGGTGCGGTTACCTACAGCACTCGGTTTGGGGAAGATATCCCTGACTCATCTGCTGGATTCGAACCAGAGACCAAGCTCAACGTTGCTTAACTTGGCAGATCTAACGGGATACCGTGTTTCAACGTGGCGAGGCCGTAGTCAATAGTATAAAGTTTAATCATTTTATCTTAGTTTAATCATTTTATAAACATCAAAAGATATTTAATATTTCTTTTCTACATTTTATTGTTTATTATAAATACCTTAATCTAAGGATGTGATTGAATCGCTTGCTCGTGCTAATCATCAACGCGTTTTCGGGGAATTTGTTGAGGATGATGATGGAGGAGATGAGATGAGAAAAGCTGAGAATATCGAGGTTTGGAAAGTGAATCTTAAAGCTAATTTTCTTTTTCCTAAAACCAGCTAATAGTTAGATCATAGTTTCTATACAAATCGGCCCCAAAATTTACAAGACAATCGTTTAGAACGAGCAGCGACCTCAAAACGAACGCGCACGAAACCTAGTGGCTTCAGAGGGACAACCCGTTATGTGAGTGTTGGCTATGAATCAAGGATCAAGACCAGAGTTCATCAAAATCAAAAATAGCCTTGAATGCTATTTTTTGATATCTAAGCGCGAATCGTAGTTTAAAACCAATGCCAAGAAAAACGTGTTCAAAGTTAGACGACACGCCGTCATTATGCTATTACATAAGAGTACTATTACAGTACTATTACAGTAAAGTACTATTACAAGAGTACTATTGCAGTAAAGTACTATTACAATAAAGTACTATTACAAGAGTACTATTACAGTAAAGTACTATTACAAAAGGTACTATTACATAGAGTACTATTACAGTAAAGTATTATTACAAGGGTACTATTACAACGGTACTATTACAAGGATACTATTACAATAAAGTACTATTACAAGAGTACTATTACAATAAAGTACTATTACAAGGGTACTATTATAAGGGTACTATTACAAGGGTACTATTACAGTAAAGTACTATTACAATAAAATACTATTACAAGAGTACTAGTTCAATATTTACCGTATTCTCCACGTCATAGTTATAAAATCTAAACTTTTCTTGATTTGTTTAATAGTTAAAGTTTAAAATTTCTTTTATAAAGCTTTCTTATTCAGGAATGAAGACGGAACGTTAACCCTTCGCGGGAAAGAGCTCATCAATAACTACCATCACTTTGTGAGAAATTTCCAAATATCTGGTTGGGGATTTTTAGCTGATCATTAGCTAATAATTGTTTATTAAAAATTAAAATACAATTTAAACGATTTAAATTTCAGATCAACACGTGCCCCGTTTATACTACGGAGACGAGGATACTCCCGAAGAAGAAGAAGAGGATGGAGGTGTGCATGGTTCGTGTTAGGCCACGCTTAATCAAACTTCGCACAGAATAATAAATGGATGACTGTAAAGAGTACAGAAAGTACAGAATAGTAAATGGATGACTGTAAAGAATATAGAAAAGAATATAGAAAAGAATATAGAAAAGAATATAGAAAAGAAAAATTCAAAAAGACTGACACTAATTGAGAAGTAATCTAGGCCAAAAATAAGCTAATAGATTAACTTTTGCTTGCTATTAGCCTAGTCGAAAACCCTTAGTTTATTTGACCAACAATCCAAGCTAGATGTAGTATTTTAACTTTAGTATTTCTGTTTCTGTATTTCTGGATCTTTCTTTGAGAGCATGAAGTCAGGGTAGTCAAAAAGTCGACTCGATGATAGGGTTTCGCCATTTTTGACATAAGGAAACCTATCTTTAATGTCAATAGATAAAAGATAGAGCATAAAGAGTTTAGTATATAGTTTAGTATATAAATTTTCATCGAAATTCATTCAGCTAATATCTTCGTAGAGGTTTTTATAGACCAATTTTTTTTTATTTTTATAAAACCACGGTTTTCACTATTGAATTTGTGCTTTAAGTGAACTAAATTTGACTTAAAAAGATCGAAATTGAACAAATTGAACAAATTGAATAAAAAAAAGAGTTTTTCTTAAGAGAAAATGATAGATTAATAGATTAATAGATAAATTTGTTTTTCAAAAAAGGAAATATGAAAAGGAGGGAGAAGATCTTCTAGACAGTCTAATATAGTATTTTAAAATGATCATAAAACTTCAAAAGCTACGATTTAATCAATCAAATCATACATAAATATGTAAAACTAATAGTAAAGAATATCATAAAAAAATACTCAGTTGGTGCATCGACATCTCGTCGTCTTTTGCCAGGCGCTTTCCCCGCGAACACTTCACATGTATTGGCGATTGGTCGAAAGCCAACCGTTTCCGGAAATTCATGTGAGATTTTAAAATCAAAAAGAAGTTAAGTAGCTTGAACTTGAGTTAAGTAACTTTAAAGCTATTTTATCAGAAGTATCGATTATCAAAGTCTCAACTTTAGCTTTTCGAAGAGAGATTGCAAAAAAGTTATGCAATTTCTCATGAAAAGTTTGTCGGTTTTTTCGATTCTCTGCGTGGCAGCCCCATTGTAGCTTGAACTTTAAAGCTATTTTATCAAAATATCTATTTCAACTTTAGCGAACCGACCCGCAAACGCTGAAGAAACAAACCCATTGGGATGGCAAGCAGCAAAGGTCACACTCAAGGTATCAATGAAATTATTAATAAAAATTGAATGGACTATCAGAAGTGTTTATTATTGAAATTTTGCAATTTCCAGGAGCGTCTGACTTTCATGTATTGCAATGACATACTCGCTGATGTTTACTTTATCGTAGGAAAAGACGAGAATCGACAGGTGATTTTGATGGAAATTTGGTTGAAATTTGGTTGAAAATCTTTATTTAAATATTGAAACTAAAAGATTGAATTAATTATAGCGTATTCCGGCTCATCGCTTTGTTCTCTCGATCGGTTCAGTTGTTTTTGATGCGATGTTTAACGGTGGTTTGACTCCAAATAGTCCATCTAGAGGTGATGAATGGGAAAGATCAGTTTAAATATTGATAGGATTAGGGGAGAACAAGTACCGTAATCTTAACAATAATCTTATCAATTTAAAATATGGATATTTCTCTCAGATCCCCTTGAGATCGAATTGCCTGATGTTGAGCCGTGTGCTTTCCTTTCACTTCTCCGTTTTCTCTACTCGGATGAGGTGTCGATTGGGCCCGATTCCGTCATGACAACACTATATACAGGTAAAAGAAATACCATAATAACTATAGTAATATTAGAACTCCAAATTGACTTGATCGAAGACTTTGTTTCAATTCTTCGGTTGCGCCTTTTCCAGTTTCCATTAGCAAAATGATCTTTCCGTGTAACTCGCGTTCTGATCTAAACTAACTGACGATAAATTTTGATGGAATAAAGACCATACTTCAGTTCGGTCAATTCAGTAAAGGTCAATAAAGAACAATAAAGAATATTTATAAAAAAAGCCAAAAATTTAGCCAAAAAGTATGCTGTGCCAGCCCTTGAGACGGCGTGTGTCGATTTTTTAAAGAAATCCCTTGCTGCCGACAATGCTTTCATGCTGTTGACACAGGTATGGCTTTGGAAGCCCAGTTTTCAGTTTACATTCAGTCCAGTTCAGTCATTCAATTCAATTCAGTTTACAAATACTGTTAATAGTCTTTTAAAAGCTAGTCAGCTGTATTGGTTGAATGAAAATTCTTCTAGGCTCGTCTCTTTGATGAACCCCAACTGACCGAGTTGTGTCTCGAGAAAATCGACAAGGATACAGTATCGGCATTAAATGCAGAAAGTAAACTTTCAATATAATGCAAATTTTCTAACCTCAATATCAATGCAAATTTTCTCATTTCCAGGCTTCACTGAAATCGATCACGACACTTTGTGTTTGGTGTTGGCAAGGGACACACTAAGGGTCAAAGAATCACAACTGTTTCAGGTAAAGATTTAGAAAATTGTCATGATATAGGATGGAATATTTGACACTGACATGACATTTTAAATGCTTAGAAATTTCCAGGCTGTCGTCGCATGGGCCAAAGAGGAATGCCAGCGTCGAGACGAGTCGCCAACATCGGAAAACAAACGAGCGATCATCGGGAAAGCGCTGCAATTGATTCGTTTCCCGCTGATGACAATTGAGGAATTCGCTCAAACTGCTGGTTTGTTTGTGACCAGGCCAATGCAGGCACTTTTTCTGGACCAGGCCATTTGATAAGCGCCCCGCTCCTTTTCCTATTAGAAATCTAACTTTTAGCTCAAATATCTTGGTGTTGGGCTATCCAATTTAGATATTCTTTGTATCATTAGATGCGTCAAGTCTTTCTCTATCGATTGGTATAAAAATTGTTTAAATTAAACAGTCCAACACCAAGAAATTTGAGTTCAAAGTTACCAATGACAATGCCAATGCTCTTATCAAATGTCCCACAAACCTAAGCCAAGCAAGGTCAGACCCTGGCATAGCCTGACCACGAAAAATCTCTAGCTCTGGACCTGGATCTGATTTCTGATCAAGTTTGAGCACAAAGTACATTCTTTTTCAGCACAATCAGGACTCCTAACCGATCGTCAAATGGTTGAACTCTTCATGTATTATACGGTAAATCCAAAGCCACAAACGGTGTTCATTGAGCGTCCGCGTAGTGTGATGGGCGGAAAAGAATACGTTGTTAGCAGGCAAGTCGAAAAAGAAAAGGATCTTATTTTCAACAACTTTTCCTTCAGATTTCAACGCACCGAGGGTCGCTGGGGATACAGTGGCACACCCGACAAAATAAAGTCAGTTTTCTAGCCAGAATTCAGAACTCAGCAGAATATGTTACTAATTCGTAACTAGAGTTTAAAACACTTATAATCAAACAACCAGTTTCCCAACAATACTGTGATCGGTTCTAAAGGAGACCTATTTTTTTCTATTTTTCTAATCTGCCCCACATTTTTCATTCAATCAGCTCAATTTTTGGTATCGCTTGATGAAGATCGTCAAATTAATCAATTAATGATTAAGGCTTACACAAGGCTCAATTAATCATACAAAAATTGAGCTGATTAAATGAAACACGAATGTATTTTTAGAAAAGATGAGATGACTAGAATAAAAGCTTACATCCCAGGTTCACCGTCGATCGAAAAATCTATGTCGTCGGTTTTGGGTTATACGGATCGATCCATGGGCCATACGAGTACCAAGTCGCCATACAAGTAAGCTTTAATATCTAATAATAGTAGAAATCTAATAATAGTTTATTTATAGATCCAACAATAGATCTAGTGTTATATTCGAAAATCTAGATTCACAATTGTGGCACGAGCAAAGTGTTGGCGCATAACGATACGACTTTCCAATGTGATGGCTCGCAGAACACTTTCCGAGTCTCTTTCAAGGTTGGATGCGGTTTTTAAAGCGAGAAATATATCTGACATTCCTATTTGGTTCGAGAAATATATCTGACATTATAAAACATCATAAAATTTTGCCTATACAGTATTTTCTTTTGCAGAAACCTGTCGAGATTACCCCACACATCACCTATATTGCGAGTGCTTGTTTAAAGGTTTGCTTGATGAATTTTTGATGAAAACTACTGTAATCTGCCCCCTCATTTTTCGAGCTTTAAAGATTCATCTAAAATTTAAACAATTTCTAGGGAACCGACTCATTCTATGGAACAAAGGGATTGCGACGGATTGTTCATCAATTAAATCACTCAAATAGTGTCACTTTCCAGGTAGAGTAAACAAGATTCAGTGCACTAGCAAGGGTACGTTTACCTAAGCACAAAGTAGGGTACCTAAGCACAAAGTAAGGTACCTAAGCACAAAGTAGGGTACCTAAGCACAAAGTAAGGTACCTAAGCACAAAGTAGGGTACCTAAGCACAAAGTAAGGTACCTAAGCACAAAGTAGGGTACCTAAGCACAAAGTAAGGTACCTAAGCACAAAGTACAGTGGGGATTCTGTAAAAGTTATATTACAAAACACTAATTCTCTTTTAATTCTTTTAAACTACAAAATCGTTTTCAATCCTTTTAAACTACAGAATTAAAAGTGAATCAATAACTAAACTAAATGCAAATTCAGTTCACATACGCTGCCGGGAACAACAACGGAACCTCGGTCGAAGATGGGCAAATTCCCGAAATTTACTTTTACCGTAGCCCAGGGAAATGAGCATTTGATAAAATTTAGCTGAAAGCTTTTAAAATCTAAGTGATTTTGATCTTTTCTTTAAAGCAAAGATTCGACTTTTACTGGTTTCCCCCCCACAAAAATGACAAATTTCAAATACGGTTTTGCGTGGAATTTTGTGATTCTCTTTGTATCTTTGCTAATATTATAGTGTAGAAAATGTTTAGAGATAAATATTTTCCAAGAGTTTTATCTAAAAATAAATGAAACCTGCCTGAATAAGATAAAAACACGGGAGTAGGACAAATGCGACCTTTTTTTTTGCTGGAAAAGGCCTTAGGAAAAGTCGTAGAGCTTCAAAAACGTTCTCATAGAAGGGAATCGTATGCGTAGATTCAGAATTTTGACAAATCAGACCTCGCTGACACGTCAAATTTGGGCTAAAAGGCAAAAACTGGAGAAAAGCGTTAAGTTGCGTAGTTTTTGCCTTTTAGCCCAAATTTGACGTGTCAGCGAGGTCTGATTTGTCAAAATTCTGAATCTACGCATACGATTCCCTTCTATGAAAGCGTTTTTGAAGCTCTACGACTTTTCCTAAGGCCTTTTCCAGCAAAAAAAAGGTGCGCAAATGTCCAGGTGCGCAAAAAAAGGGCACATTTGTCCCACTCCCAAAAAACAAAAAGAAAAGAGACAGCGATCAAGAGAGACCGCGTGGATAACCTACCGTACTCCAGCTGTCGGAAAGGCGGGTGCTTGCTTTTTTCCAAAATTCGTTTGGGCTTTGTTAAAAAACTGCCTACTTTAATCATTTTTTGCGCACTATGACATGAAATTCACACTTTCCATTGACCCATCCACGATTAGAGCTGAAAACCTGGTACTATCGGAGCCTAGGGGGCACTCAAAATTTGCATATTAACTTCAATTTGCATTTAACTTCTCTGTTGATTTTCACGCGATTTTTACTATTTATTTTAATCTATTTACTACAACAACAATTTTCCAATCAAAATAAAACAACTAAGAATGAACAAAATATATCTAATTTTAGAAGAGTGGATATTTTGAAATGACAATTTGCAATTTAGAAAAAAAATTTTTCTTTTGCTCGAATTTGATCATAAACGTAATTAGTAGGTTAAATTATGCCAGAAGAAATGTTTTTGGCTTCAAAAAATGTTTTGAGAGATCATTTTTAGACCTCTTGTGTATCCCTCTCAGTATGAGCGCGCACTTTGGAGCCCCGAAACTTGGTTTAAAACGCATTTTTCTAAGCTCTCGTCGTGTTTTTCGGACTCTACGGATAAAACTGCCACAGAAAAAGTAGTTTTAAAGAAAAAAAGTGGGCACCCCAACCGGCGTACCCGACTTCTTCCTAGAAGAGGTACATTAGATTGTTTCCGGAGCTTTGCCACGGCCGCAAGACCTCAAAAGGAATGTTCATCCCAATACTCTCCGTTAAGTCCATTTAAGTTTGTTAAAATTGTTGTTGTTAAAATAAATACCGTATTTCTTCGAAAATTTCTAAATTAGCGTTTATCGTTTTGCTCATTCTTCCAAAATTTGCATATCAATTGTGGTCCTCAAACGGAAAAGAACCAAAATTTTTCACATTTGTCATTTTATGCATGAATTATACATTTAGACTTGTCTCGATTTTTCTATTTTCCTGTTGTTTTTTGTTCGATCTCGTTTAATATAACATCAATTTATTGTTTTGTTTCAGAAAGAATGACGGAAGGTGACACGAAGATGGAGAATTTGAAGGTCTTGGACGCCAAAACGATCGCCAAACGCTTGAGTTTTGAATATGACGAGGGACTGGTGGCCGAGCACATTGTTCGACCACAGGTTTGTTACTTTAATTTTTGTTTCGTTGGAGTTTGAGAGGAGCCACTTTACTGCTTGTCGGGTTGGGTGCACTCGGTCAAAAATTGTTTAAAGCGGAAACCTATGAAGTTTGTTATGCTGGGGCCAAACGTAGCTTTCGTATAAAACGAAGCAAATGAATATCCAAATTCCGTTTTGTAAGAACTTGCTAAAGTAATCCTTGAAAGGTTTCAAAGAACTTTATGTAGCTCGGCCTCACTGTTGACTTTTCTTTTGGAACTTTTGTTTCGGGTATAAAAACAAAAGTACTCGCGACATCTTAAGGTCCAACCAAGTAAAGTCATACAATTATTGACAACTTGTCTATGGATATAAGTTTCTCTGACATAAACTAGCTTTATTTTTTGTCATTTAGGCAGACCGAATCTGCGCATTTTATCGTCTCTTCTTGATGAAAGAATTCGAAGTAACCGAGGAGAGCCTATTCTGCATACCATTTCAAGTGAGGTTTCAAAATAGTGTTTTGAAAAGATAAAAAGGCCGGACTAATTTTGAAACTCTAGGCTCAACTGCAAGCAGAAGAGCACGAGGCGGAGATGTTTCGAAACTCGTATTCAACGCTACTTCTCTACAAAACACTGTAGATTGTTTTTGCTTTTGCATGTATGGATTAAATTTAGTTCATCCGTTTTCAATGACGTATTTGGAATCGAGTTCACGATGAGCGATCTCATCAACCCAGAACCGGACCGAACTCGCCGCCTCTTCTCGATGATCGTCCATTTTGCAGAAGTCATTCGACGTGTTGACGAGCCTGCGCGAAAAGTTCACGAGGAGCTAGAAGCGGAAATGGAGAAGTTCAAAGAGATGGAGATTCAAGTAAATTATTTAAAAAAGTAAATAAAAAATTATTTAAAAACAATGCAGTTTGTTTAGTCGAGGGCACTGGAAGAAAAGCTAGTTGAAGAGCGCAAGAACGACGAAGCACGAAAACGACGTGAAAATCAAGTACCGCTTTTTAAAAAATTATATTATATTGCTTTAATTTTAGTTAGCCGAAGATAAACACCATTTGATGACTCAAGTGCGAGAATTGACTCGCGACGCTGAAGCATGCCGAAGCGACATCACGACGATTCTTGACGCAATGGAGAAGCACAAGGCAAAAATGGTGAGTCGAAGGTCTTTCTAACTAGGTATAAACAAACTATTTTAGCTTGAAGCCGAAACACGTAGCAAGGAGCTAAGCCAAAAAGAGAAATACCTTCTCGAGGGGATTATCGATAACCCAGCTCAGGTTATCTTTATTGTACCTCACAACCTCACATTTCAAATTTAGATGCTTGCTGAAAAAGGGGAATTGGCCAAACTTCGGGATGAATTGAAAGAATCTTTACACAAATCACGCACTGAATTGGCCGAACTGAAGTATGGTCTTTATTCCATAAAATTTATCGCCAGTTAGTTTAGATCAGAATGCGAGTTACACGGAAAGATCATCTCGCTAATGGAAACTGGAAAAGGCGCAACCGAAGAATTGAAACAAACGCGCATGCTCTTCGATCAAGTCAATTTGGAGTTAGTGGCGCTAGAACGAGAGTTGGAGCACTACATGTTGGGTAAGGGTTGATATGTATGCATGTTACCAAATGTTAAATTTAGATGTCGATGCAGCCACACAAGATCAAACGGCAAATGAAACAAATCGAGTGGCTGCTCTGAACGCACATGAAAAGGCATTGATTCAACATAATGAGATGCTTCACGAATTGAAAACTTCAATCGTTAAATTGAATGAGTGGGTTTTGAAATCTTTTCGCTTATATGTACTTTTAGAGAATTGGAAAAGCATAAAGCCTCCGGCACTTCCAAAAACAAAGAAAATGCCAAAGCAGACATTCGTGAGGTTTGTGTTAGAAGTTCTAGTTACTTTTGAAAACGAACTTTTAGAAGCAGCAAGAACTGAACCGCCTTCGAAATGAAATTGAACGCCGTCAAAGTAACTTCAAATCCGAATGGGCTGAGATGTTCAGTCAAATCGACAAAATGAGACGCAAGGTTGATAAAGGGTCGCAACGTTTTTCTACGCTCGTCAATATTCATCAAAACACTTCACTTGCCGTAAGTGTTTCTATTTAAATGTGCTTTACGTTTTTTTAGATTCAAGGAGCACTGAAGGAAGAAGGTGTCGAAGGACATAACGGATCATTTGTTCACCTTGCCTCCCCTGTTATTGATCATTGGTATTTGTTGCTTTTATGATTGTGTAAATTTTTGTTATAGCGCGCGCACTCCAGCACAATCAGCCAAGAAATCGATTCCACGATTGCAGAACCTTTCTACTGCAGATTCACCCCTCAACAACACTTTGATTTTACATGAAATTCCACAGTCGGCAAAGAGGTTTACCTTTCTTAAAAGCACTAACATAGATGTTTTTTTAGATTGTCTGGCGTGTCCAGATCTTTTCAACGTGTCAAGAAATCAGAAACATATGATGGTGAGCACTCATTCACTGGACCGCTTGGACGTTTTTGAGCAGCTCTCTGAGTGCACGCTTTTTGATGTCTAAATCCATATTATGAACTCTATTTTTGTGGTATTTAATATTTGTGTACGCATAAAATCTTTATACACACATGCAATTTGATAGAATTTCCTACAAATACCGAATACAGATACAGACACGCACAAAAACACAAAATTTCGACTTTTACACCATTTACAACCGTTTTGGAGGAGAAGAAATTTCCATACAAATCGTAAATTTACAAATAACTTTCAAGAATGCAAATATTCACCTAGATTTACAAAAAAAAGAAAATCGTTTAAAAATAAAGCAAAGATTTACAAACATTCACGACGACCACAACTGATAAATGACTGCAAAAGAGACAACCGGGCAAAGCTGTGTACATACAAAGAAAAGAATTTACATTTGGGTTTATGTGGAAGGGAGTTCGAATTCGAAAAGTGTCGTCTTTGAAAGTATTGTGAAAGCATCTTTTTCTATAATATAATATCGATGAATGAGTGGTGGTTTTTTTTCAGAGTTTCTTCGGATACTGCAAACAGTAAGAGCACTCCTATAGAGCATATCGGGTAATATCTTTTAGTGCTACCGCAAACCTGCACTAGGGTTACGGTAGCTGGATTACTACGGTAGCTGGATTACTGTAGGCTACGGTAAAAATGATGATTTTTAAAGAAGAAAGCTGCTAATTAAATCACCAACATTCACTCAATGATCTTTTTTTTTATAGAAATGAGCACAAATCATTTTGTTTTCTTTTCAAAATCAAAATTATACAAAAATGGGGAAAGAGGCAGTGGGAGAATTGGGTGAAAGATTTGGGGATTTTCCTTTTTTCTTTCCTTCACATCTTTTCATTTTCTTGGTGCAGTCGGTGGCCGACCGTGTCCGATTGGGGCTATCTTTGATGGAAGAGCTTTTTGCGCTTTGATCAATCCAAGGGAAACCGCTTTCTCGACGGGAAGCTGAATTTGAGAAAATGTACAATGCTTTTTATTATGTGAACAAAAGAATGTTAATGAATTGGATTGTTGAGATAGCTGTAGCCTTTACTATAGCTTTTACTGTAGCCTTTACTATAACCATTACTGTAGCCTTTACTATACCCTTTACTATAACCTTTACTATAGCCTTTACTATAGCCTTTACTGTAGCCTTTACTCATCGCAAGATTTCTTTGTAGTTTTAGAATTAAAGTCTTTATTAAGTACTTGTTGAGAAGGGGGAAAGGTAGAAGAATTTAAAAGATTAGAGGATTTTCCTTGACATTGACTAAAAAGATATGGAAATCTTTAGATTACTTGACTATTGACTTTGAATTACTTTGACTGAATTTGACTTTGACTGAATTACTTTGAATTACTATTGACAAAAGATTGACCTGTTTATGCGGGAAAACGGCAACGTGACATTTGATACAAGATTGCGCCTCATTTGCCACTGAGTTTTGTGAAGTCCATTTTCTAAAGAAGAAAACAATTATTGAATTGATTCAAATCGATTTATTGAATTGATTTAAAGTAATAAATCTTAAATCAGATTTTCTTTTTTTTTCTGAATAATCTATTTTTAAAGGTGTCTATTTGAATTTAAGCAAAAAAAAAAGAAAACCTTTTACACTGTTGACATTGAAATTCTCCGTAACATTTCTTTCGTCCTTGATACGGTGTCAACTCATCATAGGCACCGTTGAAGCGCTAGAAAAGAAGGGGAGATTTGAAAGATCGATTAGCTAGCTAGCTACCTGTGGACAATCGGATATATAATGACCAGTTTGATAACAAATATGACATTGATATTTGTTGGGTGGAGCTTTCTTTGGTGAGCACAATAAAAGCTCGAAATCCTGAAAGAAATACGAAAATTTATCGATATTTCATATATTTTATATAAAAAGGTACTTAAATGTATGATTTTTTTAATATTTTTAATTGTTTACTCGTATATCGTCCATTGAGAGACCATCATCATGAGGAGCGGGAGCATTTGGATCATCGATTATCTGGAAAAAGATGGAAATTAAGTCTATAATAAGCCTATAATAAGTCTATAATAAGTCTATAATAATAAATAATAATAATATCTATTAGTTTTTATGTTAGATTCTTATTAAAGTAAACCTTCTTCTTCTCTGGTGGCATAGCGGGAATCGGCGAGATTGCTGGCGCGATATTTGGTGCATCTAAAAACACTGTGATTCCGATTTTTTTAATCCATTTTCTTCTTCATCTATTTTCTTCTTTAACACTTACTTATATTTGTGGTGGCTTCAATGAGCTCAACCGGATATCCAGCATCTCGAAAAGCTCGCTGTACATGAATCGGCAACAATCCCACACTACCCGTCACTAAATTTTCGAGGACTCTAACTTTTTTCCAACAATTGAAACTAGAGCAAAAACTTGTAGCCCGCCCGGACTCGAACCCGCGACCTTTTGCTTATCCAGCAACTGTGCTAGCCATTACAGCAACTGTGCTAACCATTACACCACAACGAACTTGATTTCCTTTACTTCAGAGGGAGTTAACTCAACGCTAACTTTTTCTAATCGAATCAAGCTGACTTTGGACTCAAGACCAAGCCCATCTGAGTCTTATATAGTCTTATATAGAGTCTTATATACTCTGCTCGACTATCAAACCTACATTTTTGTCCTCAAGAGCAAAAAAGTTTGACGAAAGGGACAAAGATGTAATAGGTTCGGCAGTCTAGGAGTTTAGGAGTCTAGGAGATTATCCACTAGACCACCAAAGCAGCTGTTAAGGAGTCTGAAATCTAGATATCTTGCGTCTGCGAAGCATTTCGAAAATTAAAAACATTTTGAGATCCCCATGAGTGACTCTATAGGATGGATTTGGTCTGGAGTCAAAAGGGCAGCCTCGTTGCCTTGTAAGTTGATTACAGTATGTTTAAAGGCATACTGTAGTCTAGTCAACTACTACACAAAATTCGCTAAGCGTACTGTATAGCTAAATTTGAGGTATACTGTAGTTTTTACTAACTAGAGCTACTGTAGTTTTTATTAACTCTAGCTAAATGCTCTGTAGCAGTCTATTCGATAGTTTTATAGCTACAGTATAGAAAAAGGATATAGATTAAGATTAAGGCAGCTTTTGAAAGCGTTGTACTTTCTGACGAACCGGGTGTTTGTGATTGAGGTGAAGCGAGCGGGGTGCCACCAGGTGATCCATAACCCGATGATGAGCCACAATCCAATGGATCTCGTGGAATCGTTTGAGCACATGAAGCTGCCACCAACTGAAAGGAATTAAAACGGTTATTTCAGCTAACGATTATTTCAAATTTCCTTTTTTCTAAATATTTTGCCGGTTTTCATTTCTTTTGCTGAACGAAATAAACAATTTTTTTTTTTGGTTCAGTTTGGAATTGATTTGAAATAATAAAAGACTTATCAGTTGCTAAGAAAAGGGAGCCAAGTGGAAATATTGATTGAAAAGTGGCGAGATTTTGAAAAGATCATTAAGAAATGTTGCGTATTGAAGGAAAATGATGGGAAAATGGATGATAATTGGATGAAAATGATAGAGAAATCGATAAAAATGAATAATAATTAGATAAAAATGATAGGAAAACACGTGTACTTCTCACTTTCATACTTTGTACTTGACAAACGCATCGTTTCTAGTGCACTTGTTCTTTTTCTTATGGCAATGCTGTAGAGGAATTTAGTGCATCAGAAAGGGAGTGTTTACAATTTTTGTACAATGAGATTTGTACAATGAGATTTGTTCAGTGTTCTTTATGCTCGAAATTTGATAAACGCATAACTTTTGGCGGATTTCTCTCAGTTTTCTCGAGTCAATGGCAAAGAAAAATGAAGATTTCAATGCACCAGATACGCTTGGACAGCAGATCTTTGTGAGAGCACAAAGTAGAGCACAAAGTAGATCTTTGTGAAAATATTGCAGCCCCACCTGACTGTACTCTCGAATTTCCTGTTGTTCCGGGCTATCGGGGCTTCTTTTTCGCACATTCAACGCCAAATCGAGCAATCGATCGTAATCGTCAAACATTTTTTGTTGAAAATCCTACAAATTTACATATAAAGATGAAAATTTTACACAAAATACAAAATATAAGAAAAAATTGGTATGTCTGTTTTTGAAAAGTGTCTGGGAGACTCTCAGACAGAGAAAAGAGCCGCTAATAAATGTAGATGGGAAAAAAGTGATTTTTGAGAAGAAAAATATGAAAAAGATATAGGAAAATGATTGGAGGAAAAGGGATTTTAAATAGACTTTTCAGCTATGATTGTTTGAGGAGAAACACTTCAATGTACGGCTTGATTTTTGAAAATTTCCATACGAATCTAGCTTTGAATTTACTGCAGGTTTTCTGGTAATTTAGGCGGAGAGATGAACGAACTTGGCCGTGATCTTTGCTTGTATGGTGCCTCGTCCTAGCTTTGGTCCTAGCCCTAGTCCTGACCTCGATCCTAGCCTTGACCCTAGCCCTGACCCTAACTTTGCCCTAGCTCTGGTCCTAGCCCTAGCCCTGCCCTGGTCCTAGGCCTGGTCCTAGCCCTGCCCTAGCTCTGGCTTTGTCTCATTCCAAACTCTAGTCTTGTCTTGTCAGAGCCTTACCTCCTCCCGCTCTTATCTGCCTTTACCTTTTCCCTGTGAAACAGTTATGTCCCATAAGGTTACAGTAAAGTTACAGTACTTTTTCATATAGATATATAGATATATAGATAGTTATAGATATGTGAATTCACAAATGAACCCGAGTGACGAAAACGATCATTATTTCGGTGAAACCACACCAAAAACCCTTAGCATAGACATCGAAAGTAACCCAAAACCTCTCTAAAAAAGAAAAAGAATTCCCCTTCATCAATAATTAAGTAAGCAAAGGATCTACCCAAGAGAAAAGCTTCTGAAACTGGAAATCTTGCAAGATACAAGTTGAACTGCTGAAATTCTTGAAGAAGCAGGAAATTCAAAAAATTAGGCTAACAGTGGACTCGAACCTGGCTCGTTTGGCTGAAAAGCTAGGTGCTAAGAGAATTAGCTAATAGAATTAGCTAGGATAATTTGCTGGTTAGCCAAGCCGATGTCTTGGCGCAGGTTAAAGGTTTCGGCTTCGTTTCGCTGGTTGGCGAAAGTTTTTCCTTTGTTTTTAAAACCCAAAAAGAAACGAAACTTTTCGAAAAGATAAGTATTGAGAAAATTTGTATTTTCCCGTTATTCCACGCTCAATTGCATCCACTTTTCTCCTCAAAAAAGATCAAAAATCTCTGAAAGTTTTGTGAAACAAATAGGAGAAATCTTTTAAGAAATTTGAAATTTGAAAAAAATAAATTTGAAATTCATATTTTGTTGTCGAGAAAAAGAAGAAGAACCGCTTGAAACATTCTCAAAAATTCATGGCGTTTTTTGGGGAAAAGGGAATTTGGAAGAAAGAGAAAAAGAAAGCATTTGGAAAAGAAGTGGACTCAAGAGAAAAAAAAGTGGAGAGGTAAATTGATTTCGATCGGGAAATTGGAAAGAAATTGAGGGTAGGTGGGAAAAAGGGGATTCCCGATTTTAACAATCTAAATTTTTATATAAAAATTTGAGTTTAATTTTCGAGAATTGAAAGAAAGAAACTCGAATCAAAGGCCATTGCTGGAGGATGAGTTTATGTTCGCCAATCCAGACCAAGCCAGCCCAGAGACCCACGCCATATTTATAGTCGCTTTTTGAACTATTTAACAGCTTTCACAAGCGTTTTAGCTATTTTAGGCAGTGATTTAGATTCAGGACTGGTTCTAGAAGCTAAAGCTAGAAGCTAAAGCTAGAAGCTAAAGCTAGAAGCTAAAGCTAGAAGCTAAAGCTAGAAGCTAAAGCTAGAAGCTAAAGCTAGAAGCTAAAGCTAGAAGCTAAAGCTAGAAGCTAAAGCTAGAAGCTAAAGCTAGAAGCTAAAGCTAGAAGCTAAAGCTAGAAGCTAAAGCTAGAAGCTAAAGCTAGAAGCTAAAGCTAGAAGCTAACAAAAAGCTAACAGGACCAGGCCATACTTTTGTTTTGGCTATGCAAGGCTTTACATGCTTTTTGAGTTTAATTCTGATTCAAAAATTCTGGCCAGACTTGCTTTGGTAACCTTTGATAAGAACTTAACCCTCTCTGAAGTCAGGGACCACAAGTGCTTTGTGGTGTAATGGTTAGCAAAGTTGGTTGGTAAGCGGGAAGGTCGGAGGTTCGAGTGCCGTCGGGGTATTTATTTTTGATCTGCCTTATTTCCAAGTATTGGAATGAATTTGGATCTTAAAATTGGTGGGCAATGCATAAAAGACTAAAAAAAGTGAAAAGTTTAGGGAATTTTATCTACGATTTCAATGAGATCGAGAAAAATCGTAAAATTTAGAAAAAAAGAGGATTTTCTAAATTTCAATGATTAAATAAATAGTGAACAAAGAATAGATGAATTTAAAAAACAAAAAACTCTTCAGCATTACATATTTGACTTTAAGTTGAAAAATTTCTATAAAATTTTCGATTTTAATTTACCAAATCGCTACAGGGGAAGTTTTTTTGATCAAAAAAAAAAAAAAAGCTCTCGTGAATCCACTTTTTTCCAAAAGATGACAATCCTTGAGGGGGAAAATCTCGTGATTTTTGAAAGATTGAAAGATTGAAGGATTTTCCTTTTCCCTGGCACGGAAATCCTTTCAAATATTGCATAAGATATTAAAAATTTGCGAAATTTACGAAATTTACTGAAATCTTTCTTAGAATTTATGAAAATCTCAAGGAAGATTTCAAAATTTTCAAAAAAAAAAATTGAGAAATTTGTTGAGCAAAAAAGAAAAATGCGTAAACGCTCGCCTTCTAGCGCAGTGAATTTACCAAAGAGAAATGAGATAAAGAACATATAAAAATCAGATAAACAGATAAAGAAATAGCTTTTTTTTTTTTGATTTCACTTTTTACATTCTTTTCCCATTTTTTCACATCAAAAAACTTCTATAAAATAACTTTTTCTCACTTGATTTAAAATTGAGTTTCAATGACATAAAAAAAGAAAGGAAAGAAAGGAAAGAAAAGAAAGAAAAGAAAGGAAAGGAAGAAAGGAAAGAAAGAAAGGAAAGAAAGAAAAGAAAGAAAGAAAAGAAAGAAAAGAAAGAAAAGAAAGAAAGAAAAGAAAGAAAGGAAAGAAAGGAAAGGAAGAAAGGAAAGAAAGGAAAGGAAAGAAAGAAAGGAAAGAAAGGAAAGGAAGAAAGGAAAGAAAGGAAAGAAAGAAAGGAAAGGAAGAAAGGAAAGAAAGGAATTTTATTGAAGAAAAAGGGAAAAGAAGATGAAGAGAAGAGAAGGAGAAAAGTTTCAGTAATAAATATAAAATAAAACCGCCGATTTTCTAATGATAGAACATTCTTTTGAGTGTAATTTCTTTGCTCGAAAACTTATAAACAAATCTTTTCTTGTGCCATAAAATCCCTGAAGAGTTGAGTGCACTAGAAAGGTACGTTTACAGCTCTTACAGCTTACAATAATAACAATTTACAATTTACCATAAAAGTATATTGATAACAGAGGTGAAAACAAGTTTTTTATTAAAGATGAAAAGAAGATTTGCTGAAAAGAAAAGAAAGATAATCTATAGAAAGAAGAGAAAGATATTCAGTTAATCCGCAGAGATTCACTTGAAAATAAAGAGATCAAAGAAAATGATTTTTTAATAAAATGTTGAGTAACAATCACTTTACTTTTAAATATCAAAAAATAGAATATCAAAGAGGAATAGAATATCGAATAAATAACAAAGAAATTAGTCATGACTTTACTGCAGGCTTTCTGGTAATTTAGGCGAAAAGATGAACGAACTCGGCCGTGATCTTCGCTTGTATGGTGCCTGGTCCTAGCTTTGGTCCTAGCCCTAGTCCTGACCTCGATCCTAGCCCCTGCCCTGGTCCTAGACCTGGCCCTAGCCCTGCCCTAGCTCTGGCCCATCCGCAAAAAGAGATTCACTTGAAAATAAAGAGATCAAAGAAAATGATTTTTTAATAAAATCTTGAGTAACAATCGCTTTAGTTAAATATCAAAAAATAACAAAGAAATTAGTCATAATTCTCTTTGAACTCAATCATTTTGACTACAGTCGTTCTTAATTCATTTTAGACAATAATTTCTTATTTTTTTTAGACAACAATATAATATTTAAAGTTACGGTAGAGCTTGCTCTTTTTCAGACACAAAATTCATTTTCAATTTCTTTTGATTTCCCTCTTTTTTTGAAGCCTTTATTGTGCGGCCCCCAACCTTTACGAAATCCAAAAGGGGACACCTATCTATCAAGGGCGTATTCCAGGTTGTAAGCGATTACACCGCCGCACAAAGACTATTGTAGTTCTTGGATTTTTTACAAGAGAAATTTTGAACGGTACCGTAGCTTTTGTAGACTAATAGAAGCTCTAATAGAAGAGTCCCCTACAGGAGCGTCGCGTAGTCTAAGTTTACACTCAAAGAATCGTTCAGATCTTGACACCAGTACATTTCTTTCAGCGCGCTTAGGTATCAAATTAAAGTAAAGAGGATAGGTGATTTTTTTGAGATATCACTTTTGACAAGAAAAAGTAAGGCAAGCAAGAGTTTTTTTTTTGCAAATTATTGCGCTAGAAAGCGTGCGTTTCTAGGGAAAAGTTGTGTAAACACAAAATTGTTTAGAAAGTTAAAATCTGTTGAATCTTTAAAATTCAAAATAACATTTAAAGTAAAACAAAAGAGTGATTTGGTTTTTGAGGAAATTTGAAAGGGAAAACGAGGGACTTCTTTTCTTTATACTCAAAAAAGGCAAACTGATAAAGAATTGGAAAGAAAAAAGAGACGAATCATGAGTCATTTATTCAGAACAAGAAAAAGCAAGGGAAATCTTGGAAAATTTCTTGAAAAATTATTCACTGCTTTTGTAAGAGAAAGTTGAGTTTAAAAGACTTTCTTTTTGTCATTTTGTAGATCTCAACAAGCGTAACGAAATGACACCAAAATCATAAAGATTGACCGACTTAGAAGAAAGTTATGGCGAGTTGCGCAAAAAAAAA